CTGTTCTACTCCATTCTGTATGCGTATCTGATCCGTGTACCATTCACAGTTCCAAAGCCGTTACTATATCAGTCGGTGTTTCTTTCATTTCGTTTTCCAGAACCTTTTCCTCTGCAGTTGCTGTACCTTTTCATTTTCCAGAACCTTTTCCTTTGCAGTCACTGTACCATTCACATTTCCAAGGCGTTTTCTATTTACTTACTTACTTCTACTTCCTTACTTATTTACTTACTTACTTTATCGCTATTGCTATTCTCCTTTTGCTCATTCACAAATGTCCTTTTTCCCATTGCCAAATTTCCAAATTTCCTAACCCTAACCAGAAAAGGTAGCTCGTGTGCGTTGTATTCCTTTCTTGTTGTTGGAGGAGACCAAAGGCGCCAGTTTGTTGTTGTTAGCGTTTCGCTTGATACATGTGCTCTTCTTGTGGAGGTTTGTCTTGGTTGCGTCAGACAAAAGGTGGCTTCATCTACTCGTATAGAGCAATAGGGCCCGAGCATGTTGGTTTTGATGGCGCTAATGAGCAATTTGCTTGTTATTGTTGTTGAGAGCACAAGTGTGGCTGCTTGTATGCTTAGGCGCGTGGACCAGAGATGGTGCTGATACGGTGATACGGTGGGATTTGTTGGTGTTGCCGTTAATTACAGGCGTCGTGGACGTACGTGATATGGCTCGAGTGCAAAATTGTTGTGGTTGTTGGGTAACTGACGTGAAGAGGATCAAAATTCGGTGGAGGAGATGATTGTGGGTTTTTCGTTGTGCGGAAGTAAAGAGGCTCAATGATGTAGGCGTCGTCGCTAATGATGTAGCTGTCGTGGAGAACCAAATGTGGCTTTTTGTTGCAGTTGGCGACGAGTAATAAATGTGGCTGTAGGCGTCCTTCTGGTTGCAATTGTCGTCCTCAGAGATCACATGCATGCAGGTGGCTGCAACATGGTGGAATTCAGGATGTTGGTCGCGGCTGTGCATTTACCATTGGCAGTGTCGATCGGCACTGTGGCGTCTGCATGGGTGCATGGGTCGGGATGGGCGGTTTCATGCCGGTGATCATAGCTAGAAACTAGACAGCTTCTTGTTAGCGTGGGCAACCGAAACCTGCTTGTTGTAGATGGTACCATGGAGTAGGGATTTAATTTGTGTCGCCGTAGCTGTCGCTGCTGTGGCTGCTGGAATTGAATCGGCTTTCCTTCGTGGTCATCGGCGACTTGAATGCGGCTGAAGTTGTTGTGATTGAATTGAATTTATGGCGTTTCAGTGGATTGAGCGTCACTGATGTCCGGGTAGCCGTCGGCTTTTCGCGGTAATTCCATCTACATGTAATGGACGCTCGCATGCATCGGAGATCTGGGAAGGTGACTTGTTGGCGTTGTCGGCGATCAGAAATGGCTACTTGCAAGGGAGCGTGCCAATGGCAACCGAAAACTGCTTCTTGTGGATGCGTGGTACCACGGATTTATTTTGTGTTGGCGTAGCTGTTGGAAGAATCGAAAATGGGCACTTTGGAGTAGACAATTGTCGGCTTTGCTTTATCGTCATGGGCGACATCATTGAGGCTGAAGTTGTTGTCGTTGGTATTGCGCATTGTGTGTGTTGGAATTCATGTGCTTCACCGTACGCATGGATACTCGTCGTCGTTGAGGGATTGGCCGTCATAATGTTCGCTGCTGTTGCAGGTTGAAGATGGCTTGTATGTGGTCGTGGTGGCGAAGGGCGAAGAGGCCTTGCTTTTATCAATTGCTGTTGCTGCAGTTTCGACGGAATTTAAACTGGGCTCTCCGAAAGATAATGTTTCAGGCCCGAAAATTAAGCTTGGCTTTGGTTTGATCCGTTGGTTGACAACACGCAGCAGTTCGAACGTTGCTCAAGAAGTGTGTTCCGACATACGGTAGCGTCTCATGGTCGTGTACGTTGACTGCCGGAGAAGTGTGGTTGCTGTCATTGTCGTGTTCTTCGCTCTTTAGTTTGTCGGCGGATGTTGGCTTTCCTTCATCGTCAAACCGTTTCGACGTTTCGACCGCAACGGCTTTTCTCCTTCGTCATACCGGTAGTAGTAACTGGTCGAACAGATCTCCACAGTAGACTTAATAATTATTGTCGGCGCAAACGAAAGTCTTGATCTGCTCGAATTTGGAGCATTGTTCGAATCCTTCATGGTCGAGTCGAAAAGGAAGTCTGGATCTAGAAAAGAAAGGGATGTGGATCGATCATCATTGTCCAAGGAAAATGCAGCGGCCGTTGTCCGCGACAATTAATTTTGGAGTCGTTTTTGCAAACGGCCGTTGCCATGACGCATCGCATCCAATCCAACATGGCAGCGCGGTATCCGCCACTTCAACATGCTTTTGAAAAGACGTGAAACGTACCGGTAATCCGAGCTACAGTGGAAGACTAGATGGATGCAGATCCTACCTTTTTGTAGCGCCTCTCGATCGTACATGCAGATATATTATTATGTATGTTCAATTTAGATTAATTCGTGAAGCTACTATAGTTGCTAGGAAAAGCGTTTTTCTACACGTGCTGTACGTAGCGGTACCATGGCAGAGCTACAATGGACTACATCGTACCGCGGTACTCGCAAAGTGGAGTCGCACAGTACCGTGCCGTTGCAGAGCCAATGGGCTGTCAGATATCAGATGTCAGATGCCATCGTCGTTCCTCCATTGATACAGCAGCAGTATACTATACAAGCGCTGTTCTTAGGCAGCCGGAGCCAGCGAGAAGACGCTTCCCGGAGGTATGAATGCGACATTGAGCCGGAAGAAAAGTTCTTGCCCCCACCATTCCGGCAGCAGTGTGGATGACTTGGCCTCTGTCAATGCGCGTAGCCATTCTACACTCTTCAATGTCTCTGTTACGTCAAAGAAGTGGCTCTGTATGTGCCCCAAGTTGTTGAAGACGGCGAGAAGCAAAAGCGTGATCTCGCCCGGAGTCCCGTCGTGGCAGTTGCGTTCGAGCACTTCTAAAGCGGACGTGTAGAACTTGGCTGCCAAATGAAGCGATGCAGAGGAGGATCGTTCATTGTGGTGTTGTTTTGGCACGTGGTCTTGGTCGTCCGTCTCGAGTCCCCTGATGTGCAAGGCCAGGCCCGCATTGTAGAGGAGCATGGCATAAGCCAGGGGACGAAAGTGAGATCCCTCCTGCGGATGCGGGGAACAAGTGACAAAGGCGTGATCAAACAATCGAATGCCAGTAGTAGTAGTAGTAGTAGTAGAAGAAGAACTAGCTGCATTCACACTTGTAGCTGGATCCGCTGCTTCAGGGACAACACTGGCAGTGGTGCTCCCACCGACCCTGTGTTGGTTTGAGAGGTTTGAGATTGGGACGCTCGTCAGGAAGGATTCCCTCGCGCTCGCGCACGTGCTCGTGCTCGATGTACTTGCACTTGTACTTGTGCTTGTGCTCATACTGGCTATGGCGGGATTGTTACTCTGATCTTGTTTCTGCGCACTATTTGTGGTGTCATAGTCGATGTTTCGTGTTAGTACTTGCTGCTGCTGCTGCAAACGAGCTTTTGCTTTTCGGAGCTGAAAGACGGTCCTGAGCAAAATCAGAACTCCGCTCGAAGTGTTGCCATTGCGCAGATGCAGCACGGCGCGTTTGTTCCATACAAAGGTATTCATCACTCACCCTCACCGTAACTATGTATACAATTGACGACTTCACTTAGCCCAGTCAACTCAATTGTGTGATGGGATTTTACCGGATTCAAAGCTTTGTTTTGATTTTTTCTTTGCTCACCAAATTGGCGTAAGCGGTTCAACTAGATCTAACGTAGTTGCTTTGGTCCCTCTCGCGAGATCTCCTCCCTGCGGAACTACGATGTAGCTAGACTATGGATTTGCGGAACCAATGGATTGATGATTCCTGTTCTACTAGCTAGTACCGGTACAGTAGCTAGCTAGCAAGTTGTTGATGATTGCCATTCGATATTATATGCATGCCGCTCAAGGGTCGGGTGGAAATGTGGAATACTACGGATGCGGAAGCAGACACTTGGCATCTCTGCATTTATGCGGAAGCAAAACTCGTGAAGTGGCAAGCAGCTTTAGGCCTTTAGCATGCATGCACGGACTTGGAGAAGAATTGCGATCGATCGAGATGAGACTTCAGACGTCGCAGGTACGGTAGTGAATCTGGCCTGCTCGCCCTGCTCTCCATCCTTAGCCTTATCAATGGAAATATGCGTACTGAGTACTAGTACAGTATGATAAAGCCATGCGAACACGCGGAAGCAAGAAAGCAAGAAAGTAAATCTACGTGTAGACTACCGTTCACAACCGGGGAAAATCCAACCAGTGCTCTAGCAACCGGTAGCTAGCTAGTACTCACCCGAGCAATTGCCAGCTATGTATGCATAACGAAATGAACCGGTAGCTAGCTAGATGGATAGTCACTCTTCTTCTCGTTTCACTTCCGCCAATTTATTCATGAACTTGAATCTGGCTGGTAATGCGATAGCTGACGAGCGAGATGAGACCGAGCGATTCGGGTGATACCGATGGAAGCCCTCAAGAATTGAGGGACGAGGTCAACAGGTTGTCTACGAATCCTGATTGAATTACATGTACTTTGCAGAGTGAATGCTGGGGTTTTCCAACGTCCCGCAACAATAAATGCTGGACTGCCCTCGCTATGCATAGCTATTTCTTCCTCCGAGCAATCGAACAAGCTAGCTTGTAAGCGCAAAAGTACACTAAGGCATCATGACTGGATGATTTTGCACTCCTCCAATCGATCAGTCTGGCGGCTAGCAATCTATCTCCGGTACGGTACGATGTAGTCTAATAGCCGGGATAAGTGTTCGATCTGGCATCCATGGCCCACTCACTCACTCCAACCTTACTCGTACCATACGGTACGTGAAAAAGTGCCACCAATCTGCCGCCCCGATCGCTGGTGTCACTCTTGCTAAAAGAAAGAGAAGTGACAAATTCGGCTTTTAATTCATGCAGAAACCCAAACCTCCCTCTCTAAATCCGGTTTGGCGCGTAAAGACAAAATTTAATGTCAAGGCAGCTGTCAGGTACAGTCGTACTGACGCGGTACATTACACCGTACAGTCGTACCGGTAGTCTAGTAGGTGAAATCAGTGACATGGTCATTATGGGGTCATTTCCGGCAAGGTGCCGAAGGAAAAGCCGCTGCCGCCAAAGTTTGTTGAGTCGAATGAATCGAATCGAATCATTCACCTCGATGAATGAATGAGAAAGAAGAAAACAAAGCAAGCATTGCAATCGACCACAGCAAGAAAACAAAAAGCAAGGAAAAGCCACTCATTGGTACCTGGTATAGCTTTAGCTAAGTGTAAGCATAGCTTGGTGTAGCTAGCTGTTGACGACGATGGCAAGCCACGGCCCCGTGGATGGGAGCGACAGTCCCACCAACAACCTGTTGGTGTGGGATGACATTCAAGTGAAGATCCAGTCCCTGACGAGTCCTGTTTCGACGCACCGGTTGAGCTTCGTGGATTTGCAAGGCGAAAAAGGCGACCCTTCCTTGACTCAGTTGCAACACGCCATTCTCAATCTGTATAATGCTAGCGCTACTACCAGTGCTGCTAGTAACAGTGCTGCTGCAGACTCACACTCCCCAAGTCTACTCGACCTCAAATGCAACCTGTCGCTCAGCTACCTCGATGCCCAGGGAGATCTAGTCCCGCTCACGAGTCAGGATGAATGGGCGCACGCCATCCAGCAGAGGAAACAAGCCAGCGAAGATGCGCACTCGGCTCCCAGGAATAACACGCTCTTGGTCTTTGCACAAGTCCTCCAGCTGCAACCACCGCCACTACCAATCCCGGTAGAACCATACGATGGCAATGGCAATGGCAATGGCAATAGTCACTTGGAGGAGAGACTAGCTCACATTGAAAAGCTACTTACGCAAAATGTCATGGCAAATCAGCAGAATGATGAAGTCGGGTCTCCCGCCGCGCGTTGCAAGGACTACAGGTCGCTCGTCAAGGAACAGCAAGCCAAAATTCAATCAAGACTCAACAAAGTCAAGACCATGAATGCTGGCATTGTCAGCAGTAATCCAGCCACTCCCAATCGAAGATCATCCACTCCTCCAGATATCAACCGAGTCACAAGCACTGCTCCAACCCTGGTGGGGGCGCCCATCACGGTACTGCCAGCCGCGGACAGTGACACACTCCAAGAGTTCCTCCAGAAACTCATTCGCGAACGACAGGAAGGAATGCAGCAGCTTATGGATGCGAGATCCAATGACATGAAGGCATGGGCACAAGCACAGCAAGACTTTAGAGCAACCATACAGCAAGCCATGACCGAGTTCGAAGCCAAAATTGATTCCAAATTGGACGAAAAGCTCAGCGAACACAAGGTACAGTTCCAGCGAAATGTTAGACAATTCGAACAAATCACTTCCGAGGCCATTGCAAGGTCCGAAGCCTCGTCGTCTTCGGTCGTATCACCACCCGTCGCGGGAGACAGGCAACGCTCAAGATCCCGTGTAAGATCCCGTGGACGATCGCCCGGAGTTGTCGGATCAGTGAATATTAGTACCAACACGTCGGGGGTGTCGGGATCCATTGAGCACAAGCTGGATAACATGCACGAACGACTCGATGGAATCGAAAAGCATATCTTGCGTCAGCCGGAACGTCAAGCAGTTGCCCAACAATCAGCATCGAAAACAGCAGCAGACACGTCGTCCTCCGTCTCCACAGAAGCCATTGCAGCCGCGGTTCAGCAACAATTGGGAACATTCAAATCACAGTTGGACAATCTCATCCAAATTCGAATGAATATCGTGGAACAAAGGATTCAGCAGGCTACAGGATCAGGGGCCCAAAACGGCGGCAGCGTTGACGAGACTCCCACCAAGGAAGATATGGTCGCCATGAAGCAGCAAATTGAAAACACCATCCAGATACGCTTGAATATTCTGGAGCAACGAATCATGGCCAACAGTAAGAATGGAAACGCCTCGTCATCTGCTGGTATTGACCTCCAGGAACAACTAGCCGGCTTCAAGAATCAGATCGAAAACACCATCCAGATACGCTTGAATATTTTGGAACAACGAATCATGGCCAACAGCAACAGCAATGTCTCCTCTTCTGGTGACGCCAATCTCCAGGAACAGCTAGCCGGATTCAAGAAACAGATTGACAACCTCATCCAAGTGCGAATGAACATTTTGGAGCAACGAATCCAGAAATCCTCTTCCGTAGCAGTTGGCGGCGACAACAACAACAATCGACGAATCGAAGGGCAACTTGAGACCTTCAAAAATCAAATCAAGAATCTTCTGTTGAAGCGATTGAACACTATGGAACGCAGGATGGATATAGTGGCGTCCAAAATTGCGGTCAACGACTTCGTCCACAGCAGTACTGCTTCTTCTTCTTCCGGCGATACGGCCACTTCCATCTCCAAAGAAGCACAAGAAGACCTCCTCGAAAGCTTCAAACAAAAGGTCGACAATGTGATTCAGATTCGAATGAATATCCTAGAACAAAAGCTCCAGCAAAGTGCTTCCACCTCCCGCTCCGTCTCCGCTTCTCCAACTGAAACAACTCCTCCTCCCGATCTCCAGGAACAGCTCGAGCAATTCAAGAACCAAATCAAGAACTTGCTCTTGATTCGAATGAACATGATCGACAAGAGGTTGGAGGTTGTCGCCTCCAAAATCACCATGAATGACATGTCTGGCTCCATGTCTGGCTCGTTTCGTCATGACGCTGCCCCTCCAATCGATCTGCACGGGCAGCTAGAGACCTTCAAGAACCAAATCAAAAACCTTCTCTTGATTCGAATGAACATGGTCGACAAGAGGTTGGATGTTGTCGCTTCCAAACTCGCCATGAATGACATGTCTGGGTCGGCTCGTGAAGCCGTCCCACCAATCGATCTACAGGAACAGCTAGAAAGCTTCAAGAATCAAATCAAAAACTTGCTCTTGATTCGAATGAACGTCGTTGATAAGAGGTTGGACATTGTCGCTTCAAAAATTGCCATTAACGATTTCAGCCACAGCCTCGCTTCGGCTGCCAACTTATCCAAAGAAGCACAAGAAGAAGTAGTCGAAGCATTGATGCAGAGACTCAGCGCTTTCATTACTGCGAACGATTCTGAGTCCGCCAACAGTTTCCAATCGCAGTTGAACTCTCTTGGGACGCAACTAAACAACACCATTCAAGTCCGAATGAACATTCTGGAGCAACGCATCATGCAGATGAGCACTGTGGAAAGCAGCAGCAGAGCAGTGGCTTCAACGCCCCCCTCCACCTCCAACTCCGCTGCGTTGGTTGCTTCTTCCGAGCTGAACAGTAAGCTTGATGCCTTCAAACAGCAGATTGATGGCTTGATTCAAGTGCGGATGAATATGATTGAGCAACGAATGTCTTCCTTGCGGGATTCTAGTCCTGATGTTGATGGCAAGCTTGATGCCTTCAAGCGGCAGATTGATGGATTGATCCAGGTCAGAATGAACATGATTGAGCAACGAATGTCCTCTTTGGTTGGTTCAGACCCAGGTGTTGATGGCAATGTTGATGGCAAGCTCGATGCATTCAAACAGCAGATTGATGCCTTGATCCAAGTGCGGATGAACATGATGGAGCAAAGAATGTCTTCTTTAGTGCGTTCGTCCCCTGATGTTGATAGCAAGCTTGACGCCTTCAAACAGCAGCTTGATGGCTTGATCCAGATCAGGATGAATATGATTGAACAAAGATTTGGTTCCATGTTGAAATCCAGTACATCGGTGCCTTCAACTGCTCAAGTTGCCACGTCAGCAAGGTTTGATCTGGATCAAAAACTTGACACATTCAAGCAGCAGATTGATGGTTTGATTCAGGTTCGAATGAACCTTATCGAGCAACGAATGACGTCGTTTGCCGGAAACAGCCGGGCATTGCCTTCCTCGATGGCTGCAGTCGCTACTCCCTTGTCCATTGATTTGCAGGATCAGCTGCAGTTGTTCAAGGCTCAGCTCGATTCATTGATTCAAGTTCGAATGAATCTCATGGAGCAACGATTGCTGGTGTCGCGCTCCTCTTCCTCCTCAAACGGGGCTTCAGATCTGCAGGAACAACTGCAAGGCGTGACTCAAAAATTAGACAACGTCTTGCAGATTCGAATGAATCTCATGGAACAGCGGTTGCAGAGCCTGATGGTACAGTCGTCGCAAGTCAAGCCCGACACCATCAACAACAACAATTTGCAGGACCAGTTGGATGGCCTGAAGAGACAAATGGACAATCTTATTCAAATTCGAATGAACATATTGGAACAGAAGATGCAGGTGCTCGTCCGCCCACCCACAAACAATGCTCCTTCAGCCAATCCGGAAACATCTATCTCTCGATCGGTTGCTCCTTCCGCTTCCACCAATGGCAGCAATCTCCCCGAAATGACGCGAACGGTGACTGCAATAGTAAAACAGCTCATGGAAACCTTCCTTCAGAAGCTCCAAAATTTGGATGCCAAGTTGACTAAGGCAGTCATTTTGTCGCAAGAGAAGATTCAAGCCAGCCAAAACAAGGCATTCCATGAACTTGCCTTGAATGTTGCCAAGACGGTCCAAGCATCTCAAACAACAATAATGAACAACGAGAAACAGTATGCATCTGCTTTGCGCCAGACAGTGGTTCGATTACACAACGAGACCCGGACGCATACCGTCACGACAGTGTCGTCCTCGAGATCGGCAAATGTCGGTGTCAGCAAGGAGCGTGCGGTAATGGTGAAGAGCAGCAACCGCGGCATCTCGCCTCCTCCACCAGAAGGAATAAGCGCCAATTCATGGGACGCCATCAAGGACGTGATCTTGTCTTCGCATGAGGAACTGCGCAATAATCAAGAACGATCCATGCTCGAGCACAAAAACTACCTGGTGGAGTGTATCGAGCTTGCTCAACACGCAATTCTTTCCAAACTTACCAGCAATACCGTGTCCGAGAGTGCCCTGGATGAGTCCATCTCCGAAATGGAACAGAGGCTTTCGACGCTTGTAGAGCAGATCCAAGCGCAGGCGACAGCAGCTGTCTTGGATCGCATGGATCAGCAAGCACAGCTGAATGCCAAGAATCGCTGGCGCCGATCGACATCTTCTGACGACTTGGAAGGTGCTGGAGGCACAGCAGGTACTGATGGCTCACTTGCCGGGTCGCCAACGTCACTCCCCAACAATGCTGGCGCCGTGACTGGAAGTACCGGTGGTCCAGGTTCGGTCGAAGGCAGCGCTGGGGTTGCGTCTGGTCTTACGGCAGGAGAATTCGAGGATATCCTTCTTACTACAGTAGAAAAATTGGAAGCGGCGATGGAAGCCAACTGCGAGCAGATCCAAGCCCAAGCGACAGCTGTCATGCTGGACAAGGTGGAAAGCTCGCAGACAGTTCTAGCTTCGAGGATGGAAGGAAGTCAGACTATTGTTCTTGACAAAGTAGCTCACGTCGAAAGTTTTGTCTCGGGCAAGATGGACTCCGTGTTGGCGGCTGTCCAAGCTGTCGACCGAGCTGAGTTGAGCGAAGGAATGGCTTCCAGCAAAATCGATTCCGCTCTGGCGCTTGTCCAAGGGTTGGAGTCACGAATGGATGAGCAACAGAAGCAAGTACTGGAAGCTCTTCAGGAGCACCAACAAAAAGCACAAATTGTACAGCATCAGGGCACGACATCCTCGGCTGCGAGCCGCCATGCCCGCGGTGTTGCTTCGCGAGGCATGGACAGTTCTGCGTACAGTCATGTTGGGGGCGGTCGGTACGACAGGTATGGTGAGAGCAAGTACAACGAAGATTTTCACGACAGTCGTTCCCATCAGTCGTATCGAGGTGGAGGTGGTCGGCGTCCTCATCAAAACCATTCTGCACCCGAGGCTGTGGCTTACAATCGCTTCCTGGAGATGGAGACGAGAGCGCAACAACTGGAGCATGCGTACGAGTGCATTCGGTCGAACCGCCCTCCCGTGGAATCAGTCTCGGCAGTCTCAGCAGTCTCAGCGTCTCCAGCCGGGGCAAACTGGGACGAGAAAGAAGAGCAACCCTCGGATGCTGTCTACGACACCACATCAGCAATTCTGAAGAGGACAAGTGCAGCCACCGCTTGGTTGAGGTCGAATCCAAGCAGTGTGTTTGACGACAACGGCACAAATTCCGATGGCGATTAGTGGTATATAAAGTGGGTCGCGGGGGGTGTTGGAACGTTGGAACCGCGCCGGTGTACTCCGTCATTGATGACTATGGATGGGAATCAATAGTGTTTGTATAGTATGTACTTCACCTACTAGCATCTATTCATATATTTGTGCATGCAGATTTTTTCTTTCGCCAATGACCTGTTCTTGCTGTTGCCATCGTTGTCTACCATCCTACTGTACCGTATCCTTTGTCGTGGTCTTCCGGTCAGTCTTGTTCAGCTTGTTCAGGCTGCACCCCATGCATGGGCAGCAGCTATGCCCAGAGAACGGCTACTGGTACTTCTGGGGGAGCATGTTGCTGGTTCTGCTCTTCCTGGCGCTGCTGAGGAGGTCTCAGGTTGGGCTGTACTTGAGCTTGAATGGCTTGAATGGCTGCAACCTGAGCCTTCAATCTTTGAAGCAGTGCGCCGCGTGCCTCCGCATATGATTTCTGTCCAGATTGGCGGCCCAAGGAGCGACTGTAGGGCTCGTTGATGCCTCCGCGCAGTTTCACTAGTACTAGTAGTGTCGTCCGCACTGGCAAGCTCGAGACGTTGCAAGGACTGATTAGAAGTGTTGTTGAGGGCGGTCGCCATGGTCGTCACCAAAGAGCTGTCCATCTTGCAACTGGCTCTGTGCCTGTGTTTATGGCTCGTATGATAGTACTGATGGCGTGAACCTGGCTGATGAATAGTTGCGTACCGGTACTCGAGTGGCTGGCAGTTGGTACCGATACCGCTACTGCCGGGCTACCAGTACCAGGTACTGCTGGCAGTCACTTGAACCCCAACAGCATTCAGCATCCGCTCCGTGGTTGAAAAGCAAGACCCTGTATTCACGATTATAGTCCGAAGTCCCACCAGAAGCACAGATAGGGCTTAATTCATTATATCGAGATCACACCAAAAAAGAATTCTCTCTTGAAAGTTGAAAGGAAATAGAGCAACAAATGACGCGCCATTTAATTAAAGTCGCATGCTTCTCAAGTAACTGCAGCGTCAGGCTTGTGGTCACGATGGCTGTCACTATCTGTTCCTTGCGACAGTCAGTCACTCGACTGAGGTGACTCGGAATAGCTCTAACACTAAATCAAGGATTGATTCCATTTAATTTCTATAAAAGTCGATTGGTTCCTTCGAATCGAATTTCGTCTCCCGGAGACGACTTGCTTTAGGGGTAAGGGTACAGTTGGGGGCGGAGGTTTGAATTATACCCGGCGTGCAATACTTAGAGGCCTCTGTAGAAGTCTACGTATTTGACTAGTATTGTATTGATGGGATACAGTCAACGCATGTACATGCACATGAAAGTCGCCTCGCTTTTCACACAAGTTTCGCATGAATCGGTTTCGGGGCGAAGCAAAAAGAAAGGGATGAGCGCGCGGAGCGCGCGAATACTGTTTCATTTCTTGTACCGGTAATCCTCAACCTTATTTCTGGAAACGGAGACGACCCAGTAGTGGGCATATGAATGATTAATCGAATCGAATCTTTGATGACGTAGGACATTGCATGGATATATTATAGTGTTCGCATCCAAAAAACTACCGAAGCAGAACAACAGGACAACAGGAGGCAACAGCAAACGCTGCAACGTTGCTCGATCGAGATAGTGCTATCTAGCTAAAGCTAGCTAGGATAAGCCACTGGTACCAGTAAGATGTCTGAGATGCGCAAGTTGACCAAGTACTTTTGCTGCTTAGGCGGTGAGAGTGGAGGCAGATACGACAGTCACGCAGATGAAGTGTTTGATGATTTGTTCCACAAGGATGTTTTAATCGTGGGGAATGCCAAAACGCACAATTTCGACGAGTGGAAAGATTGGTACAAACGCAGCATTCAAGACGGACTCGTCTTTGAAATGCAAAAAGTCGTCAAGACGGGACCTGACTCCATTGTGTGGACTCTACTCATACATCTCGAAAACGGTACAACGCTCACTCACACTGCCAAGGGACTCTTCAAGGACGGAAAACTCATCAAAACTGAACCAGCAGATCCAACTGTCTATGATGTCATGACCAAACCCAAGAGAAAACCGGTCTGTATCCTATAAGCAACAGAAACCTGCTATGTTGAATCAGGAATCAGATCGGCAAGGAATGATTCAATGATTCATCTCAGAGGGCTCTACCTGAGACATGCACAAGTGTAGATATTTGTTCAAACTGCAGGGACTTATATTTTAGCATTGCCTACAGTTTTAGACTAGTACAGTACTAAGATGTAGTTGAAGGATTCAGCGTTATATCTTGCTTCTATGATACGTGATTTCGAGCGAGGAGCAGACAAACATTCTACTCTTGAAAAGTGCCTTACGCCATGCCACAGCGTAGCTATCAGCATTTCCATGGCTGGCTAAGCCAAGCAGCATCTTTTTCACCACCGGTATCGCAGAACCCTCCTCGGATCTCCTTTGATCCCATTACCATTAGACCCTCCTCGACCAGCCAAGTTCAGTATATATATATATATACGTCTGACACACGAAATGCTATTTCAGCGTTTGCTTCACCTCTCTTACCTCGTTCTTTCAACGGGGGCACAGCAACATTAATCTTGCCGCCCATCTTGCTTCGTTGATTGATCATTCCCGCCACGAAGCCGTGGGGGGCATGACGCCAAAAGCTTCATTACGAGAAAAAGAATCGCCAGAAGGTGGTTACTTATTGATTTCCGTGTGTTGGGACGCGCACCGTACAAAAGCTACTCGGACCACTCATCACCCTTATACTTGTCCAGAGCAAGGGATGACCGTTTGTCGTCTTTACTTGGTCCATTCTCGACTTTGGCTTGTTTCCATGTATGAGAATCATCGATTCGCAGCCCAGTGGTACGTTTCAATTCCTTCATTTCAGTGAACTGCGGAAACAAACATGCATCCTCACATGCAGCATCAAGCGATTGATTCAGGGGGTATTGGCAACCAATCGGGCTCTTCAATGAAGGAATCCGAGTGGAGAGGTGGTCAACCATCCCTGGAATCGTACGGTTCTTTTAATTGCCGTGACGGTTCCCGTTGCCGTGGCTTGCTTTGGAACGTTTCAGTTGGGCTCTTTTTGGGAAGACAATCGTACAGTACAGTGTTGCCATGATGTGTTGATGGCTTCAGATGTCGTGTTGTTGCTGAAGTCAGTATTAACGCGGTTGTTTCTGCTTGCTTGTTCCTCGAGGAGTGCACTACCGGTATGGTTAGCCCCTTGCAAAGGTCATGGGAAACATGCTGCTAGTGAGCCAAGTTGCTGGTCTCGGAAGGAGAATCTGGAGAATCTGAGTGGAACTGCCGAAGCTGTTGGCGAGGAACCTGGCAAGACCTTTGATCGCATCCATGATTCAGAAAAGCTCAAGATGATGCACCTGCTGGGCAGATGGGAAGAGCCAGAAAATACGTGAACGGCCCAGCAGAGCGCATCCATTGCAGCAGTTCTTGACGCTTATTCGGAACCGATTTCCTTTTTCGTATGCGTTTGGTCTGGCTAGTACGAGAAAGGAATGCATTGAGTCCTCGCAGCAAGTTTATGAACGGAACGATCTCGTTAGAAACCCTTGCCATGGTCGATGGTCGCCCTCCAACCAAATGGAACGATCGATCGATGCACAAACAGCCAGGGATTTGGTGCGTGTCTTTTATAAGATGAATCGAACCCGATGTTGCTGATTGAACATTCTCACTCTTGATTGACTTGTTCAGTTACACACGTTGCAGTCGGTTTAGCTATAAGGAGTCCCGCTTGCTCCAAGCTTCGATAGAGAACGCCTCTCAGATCGATCGAGCCTTTGAGTGACTTGACTCCTGAATGGGATTTTTTACGCGTTGGTTTTGGTGATTATCATGGCTCATGGCCGTGTTGGGTCTTGATCCGCTCTCTCTCCCCCTCTGTCTTTGAGCAGTGTAATTGTGGCTTTTGCTTTTATGATGCGCCAAGTAGTGTGAGTGGATTGGTGATGTGATCAATGTGAATGGTATGGACGAGATGACTGGCTTTGATTATGGGTTCGATCGGTTGGACGGTTCAGAACGTGACTTTGTACGAGACGACGTTGACTTGGTTGCCTACTAGTACCATGGAGACTGCAACTGTGGCGCACAGTGCTTTGGCATCGAGTCGAGTCGCATCGTGAACTGGGCAAGGAGTCCGCAGGCACGTTTTGCCATTTTTTTACTTTCCAATCGAGACCACGTACATGTACCCGTACTGTACGAGACCGTTGACTTGTTTCGTCATGCCGTGGATTTAATGCCTTACGCGTTCTTGGTATCTACACGCTACACGGACAAGGGCTACATTCACCTCGAGTTGGTCGTCCAGCATCGAGAGGCTTGGCAGAACCCCGGTGCCATCTATGATACTAGCTAGTACCGGTAGCCGTGGAAATCTGGTTTCGTATTGCAATAATCTGCGCCACCAGTTCCCATTGACATTCGTGCTGGCAGCGCTCTACGGTACCATCTGAGTTCTCTCGTCTTGCCAACTTGAATCCGTCTGGGGCGTTGGCGGGGCTTCTGCTGAGCAAGGTGTTGTTGGTGTTGTTCTTATTGGTGTTGGTGCCGATGATCCAGGCATAAGTCTGAATGACAAGTTTCGTCATGTTGCCCACAACAAGACAAGCCCAAGATGTGCTCCTAATCTTTCTCGTTAGATGATGAATGGATCCTCGATCGAGCGTCCTTTACAAAATAAATGTTGGCAGCCCGCACCAGTATGGACAAGCTGCGTGTAGTGTTTGACGGATGCCAGCTCTAGACGGTTGAACCACAGTTTAAATGTCTAAAAACACAAGTGCGCCATGCAAACACCTGCCAAAAACCAGGCTAAGTACTATGTCACACTTAAAGAGAAACAAATTTTTAAAAACCGGCAGGTGTTTCTCCAAATCTTTGTCTTCATTCTTTCCCAAAACTGCGACCAAAACAAGGGATTGGGGATAATAGTAGCTGGTGGCTAAACTTTCCAAACTAATTAAACAGAGATAGCAAAGCAACATGTATGCTTTACGATGTCCTGGCATTCTTGCGGCCCTCCTGTGCCTGGTATCCTTGGGCCTTGCCAATGGTACCTCTACCTCTACGAGTACGAGTACTGGAACTAGTACTGTTCAAAGGACGCTGGGGAGGGGTATTAATAGCGGACTACGTATTCGTGGAGGTAGAATTCGTACCGTTATGGCAACATCCGAAAACGCGCGCCATTTGAAATACAGCAAGGACCGCGATGGAAACAACAAGAGGAGAAGACCCAACCGAGTCGGTTACAAGGGAGAAAGTGAAGATATTGTTAATAGCAGTGAAGAAGAAGCAGTACAAGAAGAGCAAGAAGAAGTGCACGAAGAGCAAGTAGAGCAAGAAGAAGAAGAACCATCTTCTATGGATGAAGGCTTCTTGGCCAATCCAGCTCTAGGTGCCATCGAAGGATTCAGTGGGGACAGTGCTAGTGCAGACAATCTGGGTGGTGGAGGTTTCCTTTCAGACTTTGACACCGCCATGGATGCTCCAATCTTTGCTGAAACACAACATCCAACCACTTTGCCAACTAAAAATCCAACAATTGCACCCACCAGCCAACCCACCTTGGAACCAACTAGAACTCCATCTCTTGCACCCACTCCAACCAAAGCCAGCCAAAAGGGTAATAGACACTTCAAAGGAAAACGGGCCAAGAAGCAACCCAATCCAAAGAGCAAGATACGAGAAATGCATAGACTCAAACAACCAAAACTATCCCAGGATACAGATACAGATACAGATACAGATACCGCTAGCTTCGATGCAGTGGGGGATCAACTCAATCAGGTGGCTGATTTGACAGACCAGTCAGCAAGGCAAGATGACAGCATGCCAGAAAGCCCCACTGCAACACCAACAGGAGCACCCACAGACAATCCAACAGGAATTCCCACAAGAATAACAAGCCCACCAACGAAGAGTCCCACGGACTCACCGACTAGCTCGCCGACCGGCGCAAGCACCAAACAACCTTCTATTGCTTCCACTGACGACAACGTTGAAAATTCGCCAACAGCACCAGAATCACAACAACCAACACTACAACCTTCGATGGAAGAAATGACAATGGTCACAATCACAAAAACTCCCACAAATAGCCCCACCACCATCACCACCACCACCACCGCCGCCACCACTACGACTCAATCAACAGCAACGCCAACAGCAACATCCACTACAAGCGAGCCTACAGCAATGGCATCAACCGCAACACCGACAGTCCCGACCACCGACAAGCCTTCCGTTACAACCACTACGGATCCACCAAAGCCTACAAACAGTCCCACTGCAACAAAGCCGCCTGCAGCGGTTACCCCAGTACCAGTACCCACGCAAGATACTTGGATGACGGTGGAACGTCCAAGGCCCACTCCCGAGACTGCCGCCACCATCAAACCCACCTATACAAACGCATACTGGAGTGTCAACAAGGCCCTCGAAGAAGAATTGGTGGAAATGGATTGCCCTTCTGATAACGTGCAACACTTTCAAACCAATATTCGAGTGGAATACGATGGACGACCAGAGCTCCTAACCCCTGACGAAATTTCCACTCTCGAACGGTCAATGGCGACCCTCTACAACACCGAAAGCACTATGCTTTGTGATTCTTACTTTCGAAACATTCAAAGCATTGAGTTGCAACTGGGTTCTCGTGGTTACGTATTCCAAATTACCGCCACCTGCCGCGACTGTCCCGTCGACACGACTTCGCTCCTGGCTGGTTCAGTCGCCGAGACGATTCGTATGGCTGCAAAAGATTGGTTTGCTGAAAAGTTTGACACGGCTTCCGAGAGTGCTGGTGATTCGTACTACGGCTGGATCAGTCAATATGGCGGCAGAATGGTAAACAGCGACGGCCTGACTTCACGCGCACGACAACAAGAACGGAGACGAGTGGTGCAGGAGGACTTGTGTTATTGCCCACCAGACAAGTCACCCTCTTCGCCACAAGCGGTCACCCAGAAGGAGTTTGTCAGGATACAAAACGTGGCCATTGAGGAACTTCGCACAGCGGGATTGATCACCAGTGTTGAAGGCATTCTGAGTGTGCAAGAAATTAGTTAGTAATCAGACGAGCTGCCGAAACGGAACGAACAACCGAGCATACTAGAATCGAGGAAAGAACGTTTGAGGGAGAGTCTCAGTCAATGCAAGCAAGATGCAAGCATGCTGCCGTCTTTGTCGAATACTTTGCCAGCGGTGAAGCAAGCAAGATCTCACCCATCTCTGCGGCACCGCTTTGGGGGTGCTATTGTTCCGACTACGACTGGAGGACTTCCTCCGGCGAGGATCTTCAGTTCTTTGCGGTGGACTGGAAGGTGGGAAGCTCACGAACGGTGGTCGAGTCGCGGGAATCAAATCCGCAGCACCCGGAACGCCACCCACCTCGGCAACACCTCGCTCTGCACTCTGCAAGTACGAAGACGGACTCGACTCTAGATCTAGCTAGACAAATATAAGATTGATCAAAAAGTCCTACTCCAGTACGGTACATGTATGTGCTTAGCCACTTCCACGCTATCTTGGACTTTTTGTAAGATGAAGCTGTTCCCGCCGGCAGAAGGGCGTCAGCTGGGGGTGATCTCCATCTCCAGACGGCAACGTCTCGACCACAAGATACAAGATACCTGTAAACCAGCCAGGTCCTATGATAGCTGGAAGCTGGAAGTGAACAAGTAAGTGAACCTCGATATTGCAAATGCAAACGAGTCCCTGGACCCGTGAGCCGTGAGCGTTCCCTTTGTGAAGGCCTCGGTTGCTCCCGACTCAAAAAATGATTGTGGGACAGACTTACTACATGTACAAGCGCTTGAAGCAACCAAAATTGGGCCGCATCATCCAGCTGCTCCACACCTGCACCCACGCATTATTGAATGCTGGCTGCTGGCTGCTGGCTGCTGGCTGCTGGCTGCTGGCTGCAACAACATGTACCGTGTACTGTACCGTGCGGTACCGGTGTGTAATGTACGTGGTCTATTGATCGGAAGCAAAAGCAGGCCCATGAGCCATGAGCCATGAACTTCTAGAACGAAGTACTCAGTAGCCAGATTTATTTATTTATCATGAGGATAGTATTGAAATTGATAGTAACAATGTAACAATGTCATAGTAACTGTTGGCTGCAGGTTGGAATTTGCTTTACATGTAGATCTAGCTCCCGGATTTTGACCACTTTCTGTGCAAACGCTGACGCTGACGCGGAAAGGATCTAAATAATATATATATTAATATGTTGTACACATAGAATCGCCTCTGACTTTTAAAGCTATCGATCAAATATTGCTTCCAATAGGCGCCAGTCTAATCATCCGAAGCTTCTACTAGCTAGCTAGACTACTGTACTGGAGTAGTTAGCTGATGCTGTGGCCAATGCCGCAAGGAAGCATTGAGCATTGTCACAGATGTCAAGGCGACTCGACTCGCGGATCCTCGGATCATTGTAGATTTATGGAGTATATTATTTCATGTGATAACTCTTTGAAATTGAAGGGAGCAAATAGACTCTTCGTCAATTAAGGCTGAAGTGTAGCGGAACAGCGGAACCTTCTCAAAGAGCCGCCTGCCTCCAAGCTCAAGCGGAAGCGTGGAAGCTGACCAAAGACCAAAGACATGCAGCAACAGGCAGCAGGGACAGATTGCGGATTGCGGTATTGAATGGGCAATGCGGATGTTGTGGAGTTGTGGAAGCTGTGGATCGTGTGTGAAAGTGTGAAAGCCATCTTTGAGAGGCGATTATTTTTAATAATGCGAAGGCTTTTCAGTTGCTTTCCACTTCCAAGCGATAGCTTTTTGACTATTGTAAGCATTTTTAAGCTGAAGGTTTGGTTAGATGTATGGTACCGCTTGCTGGGAAGTATGGTCAACGCCGGGATTGGCTGCTCGTTCCTTCATCGATGCTGTTCTACTGGTGGATGATGGATCTGTCGTTTGTACATAGGTTTCTGTAATACTGTACTGGTACCGCTATCTTTTGGAATTTGAGACGCACCTCAAGGTAGTATTAGGAGCTATGATGGTGGAACATCAACGAATGCCACATTGTGGACCTCAGGTTTCTACGGTATTACACGTTACTTATGGAAGTCCTTGAATGAGAGAGTTTGATTTTGTCCAGGCTTGTCCCGTCCCGCAGCCGCTCAGTACCTTTTTGCATCTTATGCTTGCCGGGGTAATTGCACAAATTCGAATACTCCAGTAATGCCGGTTCTCCATTCAAAAACAAAATAAATAGAAAAGAGGTTTGGAGAGTTCATAATTTTGCCTTTGGAAGCACGAGTACCCAACTTTACTCACTCACTCAACCAACTCAACCAACTCCATCAATAAAATCAAGATGATCGCTACAGGCCCTGCTTATTGCCGTGTTGACAGTACTGAAGTGACTGAGAAGAGACTCAAGCGAAAGCGCCGCGAGAGTCTAGCTACTGCGTCTTCTTCTACTCAGACTGCGACTGCTACTACAGCCACTGCTGCTCCTGTTGAAGCTAGCACTAGCGCTTCTATCAGCGCAGCCAACTTGTCCCTGAAGAGACTCCAACTTGATGCCGACGCCACCAAGAAGCCTCGCCGCCATTCTCGCTCTGCGGCCATCAAGGCCAAGGCAGCTCAAGCCGCAGCAGAGCTAGAGCTAGTAGTAGATCTACCAGTAGCAACAGTTACTGTTCAACAAGCCCAAGAACAAGAAGACGAAATCCCGCTCTCGTTCCCCAGCCTTAACCTTAACCTTAGCCTTACTGAAGAGGTCAAACCCACTGTGTCCCTTGACAATAAGAAAACAGTGACCTTTGCAGTGGCCTTGACGGAAGATATTACTAGTGCTACCGGTACTGGTAGCTACACCTTGGATGCTTCTCTCAAGTCATCCATCTGGTACAGCAAGGCTGACTATGTGTCCTTCAAGGCTGCCATTCGACGGGATGTCACGCACATGGCCATGCTATGCCACAGAGACTCTCTCAGGAAACTAGATTTCAATGAACACTCCGTCGTGGGCATTGAAAAGTACTGCTGCTCCTCTCAAGAACAAATCAAGGCCAGAAGCATTCAAAAACAGCTGGTGCAAGCCGTTCTAGATCAACAGACGCTGCAGAAAACCCTCAACCTAAAGGACGAAGAAACCATGCGAATGATCTCCTTGGTGTACACACATCAGGGCATTCAGCAAGCACTCCTACGAGCAAAGGCGTTCCTACAACAGTAGCTACAAAATACAAAAGAAAAAGCTATCTCTAATAGAACACTCATAAGATATATATATATATATCATATCACTGCTAACTATAACAAAAACATAAACAAAAATAAAACTATATATTAGTATACTACGAGCTCTTCAGTTTCAGATAGCCCTCGTAGCCACTCATGGCCTGGTAATGATCCATCGTACCAAACATCCAATCCAAGTAAAACGCTCCAAAATTGCCTTGGTTGTAGCTGTGGTGAAAGTCGTGGTGTGCCACTTGATAGTCCTTGCCAAACACAATACTTCCGCTCCTGTATCCACTGTGTGTCTCGTACGTTTCTTGCAGCCGCAACCCAATCCAAATAAAAAAACACAAGGGATGCATTCGCCACACAAACAAACCGCTCACGGTGGGCAACTGATTCGCTAACAAACCTTCCAGCGGATGCGCGTATTCCGCTGCGTACGACACCGCACCCACAAATTCGTGATGTTGTTTGTGAATACTCTTGTACAACCATTTCGAATGCAACAAGCGGTGCATCACGTAGAATAACGTGTCATTGGCCAGTAAACAAAACAACAACTGCAAGAAGGAACCAGCTACCGAAGGAATACCGGTGGCAGTACCATCACTATCACTGCTGTCAAAACCCAACAACAGGGGTTGAAACAGAATGGGAAAAGCCACATAGGCAGATATTGGAGAAACAATCAACTGACCAATGACTTGATCCAAAGCCAGCTTGGAAAGTTGATTCCTGGAAGCTTGCATGGACGGTTTCCGAAACAGTTTCAAGGATTGATGCACTTGGTACGTGTCCCTGACAAAGTAAGCTGAAAATACATGTATATATATATATATAATGAGGACGGTAAAATTAGTACAGCAATACACAAAAAACAAGGTGTTGTGCTGCAGGTATACTGCCGCAACAAGAACTCACGCAGATTGACCCCCAGGTAGAGACCGGTATGCACCAAACAAAGAACCGCGGTGAAGTACCACCTGTCGTCCACATCATTCTCTCGAGCAAAGCTCCTGGAACTTCGGTACCACGGCGCCAACCACTGAACCAACAAGGCTCCCAACAAGCATTGCTTTATCAGATAAATGTCCAAAAAGTGACAACCAATCGTCGCAAAGGAAGGATACTGCGGACGAGGTCGAATGCGGGGGGAAGAGCCAGTGCCATTTCTATCCACTAGTATAGCGGTATTAATAGCGGCGTTGACCTGATCCTCTTGGTTGTTCTCCGCCATGGCGTCCCCATGCATGTCGTTCTGAGCATTCCAAAACTATAGACACAACAACATGCTGCAACCATCAACCATCAATCATGCAGGATGCATGCATGCGTGCAACCGCCGAGTTGCTCATGGGTTCGTGACGTCAGGTACTGGTACGGTCACACGTGTAGTCATTGTCACCTCATCATACGTATGCATACTTCCGAGAATTGAATGCCGTGCGTAGTGGTACAGTACAAAATTGGTTGAGTACGAGAGCGACCGTAGAACCTACATCGGCTAGCTGTACCAGTACACTGGATACCAGTACCGCACCGGTACGGTAAAGTCTACCGGTACGGTACGTGGGGGCTCTTGCACAGCACATACAGTAGCTGAAGGTACCGTAGCAAGGCATGCTCCTTATTCTATTACAAAGGATCCTTGGTGCGCTTCCAGTCTTTGTTATGATCATACCGGTATCCATCGATGCGCCCGTCAAATCGACTGCTATGGTACCGGCAGCTATGCATGGTAATAAAAGTAGCACATCAATCGCGGTACGAGTACTCATGGATCAAGCCAAATGCATTGGCCCGGGCTGGTCGGTTTTTGGATCTTTACATACTCTAGCTAGCACAAAGGTTAGCACCAATTCCTTTGCTTACATTGTGCTCAGTCGCTGTCTGTTGCCATGGTTGGTTATCTTTTGTTTGAGAGAAAAAACCGTACAGTACGATCGGTACCTGCAAAGCTGGCTTGCACAAGCAAGAAACAGCAGCAGATGGCGGAGTCGCAGCCAAGTCTCAATCAAGTGAGCGACAAATAAATGCACTTGACTTGATTGTTGGAACGGCTGAGAGGGCTGCAGCTTAATGAATCGAATCCATTGCCTTGAACTCAATTGCCAGCAATCACACAACGTCGCGCTCCGGGAGAAAATCGTCGGTTGGCTGCAGGTGATTCATTGTCAGGGTAGCTACTAGTAGCTTGTACGGTAGCTACCGGTAGCTAGCTAGTATGCAATACCAAAGAGCTGCATAAGTTGCATAGCATAGCATTGCTGCACAGCCAAGATGCAAATGACAAATAAAGAGCGAGCATACTTTACATAAGCTGGTGGTGCAGTCGTGAGCTTGTAGATACTTGGGCGCCTGACTTCAACCGGTGAGATCATTGGCATTCTCTAGCTAGAGAATTGCGTCGTTCAGCCAGGGCCATTCACCAGCCAGTCATAGAGCCAGCCAGTGATTTCGCGCAAAGGTCTCGCAGTGTCCATAAAAGAACCCATTATTTCTAAAGCATGTCCGATTTCTTATAAATGTAATTTGAAGTTTGTGACTACAAGATTGGCGACGCACTTTTCTTTCATTTCGTCAGCTTGACTATGGTGTAAGTTGAAGCTAAGACATGAGCTAGGTCGCGAAGAGCGAAGCTTCGAGAAAGCTTAATTAAGAACTTGCTTGAGTCGGCAGGCTCGTTGGAACATTTTGGATGGTTGTGTGGCGGAAGCAGCGGAAGCTAAACCGGTCACCGAGGGCGATTCTATCTAAACTCTGGAGCAGCACCACCATCTGAAGGAGCAGAAGCCAGCAGCAGCCAGGCAACCACAATAATTGCAGTCAAATCCAGCGAGCAAGACCGAGGCAACAATAACCACAAGAGTTCGTCTAGCTAGCTATAATAGCTATCTAGCTAGAGCTAGCACAAGCAAGGAAGGAGCGACCATGTCGTACGACAAGAGTCTGGTAGCTCTGAAGAGCGACTATGTGCCGGGACCTTTCAGCGTGATTTGCCAGAGAGGCAAAATGGCGTATACGCACAACCAGCATTTTCGAAATCTACTCAAGGGCCACGTAGACAAGTACAAGACCGCTGCGAGTCGTCAGCTCAAGTCCATGGTTGTGTCGGATATCGTCGATAAAGTCAGAGCAAAAAGTCCGGAAGGAGCTTTTGTCAGGTGTGTGCATGGAGTCTGGTATGAATGCGGGGAGGACATTGCACGGTAAGTCTTCTTGTTTTTCTCTAGCTAGCTACCGGTATCTAGCTACCTGACTAGCTACCTGACTAGCTACCGATACCAGTAGCTAGCTAGCAATGATCAGGACATGCCAAAACTTGCAATTTGAAACTTGATCAAACTAACAAACATCGTTACTGCTTGCTGCCTCTTACCTATACCACCACCCTACCTACCTATTCATGGTGCTATATTGGCTACCGTAACCACAATTATTAATTTTGGACCTTGAAAAAATCCAAAATTCTGCATCGCTTTTTGGAATCGTTGTTGCGAATGCTCTTCTTCCCGATCTATTCGGTTGTGCTCTTGTGCAGAGAAAAAGTTGGAGGCTGCTTCAGGGAACTCTTGGCAGACCATTATGAGTCATCTACCAAGTCCAAAAAGCGACGCAGAGATGCAGAGAAAGCTGCACAAGACGCAGCACAAGAAGAAAACCTCAAGAGCTTGGTGCATCCGGAAATTACAAAGTCCATTACACCCGAAGTCATCACCCCTACAGACAAAGACATCCTATTCAAACCTGGGGGGAGAGTCGCTGGAACCGCTGGATCCATATACGCCAAACTTGTTGAAACCACCTATCAAGACTACCAAAGGGATCCGTCCATGCGAGGTACTTTCGTACAAATTGTCATTGAGGGCCTCAAAAAGAATGGAGGCAGATTCCTTGAGCAAAAGAGTGAGGGAGTTGTTCTCGCAGACAAGGAAACTGTTTCTACACAGATTAACCAAGCGTTCCAAAGGCGCATTCGACAACAACATGATCGAGAGAACAAAGTGGCACAAATTGCACAGAAAAAAGCAACTGCAGTGTTTCAAGACCATATTGCTACAAACGTAAAGTATACCCATAGCGCCAAGGGGACTGCTCCGGTGACTGTGCATGTGACTGTGCCCGCTGCCACAAATGACACACAGGCTGCTGCCGTTGCTGCTGCGAACCAGCCTACTGCGGCCACAAAGGCTACTAAGAGTATTCCTGCTTATCCTGCGGCTGCTCACTTACAGACACAGCTGGCTCCTCTAAAACACAAGCCTCCTCCCGCAGTTACAAATGCAGCTGCCCCTAGTCGCCCATCAAAAACATATCCGAGCACAGCACCGGTACCGGTTCCACCGAAACCTCATGTTGCTCCCCCATATCCCCACCCGAATTCGATACCTCCTGCCCCATATGTTGCTGGTTTTCCCCAAGGCATGCCGATGAACAACGCTGTTGGCACCAGTCTCTGCGCGACGGCGAATATCCAGCAAGGCAGACCAACCAGCCCCAATATCGGCCGAGGCAGGCCAATGAACGGCAATTTCGGACCAGGCGCGCCGAATGGTCACCAGCGCACCAACGCTGCCCCGGCACCAGCTTCTGTTCTTGCACATGCCTCTAATCGTGCCCCGGAAACGGCAGCGAAAGCCAATGCAGAAGCGACAGCTAATCAGGAAGGACCCGCGAGCTTCATTTCGCCATCGCCAAACAATCCAAACGACCCAATGGTGCAGATACCCATGTCAGTGGCCCTTGAGGCTCTTCAGGCAATCAAAAGTCGTGCACTCAAAAAGAACAAACGACGAAGGGCAGCCTTTGCTGACTCGAATGACACCAGCCAACCTGCGATTGATGGACTCGTAGAGCAAATGCGGTCGAGGATAAACGAAGTACAGCATAATCCAAGTTCAGAACGCCCTGACGTCATCTGTCTGGACGACGATGACGACTTCGACGAAGTGAAACATGTTGATAACCCAACAATCGTACCCCCACAGAATCACCAGAGCCATCTCAAGGCTCCACCCCATGCTAGTCCTTCTCAGGGTCGCAGAACATCTGTGCTTCAAAGCCGTCCCGATGGCGGTGCCACCAACCAGGAACCAAACGCCAAGAACCAAGGCGGAAATGCTGGAAACGCCGCAGGCAGTTCCCATGCAACAGCTCCTCAGAATCAATTGAAAGCTCCACCTCGAACGAGCCCGAATACATACCCTCAGAATCAGAATCAATGGAAATCTCCGCCTCGAACGAGTCCGAATACATACCCTCAGAATCAGAATCATTTGAAAGCTCCGCCTCAAACGAGTCCGAATACATACCCTCAGAATCAGAACGGTGTTCTTAAACAAAGCCCCGAAGTCAGGCAGAAAGGTACAAGAGCAAACACTTGCGCGGCCTCTCCAAACGCGTCAATCGACGGCCGAAAGGATGGCAGGGAGGACGGCGCCTCTGCAGCGAAAAACCATAGTCAGCATGTTCAAACCACCAACGCTCAACAGAATCAGCAAGACAGGGAGGTTGCTGAACAGGCTCTTGACGCACTCAGGACACTCTTTCCCAGCAGTGCCAACAAGAAACAGAAACAGAAACCGGGTCACGATCGGAGCTCCGTTGGGCGCCCTTCACGTGTGTATCGGCTAGCGCTCGAGAAAATCATGACATATACTTTGACAGCCAAGAACCCTGGCAGCAACGCCCCGCACACTGAGCCTTCAGGAGCAGAAAGTGACAACACCAGGAAACGTCCTACAACTGGAGTACCGCAGATGACCCACCCGGCAGACAATCTGTTATCGCATACTCATACAGAAGCGGCAGGCCTCGCGAATGCACAACTGAAGATGCCAGCCAAAGCCACTGAGAACCACGGTGCAATCACGAACTCGAACATTGACCTCAACAATGAGGTGTCGAGTCATCATCACGCTCGGAGATATCCCGTGAATCGCAGCCAGTCAGACGATGGAGCAATCATGGCGGGTCGGCAGTCTCGACGAGCTTCTTCCACAATCAATACAGACGTGAACTCCAGCTCCCATGACCCGCAGAATCACAGTGTCGAGAACACAAAACGGCCAAGAGAAGCACTGGTCGATCCCGAGGCTGCAAAGGTTTCTGGCCGCGATTATCTCATACATCGGTTGAAGAAACAAAGGAGAAACACCGCCGAACCCGCCGGGCTCACCAGTGCGGAGGATAGAATCAAGGTGCTCCTCAAAAGGCAAAACGAAGTTCTGCAACGACAGCTAGAAACAGGTCAGCAGCTACTGAAACAACAGTCACGGCAAGGCAGTAGTGCAGGAATGCATCAGAATCAAATGTTGACCGCACAGCAAATTGAGTATCAAGTCCAACAACTAAAGATACAGCAAGAAATGGCCAAGGCTATACAAGAGGCAGAACGTCTCCTGTCGCAGCGAAAGCAAATGGCGGAGCAGAGACTGCTACAGGAGTTCCCACAAGATCAGCATCATCATCCAGAACAGCCGGAATTGCTACCGCGGCGACGAGAGCGCGAGCCAACAGAGCAACAGGAAGAGACCGCGTTAGAACGTTTCAGAAGATCCTATTTCGGCTCTGGGTCTGAGTCGAAGGAGTGTCGGACTGTTCCAGATCTTTTGCATCGCAGTCCTGCACCCTCTCGGCGATCTCCCGCTGTGAGAAGTTTCCAAGAGTCCGACGAGCTGAGGGAACTTGAAAGGCTTGAGCAAAATCGCGAAGACCTGCAACTGGAACAAACGAATGCGGTCCAGGTCCAGGAATACGTAGAGTCTTTTCCGCCCATGGAGAAATCACCGCCACCGCCTCGTCAAGAAGCTGAATCAAGGGTTTACTTTCATCCATCAGAAGCAAGCTCGCCACCACAGGAAGCTGCTGCATCCCAAGCCCACAGCGATAACAAGCAGAGCCCTGACTACTCTGTGCATACTAGCACGGAAGCAAAAGAAAATTCTGAGCATCACGGGGAACAGACCACTCGTGCATCGAGCGACCTTCGAGAGGTCGGTGTACAAGACTTGTCCATGCCGGTAGAGACCGAAGGATATGTAACGGCACCAACTCTCGATGCGGTGACTTCGACTCCTTTCATACCAACAATCGATCACACGGAGGATGAGCAGAGGCCGAAGGCTCCAGAGCCTCCCGGTGAAAAGGTCGTGGATCCTATGGTCTACTTAGAGGAGGCCGACGGTTGTAACGACAAGGATGAGTTTGCTTTGAAGAATGTAGATGATGTTGACGACGGCGCTTCGAGGCAAGTCATGGAACCAGAAGCATGTGCCTCCTTTGAAAAGATGCAGTGCAATGTTGAGTTGGCTGAAGCAGTGGAGGCGAACCCGGAGACAGCAGTGGTGAATCATGAGCCGTCGGATCCTAGAACAGCTGGTCAGCTTGGCGACGAGATGAAACCATCAGCTCTAAATCATGAGGCTGCTCGCCCGCCTGAAGAAGTTGAAATTGATGTTACAGGTGTGCGTTGCGATGAGTTGGATGCGTCAGAAAAGGTGGACCAGGTCTCCGAAAAAGAAGACGGGGCGAAAAGCATGGAACACGACGTCCACCCTTCGCAAGGAGAAGACAGTCCATATCACGGAAGTGGCGAGGAGGCAGAAAACACGCATGCCGAACAGAGCCTCGAAGCCACTTCGCATTCACAGGAAATGTATGCCGAGATGGAAGGTGCAGATGCCGGTGGATATGCTTCCGACGGGGAAGAAAGTGCTTACGTTGTCGTTTAAGAACTTGATTGAGAGTCTCATTAGAATGATAACGTTTTTAGACTAAAAGTCGCAGTAGTGCTCTCGGCTAATGTACCATTGCATGTGCGTGTAGAGCCTCTAGAGGAGCTCACGATTTGCAGTGCATCTTTTTAGGAGTTGCCCGGCTAACACGGTGTAGATGGACACGGATCGAGCTGCAAGGAATGCCGGTTTTCACGTTTACGTCCAGCGTTTTAGCAGAAAGCCGCCGAGGGAAGGACAGCACTGCTCGGGAGCTCAAGTAGCCTAGCCAGGACAGTCTGATTGTCCATCAATGGAACGAGCAAAGTGATGCTGCTTTCGGGTTTTCTGCAGGAAAGCCAATTCGATGTGCTCCAACTTTTCCCGGCTTTGCTTGGCTAGTTTGGATCCACATCGTCACTACAAAACTAACTGGATTGAGTGGTTTGATCAATACCAAGGTCACCCATACTTGTATCAATGAGTCTCCATGCCGCGGGGAATTCTCGAGCATAGAAAGCCTGTTTGACTGGGTAGAACTGTTGCATGTGATCATATCTATCCTCCAGTGCATAGTACCAAGAATTGACGATTCCTTGCTCATATCCTGGTTCTTCATGATTGTCGGCATGATATCCTCGAAGTCGATTGATGTATGCTGTAAATGTTGAAAACCAACACCCAAAGAAGACTCTCCCTCGAGAGGCAATTAGTTGGTCCAGCATACCGTAAAGATTCTGAAAGAAAGAAACAAGTGTAATAAGGTGGATACTGAGATTCCTGATGGCTGACTATCATGCTTCCAAGTAAACTTAGAAGATACCCCACTTCCACCTTGCCAATGATTATCAGAACATACCGTGTTCACTTGTTTGCCCACGGCATCAATCATGTCATCCAAAAATACAACATCATAGTGTTCCATGAGCGGCTTGAAGAATTCTTTATCTCGCTCATCTTGGAACAATTATATCGGTATGTGAGCAGTGGACATAATCCTCGACTGTGAATGATTCGATTAATTCAATCCATGCATTTCTTACCAGTTGCAATGTACAGAATATCTCCTTCGGTTAATTTTTCCTTTGCCATCCGATACATGACGTCAGCTTCAACACGAGTAACCTTGTACTGAAAGTCTCCCCGTCGCACGTGAAAGGAATCAAACTCGCCCTTGACGTTTTTGGGGTTGCGCTGTCTAGCTCGTTTCCGGAGGGCCTCCACGACTCTTGCAGCGGCACATTGTATTTCATCAACGTAGCGGACATGATCTCGAATGAATCGTTTCATCCATAGATCATGTCTCCAATCTTGAAAGAAAATGAATGCTGACACCACACAAACAATAATGCATACATGCAGAAACGATTTTTGATGATATAACATTTCTGAAGTGGAACCTGCATGGCAATAAAGAGCCATACTTTCGAACTTACCATAAAAGTGGACAAGCAGTCGTGCATTCAATTTTGGATCGGTTGGAAAGTGCACTGAAAGTTGTTGTTGTACAATATCGTTGTAAATGCAAAGCTTTTTGCGTTGAGCCCAATTTTCCTTGAGTCTCAGAAGTGTTGTAGCATTGACGGGAGTGGGTTTTCCTACATACTGCTCCCATCGGGGGACCCCTTCTTCGTCTAGCATGTGTTGTGCCATGTCATGCAATTCCATTTCGTCCTTCTTTTTTGGTGATTTTGGGAAAGCTGCCATGCACTCTTCGGGTGTCCATACAACGGTATGACTAGCTTCTCTGAGGTAGGCATAGAGTTGCTTGATTTCTTTTCGATCAGCCCCGTCCCAGTTAGTGCGGTTGTAGGGTGGGAATCTGACTTTGTTGTTTTCATATCGATCCCGCATTTTTCCCTTCATTGCCACAGTTTCTAGAAATTGTGTCATGGTGATGATATCAAGTCCCTGATGTTCGTTGTGTATGGATTCCATGTGAAAGAAATGTGAGAATGAAAATGTTTTCTTTTGTTCTCCTCCGTGTTCTGCCTTTGTTTTTGACAACAAGTAGAATTCCTTTTCCGGTGGCAGTACCAATGTTCTTCCCATGGCAAAGGCAAGTGCGAGAACAGTTTCCATGTTCATTCTGATATTGTTCCAACCTCCTTCATCAGGTTCAAATGTGAGGTATTGTGTTTCATCTTTGCTTTTGAAGGGACTGATGTACTTGGCATCTGAGGGAATATCTTCCCAGTAGACCATTTCTTGTGCTGCTTCAGCGGAAGGTCCCCCATAAGCATCGCATTGCAATCCTGCCAAATTGTGTTGTTGTTGCTGTTGCTGTTGCTGTTGTTGGGCAGCCTGTGCCCCATGAGCCTCTGCTGCAGTCAAGATTTGATTTTCTCCTGGTTTTTGGCGTGGCTGCAGAAATGCTTGTTTCAAGTCTGTCTGGAGATTCAAGGTATCTAGAGCTCCCAGCATGCCCAACTTGGTGGACAGGTAAATGTTCAGGCCCAAGGAAAACAAGGAAGATACAAAGATTGCCACCAGGAACACTTGGGAAGAAGTACTGGCACTGGCTCTTGCTGACGTTCCAGGTGATCCCGCTGCATCAGCACTTGTACTTGTACTACCGGTACCGGTACTAGTAGTTGATCCCGCAGAGAGAGAAGAGCTCACCGGCTTTCTTGACTTGTTGGGAGCTTTGGGCATCTTACCAGAAGCAATACAATAGAATTTAAGTGATAGAAGTGTGCTTTTTATGGTAGACAGTCTGCTGCCCTTGTCGTCAAACCGAGATCTCGAGCTTTGTCAATCAATGATGCTAAAACTTGCAACGGATGGATCTATCGATCTTCGAAGTCATTGAAGGTGCGCCCATCGAACACCCACGCAAAGTCTGCAAACCCCCTGACAAGGCGTTAGTTAGGGTGAAGGATATATTCGGGTTGGAATGAGCTCTCGGGATCTCGATCGGGCTCCATCAAGGCAAACGAACCATGCACACGACATTGTGCACAACACGCACCGCACCCAACACCCGAGGGCTAATGTCCATATGGTACAGTACCAGTTACCGGTAGCTCCATCCAGCCAGACAATAAGCTGTCCATCTAATCCATCTTTGCAAACTCAGACTTTCATGCTACCGGTACATGTAGATGTGATCGCTAACCACCAGCCAACGACAAAAGAGTTCAATGCACCAGCCGTGCTCTTTAAAATTGCTGTGGACTACCTGGTATCATGGTGAAATCCCATCCCTCTGACATCTATCTTTGCTCGGTACAGTACCTCGGGGATGACATGCAAGCTAGTCGCAAGTTGGAACGTCGCAGTAGGACCAAAGAATCGTCGGATCAGATGAAAAACACCAAGCCCGATCCGACCCGTCCGGGTTTCTACAGTAGTTCTCCTCCAAGTCAAACATGCTCGTTTCAGGTGCGAACTTGTGACGATGAGGGAACTGGGCATCAAAACAAAAGAAGTAAGGTGGTGCTCTGACAGACAAAATCATCCTCGTGCTGCCCAAATGCGCGTACCTGACTGTCCCACCGTTGACAAGGGATTCCCTGGGAGGTTCTGTTGATAGAGCCTTTTCAAATATGCATACACAAAAGCGGAAACACGAGAAACCGGAATAGAATCACAAAGTCAGACTCGTGCAGATCCTCTCTGGAAATATTCGTTTGCAATTTTCCAACTCACCTCGATAGTCCTGTTGTTTGAGGAGCAGAGTCCCACACGTGGAGCTAGAGTCCTTTGTGAAGCATGGGGGTACTCTGCAATACTCCCACAAAACTTCAGTTGATTGCGTAAAACACCACGCCCCAAGACTGTTCGGTCCGTCAGGATTTCGGCTATGACAGAGGAACGAGATCAGCAATATAGCATTGTGTGGTTACGAGCACTCCAGCGCGCTATGTCTCCAGCAGATACCAATCAAATTTGTGACGTACCAGTAGTTCTCTTCTAGCTCCGGTTTCTCGTCTGGGTTGTACTTGTGAGGGTGGGGTTCCATACTGCTCCATTGCTGGCACTCTAGTCCACTGACTGTCGTGCTGATGTTTCCTACGGACGCAAAAGCAAAAGCAAAAGCAAAACGAACGTTAGTTTGTTCATTCAATGTCATTCGCGGAGAGCCACCTTGGTGCATGGCTCCTGCACGGTACCGTACGTGCCTGTGTAGTCCGCTTGATGGAGATGCAACGATCCGCAGACGTGCGGGTCGGCTTGGGGGAGTTGCGGCAATTCTTCGCAGTCAGGCAAATTGCAGTACTCCCAAGACGACGATGAGTTGCCAGCCACAAAGCACCACGCCCCATCTCTCATGCCATCCAAGTTGCGACAGAAATTTTCCTCGAGAACCATGTAGTCCATGGTCAAATTCATCGCAGCCAATTCGTTCGCTTTACTGACCCACTGCAAGCAATTCTTGCCGCTTCTGCTCGAAGATTTGGTGCCTCGATAGTCTGACTTTTTAAGACTGGGAGACCCACACTCCTTGCAATCAGAGACATCACAGTATTCCCAACTGTTCGTTGCGTTTGGATTGTCGACAAAGCACCATGCTCTACTCCGTTCCGAGCCAGGGTTTCTTCGACCAAAGTACAGAAATGAGTTGAGCAAACGAGCTTGAAAAAATTGAACTCGGTCGAGCAATCACAAACCCCCACAATTTGTGGCTCGTGCTGACTTACCGACAGTAAGCGCCGAACAGGCCCTCGTCGTGCATTTCCTCCGGTGTGAAACCCTGAGCAATGGCATCTGGATTCTTCAGCCACGCCACGCACTCAAAGCCAGACACTGTTGTACCCATGCCGCCTCTGGTGGGTGGGTTGTCATTCAGGGAACAGAAAACAATGAGTGGAATGATTGCTTTGCCTTCGACAACTTGAACGTCGGTTTCCCACCTGTAATCGTTCTGATTTAGGGCTAGGGTTCCACATGTCCGTCTCATACTGACACTTTCGGAGCAGTACGGTACCTCGCACAGATCTATCCCACGAGCCAGCCAATCAGGCGAGGAAGTGAGAATACCAGTATACTTACGTACGACTGCAGCCTTCGTCAATGGGATCGCGTTGAACTTACCAGTCCACTTGTTCGGATCTTTTGGAGTTGTGCGACGAAGAGAAGCAGACAGATCAGCATGACGGCCAAACAAACGTCTGGCGCAAGATTTCCAACTCACCCGTGGTATGACACCAGATGGAAGCAGTATTGCCATCGGGGTTCCTGAGAATACCGGTACCGGTACGTAACATGGGCGGGGGAACGAGCCAGTTGTCGTGTGAGCTCCAACTTTGCACAGGTGGTTTCGAGTCTTTGCATATATATTTCAGGCGGATGAATGACTTGCCTACAATAGTTCTCCTCAAGCTCGGGGAATTGAGTGGGAGTTTTTCCGTGCGCGTGAGGGGCCTATTGAGAGAGTTACGGATAGTAAGCAACCACTTCCGATCAATTCTTGTTGAAGCCCGAGGGGCGGAAATGCACAAGACCAAGAAGACAACTTACCTGAGAATCCCATCTCTGCGCCACCACGGCATACCGGTACATTTGTCGAGAGTTGCAGAAGCGTGAGGACAGTCCAGACAGACAGATGCGGAGTGATCGCTTCCTTGCAATTACCTGGCATGTACGACCCGAGGCGGTAACATTTATAGTCCCTGTCGATAGAGAAGCAATTGGAGACGGTGGTATCGTATCGTTAGATGCTTGCTTCGTACATGTAAGAAAGATGGGTTGACACTCTGTTTGCTGGCATCCCGTGGTTTCAGACCTACCACGGTAGTCCGTTTGTCGCAAGCTCTCCGTCCCACAATCATAGACTGTACAGTTTCCTTCACAAGTCTTGTTGTGATGCCTCAGTGTCTTCCTGATTCCACATGGGGTAACATCGCAAGGTTCTCGCCGTGTTTGATTATCCAATGTGAAGCACCAACTGTGGCGTGAAAAAATCCGAAAAAGTGGAATGAGAGGGACAGAAAAATTTGTTGGCTCAAGGAGCCTTGGCTGAAAGCTCGCCACTACGTGTTATTATAGATACATAGGAACGTACGCAGAGCTGGATCCATCGGGGTTCCGGCAATGGTTGTGAGATTCTAATCCAGCGTTGGGGAACCGATCGGGTGTCCGATCATGGAAGTGCGGTTCCATGCTGAGAATGCAGAAGCGGTAGACGAAGGAACCAATGCAAGGTACGGTACGTGAGCCCAAAGCATAGAAAGGCAAGGATAGATGGCATGGCAGGAATTAAAGCTCCATGAATGTTGCCATTTGCGTAAGGCACGTACCTATCCCAGCGCTGACAAATTTTCCCTGTGGCCGTTATGTTGATTTTGCCACGATAATCTTCTTGGCGGATGGTAAGTGTTCCGCACTCCTCTTGAGGTTCTACATATGGTTTTCCATCACAGAAGGGGACGTCACACCATCCCCATCGGCTGACGGGGTTGGTAGTATAGCACCACCTGGATTAGCATTGATGTAGGTTTGTACGTAGAAGATGAAGTAGATCAATGCATGCATAGTGTGAGGCGAGATGTGGCCTGGTGGATCTTGAGCTCAAAGGTGGACTTACGGTCTGGCATCACCTCCCGGATTACGACTGTTCGAGCCAGTACAGTGTATCGGTACGTAGCAACGAACCAAGGAATAACGAAGGGAGGATAATTAGAAGGGGGGAAAGTACGATTAGCGTTGCATTGACCCACATACATGTACATGTAGATGTGCACTTGATTGTGTCAGACGACAGGGAAGCAGTCTCTTACCAATAGTTTTCATCCAATCCGGCATCACTAAATAGGTCATCGTAGTAGTTGTGTGTGTGTGGGTCTTGACTGTTCCATCGTTGACATTGTTCGTTTGCTTCCGTGCGTGCAATGGTGCCTCGATAGTCGGCTTGGTTGGATTCCCTGGTTCCACATTTGGTGGAGTCAAGTGGGATGGTGTCCGGTTCTCGCAGTGCGACGGGAATGACGACGGCCAATAGCATGATTATGAATCCCAAGCAAACAAACTTGAACTTTTTGTTAGCGACGATGGCCCGGAATCCTTCCAAGGCTGGTTTGGCTTCAACGACCTCGTGAGTGGGTGTAATGGCGAGAGTCGCGTGGTCCCCTGTGGACTCCTCCGGCTGCACCAACGTGGCATTCAAGAGCACATCTTGGCCGGAAGCCAAGTCCGTACTGGACATGTGTTGCGAAGTACTGTCACTGCTACTGCTTGGAAGAGTGTTTGTGTCGTCATCAGTATATAGATGTATATCAGTGATATCTCCAAGGGGAAAGACAGCCACGGCGCCCGGTTGATAAACGGGTCTGTTTGGATCCGATCTCCTGAGCCCTGTGGGTTCTGGGATATATTCTGGGAATGGCGACGCATCAAACGGGACAGCTGCCGAGGTCGTGTTTTGGCTATAATCAGGAGGCATCCCATGGACAGAAGTGTTTTCCTTTTCCAGTGGTTTTCGTTCTGTTACCGCATTGGCCCCCACTTCTGCATGTTCAACCTGTTCAACACTTAGTTTGGCTACAACGTTGGTGATACCGGTATTGCTATTGTTGGTCCCAGTACCAGTACGTTTGGCTTTGAGATCCAACAGTTGAGCATCCACTGGCACGGGGACAGCAGATCTAGAGCCAGGGACAAGAACGCCAGAAGCAGCCTCGACCAACTTTTCCTTTTCCTTATCGTTATCACCAGTACCAGTACCAGTACCAGTACCAGTACTTACTGAACTTACTGAACTCATTACTGAAGATCCTTTCAAGGTTGTCTCGTCAGTGGTCTCATCCGTTGGGACTCCCACGCCCACAGTACCATCACCAGCAGTAGCGGACTCAGTAGTTTGAGCACGTGTACGTGTAACGATAGCGGTACCCCCATTGCCATTGGCATTGGCATCTGATTTATCCATCTTCTATAATACTTCCTCTGTCGTTTGTCTTTACTTGCTCTCAATTGCTAGCTAGTACCAGTAATATTAAAATAGCAGTCACCATGCACGACGGCAACCAAAAAACAATGAAGTGGAACTGGTTGAGGAACAGGAAGAAGAAATTTCGATTGATTGTCGCCTCTCGTGATTCTCGTGATCGCTCGACTTGACTCTGACTCGATTCGATTTGAACGTATGTTTTGCCTTTCTGAGATTGGTCTTAATTAATGGTGACTCACAAGTACCGGTACAGTGCCGTAAGCGTACAAGTAGGAGTAAACCTTTACTACCGAGAGGACCTGGTGTTCTCATCCTAGCTAGATGCTATGATGCTATGCATAGTGGCGTGAATTCCTTAGTGAGTGTTGTGCTTGGGCTGGGCATTACCGAGCGATTTTAAAAAAACGTGTACTGTACATCGCCTCTTCAACTTCAATCAGATCTCTTATTCTTCAATTGAATAAGAACGGTGACTGGTTTCTTTTAAAAAGAAAGGCTTTCCACTGAGTCACTCAAACACTCAAACAGTTACAGCAGGAATTAGGAAGAAGATCCTTTCCTGTAGATTCTACTTTCTCTTCAATTTACTGTTCGATTTCGGATGCAGTGCAACGGCAGCCACACGGATACATGTAGCAGCTCATTGGACGAATAGCTGACCACCATACCGGTACCTACAGTGGAGCCAGATACTAGCTACATGTAGCTATCTAGTACTTTTGTGGAGTTCTGTCAGGCTGTCAGGGGTGCAAGGGGATGATCTGCAGGAAAACTGAAAACTGCATGGATTGGTTGCCGTGTTGCCATGCTGTACATGTAGCTGCCTGTTGCCAAGACCGGGTCGGGTTGTTTGAAGCAAGTATAGTACGATGGAAGACCGCCTTGTTTACTCTACACCTGTACCGGTTCTACTCGGAGTTGCTCCGGGATCCATAGCGGTTGCTTGCTTCTCGCTCGGGCCCACTAATAAGTCTCTTTTGGCAATCCGCCACGAAGAAAAGACCTATAAGTTGAAGGAAGCCAGCCAAGGCTGCACAGCAGCCACCGTACCGGTACAGTGTACGTATCTATCTGTCTACAAGTGCATCACCTCGGTAAGAAGGCAAGCCGCCCATTAGTGCTATTAATAGTCAACCAGTGTTTGACTTCCAATTCGTCTTCAGAAGCAAAGACCACTCCAAAAAGTGGCAATCCCTTTGTTTTTGGTGTTCAGCAATGTGCGGTGCTGGATTGGCTCCGCCAATGGCAGCAGTTTCATTCATACTGTAGTTTTCTTTCCTCATACATACCGGCACCGTACTGTAGGCTTGCTGGATTATCGATTGGCTTGGGCCGTTCAGCACAACGACACAGTGTACTACGGTACTAGCTAGTATTTTGCCTTCTTCTCCGATGGCTGGCGAGGCCAAGCAAGAAGCTGAAAGATTGGGTACACCATACGGTACGTGAGGTTGCGAGCTCACAATTCATACTTCCAAGAAAGCTCTTTCATTCGCTCGTCTATGTCATATCTAACTAAGTACCTGGTACCCCGCACCCATGCAGTACGCGAGCAACATGATTCATGATTTTGTCGTTTACGACCAGTACATGTAGTCTAGTGGTGCAAGTAGGATTGCCATCGTTGTCACCGCCGTACTAGCAATGACCCGTGCCGATTCGGACCGACTTGGACTCGGGAAGCTTCGTCGTGGTAGCAACAATCTGGAGGATGCAGCAGAGTATTACGAATGTGCTTGTCCGGGAGCGCAATCTAGCTAGCTAGCTAAAACAAATCAGTACTTGTATAGATGTATAGATAAAGGTAGTGTTTGTTTGTCTGCTGTTCTTACTATACTCAGGTCTTGCTATTCCTATTCATAATGAATAAGACAGTGTGTATGCTAGTCTAGTAGAAGAACCCCAATACTTTACCTCCCGTCTTTTTGCGACGTGCTTCTTCATGGGTCATGATTCCGTAGGTGGTGGTAAGGACAACATGTCCGAATTGACGAGAAGGCAGAAGATTGACAATCCATTTTTCGATTTCGTCATATGGACAATCGAATCTTGGGGAGATGACACCGCACTTGTTGAGACGTCCATTGAGCTCAACGACGATCTTTTGGGAGCGATGATCGTCGACAATCTCGAATTCTCCAATGTATCCGTGTGCTTGCATACAGACCAAGAACTTGACAATCACCTTGGAAGAAGGACGAATCAACACTTGGCGACGACCACGCTTCTCGGCGTTGCTGATCGTCTTCAAGCAATCTGCGAGTACTGACATGCGAACCATCTACACAAAAAACACAAGAAAACACAAGAAAACACAAGTGAGATACCCATCTTAACAAGAAATACTAATGAAAATACTAATGAAAGGGTATATACCCATCTCATCTCATCTTAACAATCCATCCATCGATAGACTCACCTTGAACTAACTTCTGTATTGACTTGATAGATAGACTTGACTGAAGCTGAAGCTGAAGTTGATCTGAACACTCCTGTGGATGATCAAGAATCAAGATGGAGTTGTTGCTGCCTTGGTTTGACTTGTCTTGACGATAAGGAGACGAAATTTCTAGTAACTTGTGCGGCTCTGTCGGCAGCAAGTGTTCGCGCGATTTCCACGCGCCCTACTGAACGTACGTAGAAGTCTACATGACGTCATCAGAGTCCCTTACCGATTACTAAAATTTTGGGTTATCAGCTGAAACAAAACAAACGCTTGCAGAAGTTGCTTGGACGGAGACAAGCAGAGCAGCAGCCGCAACAACAACAGCACCACCAACATCTTCATCTTCATCATCATCAACAACTGATTGAACTGACAGCCGTTGTTGCCATCTTCCCTCTTGTCCATCTCTTGTCTACTATTAAAAGCTAGTATCCTACCGTAAGTCCTCTCTGATCTTAACCAAACTTGAGCTTCCTTATCTTGACTTGAGCTTCCTTAACCAAGGGTATCTCATCTATTTTCTTATTGTTATTCTTTTTTTGTGTTTTCAAGATGACCAAGTCCGAAAGTACCAAACGCCCTCCTAAACTCTACGTGGACGGAGCCGTACTGGGCTACAAGCGTGGTCAACGGAATCAGTACCAACACGTCTCTCTTGTCAAAATCAAGAATGTCGACAACAAGGAAGATGCCCGATTCTACTGTGGAAAGAAAATTGCCTTTGTCACCAAGGCCAGGGGACCCAAGGGCTCCACTTCCAAGAAGGAATTCCGCGTCCAATGGGGAAAGGTCTGCCGTCCTCATGGATCCAACGGAGTTGTACAATGCCGATTCACTCGTAATCTTCCTCCACAAGCCATGGGAGGAAGAGTTCGTGTCATGCTCTACCCTTCCACCATCTAACTAAAAACACAAGTCAAATCAGCTTACCACACTCAGTACCGTACTATTGGAGAGTAATACTACAAAGTAGTTATAATACAAACAACACAATAGTAGCAACTCAATCATCATTGATACTTTTTACTTATTGTTTGTAACATGGGGGGTGCTTTCAAGCTTCTTTCTTCTTCAAGTCCATTGATGGGTCCATTGATGAGTCCACATCCTGCTGTGCATTATTATTTCTGCAGACCAAAGAACTCACAAAGACCAATCCACCAACAACCATGGCAGCACCCAGCTTGGCGCCAAACAAGAGCTCAAAGGCATAGAGGGGGCACAAGACAACCAAGTAGACTGCCAAAAGGAACAACTGGACCACACAGTGCTGGGCATGGAACCAGTCTGACAAATCAAACGCCATCTGCACAAAAACAGCCACACCGTCCTTATTGTATGTCTGACACCATTGGGGGCTGATCCCACCCATACAAACCAAACGAGGCACAGTCAGGAGCATGTGTGCAATATGGTGGTGAGAGAACATGGACAACACAGAGAGGCCTTGTAGTTCCATGGTTTGAGGATCGCCATTGGGTTGGAGGGAAACGTAGCAGGAGGTTGCAATGCCATCCACCACAAGAGTGCCATCCTCAGTCAGGGGAGCATAGATGCCATGGCGGTGGACAGCGCCAATTTTGGTGACAACAGTGGGTAGTCCATCAGCTCGGGTGAGACTATCACCAACTTTGATGGAGTTGGCCGTGACTGGGGCATCCTTCCCCTGCACATAGATCAAATGTTGACCAGTGACTTCCAATGGGTTCTTGCCACGCATGGTGTGGATTTGGACGAATTCTGTATCAGTAGTGGCATCATTGTGGGCAAAGGCATAGACTGGTTGGTACTGGTTGTTTGCCGTCAAGACCATGTCTCGAATCCTGAGTTCCCTCATCTTGGTGGGTACTTGGCCGGGTTGTTCCACAGTGGCGTCCTTGGAAAAACAAGAGGAAGGTATAGGAGGAGTGGGAGTGGGAGGAGAAGGAACAGGAGCAGCAGAAGGAGCAGAAGTGCTGAGATTGTTGCAATAACACGTGATGACCAAGTTTTGGTTGTTGGTGGCTGAATATATCATAAAGACACTTGCGGATGTTGTGTGGGAAATGGTGGTTCCGCACTTGGTTGTACTAGCCTCAACAGCACCTGGACTTGATTCCATTAAAACTGAGAGCCCTGTAGCAGAGTCGCAGGTTACGTCACATACTACATCGGTGGCCCCAGCTTGGGGTGTAGTTGATCCAAATTGACCCAAGGTATCATCTGGAACAGTCATGGTAAGGCAGACAGAAGCACTGCATGATGCGGCCATCAATAACATCGTAGTAATGGTGATGAATGAATCAATCTTCATGGTGTGTAGCTACGGTACCGGTACGGAAAGGATACTCGAGTGGACAAGACTTCTAAAAGATACTTCGAATTTCTTGTCAGCCATCGAAATATGAGGCTGACACACTGCTGGTACGCTGTACTGTACGGCAGAGTGCCGGTGAGTGGTGACCGGTGGCATCAGCGCTAGCTAGATTATAGTTGCCGTCGGCCTCCGGGACCTTGTGCTGTACTCGACTAGCTAGTTGCTAGTAATGTGTTTTCCTGCATTTGCGGGACCTTGGACGGCATTGGGATGATGAATTTTATCTACATATTGTCCCGTGTAGGTTTCTGTGTGGTATCGTGGTATCCACGTGCAGGTTTCTGTACGGTTCACAGTACTGCACTCTGGGGTAGTCTACGTGCATTATGCATAAGTCTTCTTTGTCCTCTGCATGCCCTATTCCCTGTTCTCCTTTTGCTGGGGTCTTCTGGTCTGCTTTCTGGTTGTCTGGCTGGCGCTCGTCACACCTCGCACTTTACCGAAAGGGGGGTTTTGAGTTGGTAGATTATCTCGGAAGCCAGCGCACTTGACCTCATGCTCAGTCCAATATCACACCAATAGGCCACTCTCGCTAACCTTGATACCTCTACTAGCTAGCTATGATAGTAGCTAACTAGCTACATCGATGTGGCTAGCTAGATACCGGGACACAAGACAATTTATGCACTCGCTGTTTCGGCTACACAATAAACATTAATTAAGATAAGTGGAGATATTCTTGCTACATGCGGCGCTGGACAAACTTGATCTTCGCATTCAACAAGGCGTCTGCCAAGTGGCGACGGTTCCAATGGGTCTCACAGGAAGTGCATTGGGAAGTCACGCGGTCATACAGAGAATCCGCGTATTGGTCGGGACTCAGCAAGATGTCATGATCCTCCAACACACGACGGCGGCTCGACCCCGACATCAACTTTCGACCACGGCCTCGACGCCCCGATTTGGAAGTCGTGCAGCTGTAATCGTATGGTGTGTCCGATTCGTCAAACACCCACTTGTCAATGTCCGCATGAACGCCCTACAGAGAAGAGGAGGCAGGAGAGGACAGATAGACCAGGAGAACAGTGCCCAATCCAAGCAACCAAGCAAGTAAGCAAGCAACGATCGTGAGATACAAACTTGAATGAGTGGTGGCTGGCTAAGATTCAAGTGTAGGGGTGTGGTGGCATTCAACTGTACCGTCTATATATCAGTACTCACCCAGTTCCCGTCCACTACTTGGGTAACACCAAAATCCACGGCTGTCGCCATCAGAGCAATCGTCTCCTCCTCGATCAAGCCATACGTGTCCATCAACCAGTTACGAGTCTTAATGAAGCAATCTTCCATGGCCAAGTCCAACGAGGCACCTTCCGCAAAAACGTTCGATGGATCCTCCACCTGATCCAGATAATTGTTGTAGGCAAATCCATGAATCACGAACTCAGTTGAGGTTTCCAACAAGGGAAAGTTCAAACCCTGCACCATAGCTGGGAGCTCGTCCTTTTTGTGCAGGGTAACACGTAGCTTCGCCGTCATGGAAGTTTCCATGGCAGTCCCTGCCAACTCGGAGTCGCCTTGGGCAGCATGAGTATCGCCCACGACAATCATGGCTCCGGGCACTTCCACCGTGTAGTACATGGTTCCACCCTTGCCAATGCGCCAATCGTCAACGTTGCCTCCAAATCGAGACGGTGGAATGGAATTGGCACCACCCGGGGCGTCTTCATCAATGTAGTTGATCGTATTATTGGGCATGACTCCAAGGACACCCAAGTGGGGACGAAGGGGCACCTTCCAGTTCAACCCAGCTGGATCGGGGGACAGGTACAGAATGCCACCCTCGTCCGTGACCTACCGGTACACAAGAAAAGACGATGGCAAATGGTGTGGATTGCAATCAGAGATGCAAGCTATTGACAGCTCGTCCGTAAAGACGTCTTCAAACTTACAACAGTGTCATCAAATCCTGGAGGGTATTCGATGGGATCTTCCGACAAGAGATCTCCGTCGTATCCTTGATCATATTCATGAGGGACCATAACAGCAGGATTGTTGTCAAAGGTGCGTTCGGAGCCATCGGGTGCTGTCATGTTGGGGAAGCGATACATGTAAACTGGCTTGCCATAGAGCATGGTGCCATCCTCGTCCTCGAGAAACTCAAAGACGGTTATTGCCTCTGTACCTCCAGTCCGCACGTATGGAGTGCCATCGCGTTTGGTGCCTCCGTCAGCCCGAAACTGGTACCCGGCAAACTTTTGGCTGTTGGTCCCAAAGCATCGTCCAGTGACTGGGTTGTAGCGAGGATCCAACTCTAGAATGTCCACCTGAACAACATCTCCGACTTGTGCTCCTACGACTTCAATGGGCCCAGTGATGAGATGCACACCGCTTCCCGGTAGCTTTGGTTCGGGTTTATCAAGCAAAGTCTGGTTCATTTCCCAGTAAAAGATCTCTTCGACATTTGGATCTCCTCGAATCATCTTGGCATAGTCATGGCCCGAGTGGTGAGTGATGACCTCAACCGTCACGGTCTCACCCGACTCCATGGTGACTTTGGCCGTTGCATTGGGGTCGTAGTATCCCCAAGTCACGGTGTCAAGTGTGGCTTCTAGAAAGTGATCCGTTTCGCCAAAGGAACTGGCAACCTCGGCCCCCATTGGCAAGCTGATTTGCAATTCCAATGAAGGCTTGCAACCGGCAGCAGGAACTTCTTCATCACCATTCACGGATGAGATGCAAGCCAAAAGGGATGCAGCAAGAAGGATGCCACGGAAAGGTCGGGGCACGAAGCACGATGACACAAACGTTGAAAGAATCATGGTTGATCGAGGTTTCAGTTGAAAGGCCCCGCTAGCCTGAATGTCTTCGTATTCCTTGCGTTCCTCCAACGGACCAGATTTGTCTCCGGCGGCAGGTTCCTCGTCGAAACTATCTTCCAGTGGAAATGCACCACCCAGTGTTTCACAGCTGCCACCAGCCGAGATCGTCAAGGTGCCTTCCGCAGAAGAGAACGTGGGTTCCTCGCTGGCAGCTAGAACTGTCAAAAAGGGTGTATATCCTGTGGGTCGTGTTATGGAAATGGAATTGGAAATGGAATGGTGAGGCTCACACGAACAGATATATGTTTGGGAATTGAGAATGAAGGAATGAGCCTTGCTTACCAGCAGGAAGGGATGCGTAGGTCACAGATGCCTCGAAACCAACAATGGTGATCTTGCTGTCCGCCAAGTCAAATGTCTGCCCAATGCTGGCCAGTTCTTCTGAAAAGCCACACTTGACTGAAGAAACGCTCCTGATCAGACAACACACAAAGATGATGAGTAAGATCTCGCAGGAAATCTTCATGGAGCAGAGTGGTGCTCAATAAACCGAATACAGATCTGATGAGGCCACTTGTGTTGCTTGAAGAGGGATCGAATAAGTTGCTTTCAGCAGCCTTGCAAAACTTCCAGATCCTTTGCAAGCAAGCAAGCTATTAAATAGCTACTAGTAGCTAAACTCTCGTCAGCTTAGTACTTTTGTGCTTTGCAACTTTCTTGCAGGTAAAAAATGAACCTGACAGGTCTTCATTGCTCTGGCTGCAACGTCAAGAGCTACTTCCGAAACCATCACCGCTCAGGTAGCTGCCTGCTACGGTAGCTACTACCTGCAGCAACGATTGCTTAGATAGGCCAAGCAAGCAAAGTTCGCCCCCGACATCACCGAAGCACTGACGAAGTGGCTGCGTACCTGAATTTGTGAAGGAAAGTTCTGCTTTGCTTGTCAGTAGAGGAGATGTTTCTCGTCTTCAAGCCTTAAGGAAAGTCAAAAAGGTAAGTGAGGCATGATCGGCAAGATGTTTGAAGGATGTGGTTGGTGGTGGATGGATGGCTGGTTCTCTTCGTCTCTTTTGCTCGTCGGCATTGCTGCTTCCTCTCAGCTTTTTTTGGGAGGTGGCTGGATGTGTGGATGTACACATACGTTACGGTACCTGGTAGAGCATGACAGCATGACACCGCCAATGGATATTGTTTGGCCTTGCAGCTGCATTGTACGAAGCCGTCGGCGAAGAGCAAGAGATATCAGCAGAATAGAACAACATCACTTTCATCGCTTCCATGACGTAAAGACCGTGCATGACGAGTGATGAGAGACAGTCGAAGCTCCCAACCAAGAAAAATGAGAGTGACGTCAGCCTGCCAAAGATCTGATCCAAAGATCCAAGCCTGATCAACTAACTGTCAAACCATGAGTGATAAAGCAGGTGAAGAGGTGTCTCCTTCCCAAAGCCCCGGCCACCCCAGCCTCGCTCCAAGAGTTCGAGTGGCTAGAATAGAGTGACACGCCCATCAACTAGCTAGCTACTCGTACATTGTAGCCAGCTGGAGGAGACGAGGACAATTGCAACGGATAACCATGCACTAGGCCTACGGGATGATGAGAAGAGCTGAGCACAAACGAAATTGGGTGTTCATGCCATTGGATGCACAACAAGTGCCTTACATTATATTCGTTGCAAACAGGACGTGTGACTAAGTTACCTGTAGTGAAGTTGGCTCAGGTAAAAGCATGAAAACAAATTCATCGAACAAGGAGTCTCCGCTGTGAGCCCCACAACGAAGTAGCTACTTGCAAAAAAAGCAAGGATCTGGTACGCCATCTCTGTCTGGATCGCGTTGGTTGTCGTGAAAGTCAAAGGCTCGTGCCGGTGCCAAAGGGATGATGTGCGAGTCACTGCCTCCTACTTGATTGGTCCGTATGAACCATAGCTTGGCTCCATGCTGCAGGAAGATTTCGGCTAGTCTGTCGTGGGCTCTTCGAGGGACTACAGTCCTCCACGTGCGAATGGTTTCGATCAATGACAGCAATGGCGTATTGACTGGTTCTGTCCCTCGCAACCCCTTTGCAGTTTCCAACCAATCCTTGCGAACCCCGAGAGGAGTCAAGTAGTCGTCCAAGTTCTGGTGAAGTAAGCTGAGTTTGGCAAGATCCTTCGCTTGTGGGTGACTCGGATTGGCCTGGATCCACTGTTGAATCTTGGGATTTCCCTGTAGCTTGCGGTACGTTTCTTGGAGTGCGGCAAAGAGAGCTTGACTGGAGTCCTGAACACAGGAATGTGCCGTACTAACCAACGCGCTTCCATCGCCATCTCCAGTCCGATAGCGGGCTCCCATTTCATTCAACTCTCGAATCATTTCATCCAGGGGGCAGATTGTGATATTGCCAATGTCGTCGAACGAATACAAGTTGCTGAGTAACTCCATTTTTACGACGATATCACTAATGGGCCGTGTCCCCAGCCATCCCCGTTCCAGATCTCCACAGTAACTAGACCACATGTTCGGCCCTGAAATGATTGCTCCATTGTTGTGTGCGTAGATTTGCCTATGTACAATTTGGAATTGCAATTCATTGGTAAAGGCCGTGTCTCGCACAATGGTGGCATTGCCGAAGGCAAAATGTCCTGGAATAAGGCCCACAAAGTTTTCTTCATTGACTATATCACCGCCAATGCCTCCAAATAGATGAATGACCAAGAACCGGTCTCGTTCCTTCCAGTCTTCTTCGATGGATGTTGTTGTTGCCGCGTTGTCTGTGGGATCCAGTAGGTATGTGTCCACAGTGCCTTTGTTGTATCGTGCGCCCTTCCATATTTTGTTCTTGATGGCGTCGACTGTCGCATCCAAGCCTCCTGTGACCGTTTCAGTCAAGTTACCCACGATGAGTGCGCGACGAGGTTCCCAGGCTTCGACGACGAATGGCTTACTGTCGGCCTCGTCATCAAAGTGCCCGTAGAGATACCAACCCCAAGGATTGACGGGCGAGGATTCGATTTGGTCGCAAGTGGATACATACAAGCCTCTGCTGGTTTTGGGAAAGTGCGGGATTTGTACGACTTGAATGGGACCGTCAAAGAGCGCCGTTTCGGGATTGTAGTGCTGAATTTCGCAGAGTGTACACGCGAGGTCTCCTTGCCGAGAGCTTGGTCCCAGGAACTTGGCAAGGCATTTTTTCTTTCCTCGTATTTGAATGGGCGGCTTGGAGATCCTGATCTTGTGATCAATGACCTTGACCTGACCTTCCACGGTGTCCAGGACAACGTGGATGGAATTGGAGGGTCGCGCAGCTGCCAAAGACTCGAGAGGCCCGACATGTGTGAGTCCATCGAGTCGAGTCGGATGAACACGACCCTTACTGGAACTGACCGTTGCTTCTTCTCCGAAAGCAACGTCCGTAGTCAAAAAGTCCACATAGGCTTGCAACTCTCCTCCATCCTCAATGTCCAAATCCCACCCCAGCTCTACTTGACTGCCAATCAGACCACTATGAGCTTCCGGCGCATTGTGAACTTCCATCTGAACAGCGCCGCCTGCTAGTCGAGAGTCCCGCGAAAAGATTAAACGACCGCTCCATTCTCCCACTGCCTTGTAGTAGGATGCTCTGTCAAAGTTGTCCGACATGGTGGGTTGATTTTATGAAGGAAGCAGGTACAAGGTACCGGTACCGGGTACCGGTACACAGCAATGATTGACGAAAAGAGGATCTTGCGTTCTTTAAAATTCCAGGATGAAAGATTCGACTAGAAGCCTGCAAGGCTTTCAAACGATTTCCTGGTGGCAAGCCCTTCCCGTATTCCATGGACCAGATCCCACTCCGGCTAGCTAGCTAGGCGCGTTTGATCCTGTCGCCACCATCATGGGATACAGTACCGGAATCTTCAATATAAGATGACAGGCTAGATGTGTTATTTTAGCTACAGCATGCATGCCTAACAAGTCATCATCGGCTATGTCACCCGTCCATGGCTACTTCTTTCATTCGTAGTATCAGATGATCCCAAAGGAACCCGAGCTTGGTAGAAAGACAAAAGTGTGATGGAGCTTTCGGATGTTTCCTGCGCTGTCCTCGTAGCAGTTGACGTGTTGGAGCCTTCCAAACTCGACCCAAGAAACCATTTCATGTAAATCCACACGGTGACTCAGGCGTCCAGCGTTTCCTTGCCACTCAATCGTAAGGCGCCGTTCAAACTCTGTGGCTCTTCTCTCAAACTGCTGTCTCACATCTCGAGGCGCACTAAGCGAGAAATACTTGATCGATTGTCGAGGGACGCGGATGAAATCAGGATTGGCGAATGCAATGGGATCGTCGTCAATGGCAATGAGGGTAACAATCGACATTTTGGCAATGAACTCGAAGCCCCTTTGTTGGCGTCAATCAGCAACGGTGGTACCAGGTATCGGTACTAAGTATTCTCGCTCGAGCTGAATGTCGTCCTCCAATCCATGCACCTTGGCTGAAAAGGTTGCGGCAGAGTTGTTGTTTGCTGTTCATCAAGCGAGCTCTCGCGTCTATTTCTCTTGTACAGTACCGTACGTTTCCTGTCGGAGGGATCGGATGCCAACACTTTGTGTGTGTCAATTCCGAGGCTTGCTTTTGTATGTGACCTTCTCACGAAAACCCGAGCCTGTCGATGTAAAAAGTCATCTGACATTGTACGCAAGCAACGGCTAAAATCCAATCACCTAACTAACCCATGCCACTTTGTAGTCGTCTCCAGCCCCCAAACAGATCCGTCAACTCCGCCCCCTAAAAGTTTACCAGGTGCGAACGGCAGTCAAAGTACACGATAGTTGTCCGGTCCGGAAACGTTCTAACAACTTTGTAGGAGTCCGTACTATAGATGCTGCAAAGGCTATTGAGCCATGGCAGCAAATCGCGCCATCTATGTCGTCATTCGCATACCTGTTGATTGGAAAAATCGCTTGTTCTGGACTTGCAGAATGGACAGCCGGGTGATAAGCTCTACCAGCAGGGGCTCGCACGTTCGCCATGACGTGCTTGCATGATTACGAGCAGCGTCATTCCTTGCTATTTTCCTCTTCATCTTCCCACTCATCTTCTGAAGAATCTGATTCCAGGAAACGGCTGTGGTAGTTGCTGGCAGAAACCGTTGATGCTCGTGTTGTAGAACTAGATGCTGCACCAGTTGTCAGAGCTGGTGTTCCTTCCAAGCCGCCATTTTCGGCATGACTGGCAGTCCCTCCCCCAATAGATGGATGATTGGATCGTTCTTCGGCGTGAGTGGTCACTTCATCGTCGTTGCCCCCGTCTGTCATCTCGTCTTCCCATTCATCGCCACCGTCGCATGAATGATCATCAGACGTTGCGTAGACGCAGGAAACATTATCGTCATCGTTTCGCAAACTCCTATCCGCGTTGGCCGAGAGCAATTCCTCCATGCATTCGTCTGCATCCGATAACACTCCTGAACCCGCATCATTAAGGGGGGCCATCGGCTGAGCGGCACCCACTTCGTCGATTCCAGACGCTGCGGCACTCTCGTCATCAAGAGGATCCGCCATCATTGGCGCGCGAACATTCTCTGATTCTCGAGGACCCGTCTCAGAATCAGAGCCTGCATCGCCCAAGGCCAGTGACATCGACGGGGCTTCGTTCTTCGGATCAAAGAGAGATTCACCAGCATCGTCGATTACCGAATCAGAGTCGTCTTCCCAGCCGCCCTCTTTTTGGTCACTTCTACTGCTGTTGTCCGAGGGAACAGATTCTTCGGGTTCAACCCCTGACGGTGAGACTGAAGGAATTTCGACCGAATAAACAGTCTCACCAGAATTTCCCGTCGGAGGATCGCCGTTGCTTGCTGCAATTGGAGGATCCTCCGCAAAGTTCTCTCTCAACAACGGGTCAGCTTCGGCCACGATATTGTCCTGCTCCTCATCATCTTTCTTTCCGTCTTCGTTCTCATGCTCCCACGTGTCATCATAGTCACTTTCCTCGTCAACGGCGCCAGCGACGCTCTCCTCAACTTGCACCGTTGCATCATCGCCAAGCCATTCGTCACGACTTGAGTCAGCATCATCCCAGAATGGTTGCGCTTCCATCTTCTCCGTGTCGTCATCATCCGAATCATCGTGAATAACGCTCTTCGGTAAGGGGTAAAGCGGAGATCGCTCCAACCCATCATCGCTGCCGTCTTCTGAATCGCTGTCTCCGGATTCTTCCCATTCTGAATCACTGTCAGTATGCTCGCTCGGGTCTTCATGAATTTCATTCACAGTCGAATCATCCTCCTTCCAGGAATCGTTGTCGCGTTCCTCCGAGATATGGGGGTCTTCGTCCTCTGCGTCGCTGTCATCAAACAATCCATCCTCCAGTTCCACAACAGTTACAGGACCATTTGGTGTTGGCGACGGCCCTAACCCTTCATCTGCGACCACAAGCTTCTCCAGATCTTGGTCCTTTTTCCTTGAACTCAACATGAAGAATGCTAATGCGACTCCCATGCAGCAGCAACCCGAGACAGACGCCAGCACAATTATAAGAATCATCCACCACTCCATCTTGTTCCCGTCGTCAGCAGTTGGCACTTCAGTGCTTTGGTCATCAGCCGTCTTTGCAGCACCAATGACAGTGAATGGAGAGTCAGAGGCTGCGGCATCCAAACTGCTCTGAAGTTTTCCTTCGTCTATCGCCTTTGCTGTTTCGTCTTCATACTTGGCATGAACAGCGATCGGATCTTCATCGCTGACGATCAAATCGTAGCGGCCGTACACAGTCTGGCAGGCGGCGTTGTCAGGGATGGGAGGTGTCTGACCTGTTGGACAAGTCATGTCGTGTACCCCATACAATGAAGGCCGGGATCCAGCATCCAAGGACGCGCTTAGCCTTCTATCTTGCGGACTGCCGCGCAAGCGTCGTTGTTGCGATTTTTCAACGTCAGCGACAAGTTGTTGTACAAAGTCAGTGTATCCCTGGTTCAATACCATGGCATTCTCGGGTAGGCTCACATCAAGAGATGTCAGTCCGTTTGTGTTGGAGATTACGAAGCTGGTGTTTACCCTGACGTTGGTCACATTGCCGGTTGGTGCTGGTGTAGGCACAGGAGCAGCTGACGCATTCGTACCGCTTGAGGACACTGTTGGGGCAGCAGATGATTCGTTAGATGCTGTAGGACTGAACGTGGCAACCGGCATGAGCGGAGGCTTGGTCGATGGACCAGGGGTGGGGCTGCCTACTGTTGGGCTACTGGTCGGACCGCCGCTGGGGTGGTACGTTGCGTTTTGAGCTGCCGGTGTTGGTGCTGGAGAAGTAGCATTGGGACGCGTGGGAAGAGTTGCATTGACGGGAGTGGGGCTGCTGGTAGGTGCCGGCACTGTGGGTGGGATAGTGGAATTGGGATTAGGTGTGGTAACATTGGGACGCGTAGGAAGAGTTACATTGAGGGAAGTAGGGCTGCTCGTGGGTGCCGGCACTGTCGCATTCGGTGGGTTAGTGGAATTGGGATTAGGAGTCAGTGGTGCGCCAATGTCAGAAAGCAATGCATCGACACGATGCAGGACACCGTTATTCCCGAGCAAGTCAAATGGAGTTTCAAGCCTCGCCACAACGGAACTTCCTCTTTCTGCCTGGAGGAAAACCGAACTGTCCAATACACTAACGACCCACTCTTTGCTGTTCACAGACGTGATCACTGTCCCGTCCATCCCTAAAAGTTCGTCGAAGTAAAAAATGCCTTCAAAAATGTGATTTTCAATCATGTCAGCAAGCTCAGTGGTCGGAATGCCAAAAAAATCTTCGGCAGGTGCAAAGAACGTGACAGGGGACAGACTCGACAGAATGCGGTCGAGACCAGCATCCAAAATGATGTTCACTAGGTTGGAATTGTTCGAGATTGATGGAAGAAGATCCATGACAGAGCTTGTTACGGATGGAGGAAGGGGGAGCGAGGTCAAGATGTGAACGATACTGTAAGGCAACACAAGAAGTAGTCAGCAAGGTCAGTACGGCAAGGAATCGCTATTCCATCAAGGGAGTCGGGACACTCACCCGTTGGTTGCGGAAATTGGAGGATAGAGCACTCGGCCTTCGCCGACTGCGAGTGTGCCTCCAACGTCCACCTCAACTGTCAAGTTTTGCATGCCAATTGTCGGGAGCACAGTTGCCCCTCTTGAAGCAACAGCTAGCAACTCATCTTTTGAGAACGGCCGTGACAGTATCAAATTTGACAGCAGATCGCGCAAGTGCTGGCTCCAGAGAGGTGACACTAAGCGACTTCGATCTTCAATGCGTGTATTGTTTTCCAAGTAGTCATCAACAGGAACAAACAAAGTTACGCGTCCATCAGCTCCAATGCTCTCCCAGAACTCGCTGTCCGACGCCAGAAGGAATTCATTCATGATGTCAATGTTGAGGTTGCTGTTATGATTGGTCAGACTGAAGAGATCGACCAGAGAGGGTGGCTCCAGTAGTTCCTCCACCACGTGCAACACCCTTTCGATAAGCAGAATCGGTTAGTGCACGTTAGCAGTGCTGCAGACGACCACGGCGAGACAGACTTACCCGTTTTGACCAAGCACTTCGCTCACTGCCCGTTTCCCATTGAAATGGAGCATTCCAGCATCGTCTACTGTCACCCACATGTCGGCGGTCGGATGCTCAGTCGACACCAACATCTTGGTTCCGCTATCAATCTCTGCATACACATTTCTCGGAATCATATGATATAGGAGCAGATCTCGAGAGTTCTCTTCCTCTTGGTACTGCGCAAATGCACCATTTGTGGGCGCCAGCAGTGTTGCACCATTTATGGATCTCTCCGTGAGCCGTGGACCTGATATCAGCCCAGTGGAAGTGAGAAGTCCAACGACTCTGGCAAACTCTTGACCATCTTGCAACCGCCGCTGGTTCGTTGCTACGCCTAGGCCACTCTCCAACATTTGTGCCAGATTCTGGGTGAGCCGATCCACGGCCAAGATCCCATCCAGCAGGTGAACCACACCGTTGGCAGAGATTAGGTCCGATTGCGTTATAGATTGACCACCCACCGTGTCATTCTGCACAGTGACTGGCTCGCCTGCAAGCGACGTCAACGTATCCCCCGCAACTCCATTGAAAAGTTCTGCTGCTAGAAACGAGGATCCCGCAACAAGATGATGCTCCAAAATGTCCGTCAAGTGCTGGCTCCATGTGTTGATATTGTCAACAAAAAACTGGATCTCTTCGTTGAGTAGAACCACAGAGTCCACCGGTGCGAACACGGTGAAGATTTCGGTTGTATCAATAAGCAGCTTATCAACGTTGACTTGTTCTAGCCCGTTCAGAAACAAATTAATGTTCTCCAGCGTCAAAAGAAGCTCCCACACATTCGCTGGTGTAGAATTCATGGGTCTCGTGGTGGGGGCTGGCCCGGGATTGTCAGTCGGGGCAACAGTGGGACTGGGACTCGTAGCACCGGCCACAGTTGGTGATGAACTCGGCGCAGTGGTGTTCAGAGCTGATGAAGTATTGCTGGAAAAAGCTGGTGAAGTCGCATTGGGGCTGTTGGTGGCGTTGGGAATCGCTGGTACAGTAGCATTTGGACCTGTGGCGTTGAAACCAGCTGGTGTAGAGGCATTTTGAGCGGAGGCCGTCGAGTTGGATCCAGTGGGCGTAGTACTATCGTCTGGGCTGGTGTTTGTCTCATTTGTTGGAGCAGACGGTGCATCAGCGACAGTGGCGTTTCCAGCATTTGGATCAGTCCCATTTTGGGCTTCGGCGGCGGCGTCCACGGACGAGTCGTTTGCTGGCACTGTGAAGAGACTTTGCACGTTGGGAAGCAGAACGTTCCCAATGACGTGAATCACACCGTTCGCAGCAATGACATCTGGAGTACTCACGACTGCTTCGTTGACTCGCGGGGGGTCTATTCCCAAAGTGGTGATCCGCCCATTCACCATAGTCAGTTTGTTTCCTCCCACAAAGTCAGTGGAAAGGAGGATACTGTTAGGTAGCATGTGATACGTGAGGATATCAACCAAAAGCTCCCTGTTCTCTGGAAGCTGCACAAATGCCAATTCTTCTGGATTCATTTGGTTGAATGCAGTGTCACTTGGGGCAAAGAGGGTGATGTTGGATGCGATGGATAAAGTCTCCGTCAAGTTTGCCAACTGCAGGAGACTGACAAGAGTGGGGACTCCTCCTTCATTGAAAAGGGCACTCGAAAGAGCTTCTAAAACGCTGTCGGTTTCGTTTCGTGTTGTAATGTTTTCGTGGATTGGATAGTCTCCCCGGACAACGTCGCTTGTTGGTGCATCCGTCGCGTTGCTATTGCTATTGCTATTGCTGTTGCTAGCACCATCTTGAGTGCTTGTGTTGTTTCGATTTGTTGCCACGAGGATCAATGCCTCCTCACACAAGTCATTTAGACTTTGACCCTGTTGTAGCGATGTAACAAGAGTTCCTGGTCTTGCGCCATGAATATCGAGATGATCTGTTTCGGAATAGGTCGCCGCATATGTGATGAATAGTTCTTGCAGAGGGGGAGTGAGTGTTGAAAATGATAACGTCTCTTCCGGCAAGGACGGATCCGTGGTGTTATCGTTTTCCACGAGCTGGTTTATCCAGTGAATGTATTCGTTGGCCGCATCTAGATAATTGTCGCCATTTGAGTCGGCTTGAAACAAGGATAGAATACATTGTCGTATGGTGGCATTGGCATGTACCGGTAGTTGTTGTGAAGTGTCGTTTGTGACTGCCGCAGTTGGCCACGCGGTGGAGTTACTTTCCAGTGGTACCGGTATTGTCGGCGTTGGAGTGGGGGCAAAGGTGCCGGGCGATACTTGATTCGTTGGTGCTGGTGAGCGTGTTGAGTTTGCTGGTGTATCTGTATCTGTAGGAGTATCTGTAGGAGTGGCAGTAGCATTGGGATCATATGCAGAAGCAGAGCTGTTTTGTGGTTGTGGTTGCAGTTGTAGATAGCGTGTCTGCTGGATGTCTGATGAAGCTGGTACTTGTAGTGCAGATTGCAAAATGATCAGAGCAAGGAGTTGCATCACAATTGTAAAGCTTGGCAGTATCATCTTGCCAGATCCAATCCAAGTGCCTGGATGGGTGTGCAAGTTGTAAGCTGCAAGTTGGAGGTGCTAGCTAGCTAGCAAGATAGCCAGGTTCAAGTCAGCTGAAACTTGACTGAATCTTCCTGACCCTCTTTGTAGCTATAAAACGTGACTCCAATTCGTGACTGAATGAAAAATTTCAAAAGCCAACGCGTGACGTGAGATCATTGCGCTGCCTTGTATCCTAGCGTTGCGTAGCTTAGCAGTAGCAATTCAATCGATATCAGCTGCTCATCAATGAAGGAAGTCTCCACGTATATCGGTGACACAATGGCTTGGCTTGATCTTGGCTTGACGATGGAATTCGATTGAAGCTTCAGCAATGCTGGAGTAGAGAGAGCGACAGAGCAGACAGATGATCTAGCTACTGTAGTACTGTAGTCTGTAGCGATGTTGTTTCTTGTTGTCTGTTGTGTTTGTTGTGTTTGTTATGATGGAGTGACAGTCATCATGGTCGCTTCGTTTTGTACATGTGGGATCACTGGTTTCTTTCATTCATTCATGTGCAATGCTCTTCTGGTGCTCTGGCTATCATGCAGCCTTGTGTCGCGCTTGTTTTGTGGGGGAGTTGATGCCACTCGGAACACTTGCGCTTTCTTTAATTAAAAATGCATTCCACTTTGGTATCCAAAGCATTACAGTCAACTATTCAACGTCTCATTTTGGTTGGATCGACAGAAGTCTCTAATTAAAAATTGTGAATCAAGCTCGCACCTCGACGCACTCCGATCGACCCGACTGACGCTCTTTGGTAACTAAGACATCAGGTCTAAAAGCCTTAACAAAGAAATCGAAAAGACTTAAACTTATTCTATTTAGCAGACAGCTCGACTCAATTCACTTCGATCCTCTTCTATAGCTGGCTCTGGCTAGAAGATACGGGTATCGCTAGGATGTACTCCACCATGATCATAACAGGCTGCTCTTGTTGCGATCCTTCCCAGTACATGTACATGTACTGGTATTAATATGCATAGGCTTGCCATGACCAACTTGTACCGTTGTTGTACCGGTACAGATTGTACAGATCAGCCAGACTATTACTAGCAACCAAAAGATCAACTTGGGAACTCCAGCAGCTCCAACCAGAGCCTCCAAAAGGTTGATGACAGCCAACACAACCAGCAAGGGAAACCCAATCAATCCAACTTGGATCATTAAACCTTGGTCTTCTGCGTACTCTGCCAATTTCTTTCCATACATCAGCCACTGGAGATACCCATTCTCGTCCATGTCGTCCATGAAGGACCCAGAAAGGCCGGCCATTACAGCAATGCGGTGAGGTGCTAGCCACCAATGCAACACTGCACTTTCTGACAAGAACCAGGAACTCGACTCGGCAACACTTGGTGGCAGCTCAGCGTTCAGAGACACGTAGCAACTGGAGACGACTCCATTCACCAAGATTCTGCCGCTGGGAGTCAATGGCATGTACAACCCACGTCTTTTGACCTTCGTGATCTTGGTCACTGTGACGGAATGCAAGTGCACATCATGTACAGCCTCATTGTCGCCCTCTGATATTACTTCCACCACTTCCACAAAGTCTCCTGGCTTGAGCTGGGCTGCAGGGATCAGCTTAGACTCCAACGTAGATTGGACCACGCTGTAGATCAAGTGATTGCCCGTCAGTTCCAGAGGCGTTCTATTCCCCTCGGTGTGGATCTGCAGGTACGCTGCAGATTTGGTAGGGTGCAAATGACCAAACCCATAGATGGGCTCCCAGTCGGACTTGCTGGGCCCACTGCGAACCAGATCGCCAACCTTCAAATCTTTCATTGGGATGCGTCCCCGGCTCTCGACTTCCACTGTATCAATTCCCGAGAAACAGACACCACTGCCGTCAGGATTGTCATTGCCTCCTCCGTCACCTCCGTCACCGCCGTCACCGTCATTGAGATCACCCTGTTCACACAATCACACAATCACACGCACACAAGACAAACAGTTTGCAACGGATTAGCGTCTACCTGGCTGGTCCGTGAGGTTCACGACAATACACTGCGACTTTATTATCACGGGTCGTACTTACGAGTCCATTGGGCCAATCCCCTGGTTGCGAAATGCTACTAAGAGAGGAGGACGTCTTGACTCGGTCAATCAGACGACCGTACACCTCTGCAAATTGGGAACGAAAGCTGTCATCGTTACCTCCTCCTGAAAACTCAGAGACAACGTCCTCAGTGCCACCACTCCGCCGAGGAAAGCAATCATCAAAGATACGATCCGAGTCGCAGCTAGATCCTGCTGGGAGGATGGCACGACCTTCACTGTCGTACGTGATATCAAACATAAGCGACATGTCTGTACGGTACGGCAAGGAATAAAGTACAGCAGCGTGAGTTATCCAAAGGAACTCCCACGTCCAACGTTGAAACAGTTCAAAGAGATCGACACGACATACCAACATTCAGCATAAGGTCACGGCAACCTCCTCCACCATTGCATCCCCAACGCCATTGGAATACGTCGCCTTCCTCAACCTGCTCCCAGCGACCGCTGCCTCCAGGATCCTCCATTGTCTCGTAATATTCAGAATCAAACGTGTCCGGAGTGTCCGTCCAGTCACTGAAAAGGATGCGGATGAACGGATTTGTTGCAAGTAACGAGTGAGTAAGAACAGAGCAACCAAGGAGCTACATGTACATTTCGTCAGTCAATTGATTGCATACCCAGTAAAGCCCGAATTCCCAGTGTCTGCTCCGCCCAACGTATGAGCACCGAGAATGATTGCAGCATCATTTTCACTAAAGCCAAAGTTGGAGGAGAAATAGCTGAGAACAGCCGAATGGTCCGGGCTGCCAAACTCTCCACCAGGAGGCTTGTCCTCAGAGGCTCCATTGCCCACGTCTGCCCTTCCAAAGTTCAAGGGAACCCACGGGGGATTGCCAGGAACTGTCACTGTGGAGTGGAATTAAAAAAGTCAAAATACAGAACATTTAATATCAAACGTGAATTGAAATTGAGCAATAGCCATTGCAATTCAGCCACACGTCCATCGTGTTGCTTTGGGCTGACTTACGATAGAATGCGCTGATATAGGCCCATGCAAAGAAATCCGACCGGCCCAAGGGGCTGAGATCGGCTTGATTGTCATCATACAGATCGCCCAAGTCTTCCAACACTCCCAAGAGGCCATTGTGCTCGGAATCGGATTCTTGTAATCTGCCGTCCACGCCCCCCATTGCATCATGAAAGGCAAGTCTAACAATCGTCTTGAAGTTGGAGTCCCCGAAGCCATTGCGGACCAGGTCGTGCACTTGATAGAAAGTGTTGACATCCTGGGCGTGCACGTACGTGTGCCGTGGACAGCAAAGAAAGAGGCAGGCAAACATGCCAGAAAGAATAGAGTTGTAGAACATCATGGTGGAGGGATCTACTGTACTCAGTAGCTATTATTATAATAGTGTGCTAGCTAGTGTGTCATCGGCAAGTTGAAATTGTGAGCAACTGCAAATTAAATTTTTGTGGGCCTGGACAGTAATCTGTCCGCTTCAAACTTCAAACCAAAAAAAGAGCACAAGGAGGAGAACTATGTAGAATACAGCTGAACGAAGCTGGATGCACAAGGATCCATTGATCGTGTCAAAACGAAGGGTGAGCATAGGGTGGACACTCGCAAGGTAATTTAACCAGGGGACTACTACATTACCAACTGCTGAGTACAGTACGAACTCAGTACTGGAGCATCCCCCGTTCGTCGTTCACAGCATATTCCTTGGTGCATTCTTCGTGTGACCGGACCGTCCGAAAGAGTACCGGTACTCCTACACCCTGTAAGTATTGCCTTGATTTTGTATTTTACTAGAGCACTACCGGTAGCTACCGCTACCTACCGATGGATAGCTCTACCAGTATCCAGCCAAAAAGTGCTCTAGTCTAAGGTTTATATGTGGCATCTCATCGATCCGTTCATGGATTTCACCACAACAGACAAGGTAAGGATGCAGTAAGTTGAGCTCACATACAATATTGACGAGTTATCCAGTTGCTGGTTGCTGTTGACGAGGACGAGACTACATGGACAGTAAAGGTGCGTTGGTCATGTGGTGCGAAGCAAAGCCGGCTTGGTTTTGGACAGTGGCTAGCTAGCTATTGTGCTATTGTTGGTACTCGAGTACTCCAGTGGAGATGAGAGATTGATTCTCCATCCCGAGGAATGGTGAATCGAATCATGAGCGCGTGAGTTGGCTCGAGACGGTGAAATGTATGTTTCGACCTTGGCCAGCCAGGCACTCATTGTCGTAGTTCCTTCTAAAGAGCGATGTACCAGTATGCATACCGGTAGTACCACCGTGCCCTCTGCTCCTTCAGATTGTTCTGCTTGCTTCTGATTCGATTGAATCATTCTTCGAGTTGCTTGCGTGATAGTCGCTCATCATCATTCATTCGGCCAGGTTTTGCTTGCTTTCTCGCCGCGACATCGACATGAATGAATCTTCGCCTGAACTAAATTGGGGATCGTTATAGACTCATCACTCGAAATATTCGTAGATTTCTCTCTCTCACACACTCCCTCCTCTGTCTCGCTCTAACTAAGGACTTTGCTTGCTTTCCCTCCACTGTACCGTACTACATGTACCATTCGGAACCTATTGGCTGCCCACTTGCCTACCGGTACTTTCCCTGGTTCTACGCACTATAGCTAGGATCATACGATAACATAGTTCATCTCAAGCTGATTGCAGGCATTCCGTGTAGCAACGAAAAGAGTACCGACTTGCAATCCCAGAACGATAATGTGAAGGTGTGGACAGGTAGCGAGGATCACCTTTCCACCAATGGCCATAGTTTAACACTTGTTCTTGTCTAATCCTGCGCAAATTGAGTGTAGGTGTGGCCAAAGAAGGGCAAAGCAAGTGTGAATGGCGGAAAGTTTACCACGGAAACTCAAATCTACTTGTACACCATCGTGGGAATCGAATCATCACGTGAGTACCGACAAGACCAGGAACAAGATGCTGCGCGCTGTCTGCCTGGTGCTGTACACTACCTGGTACCTGGTGGCTGTTGTCAAAGGACAAAAGGAGATGATGTCACAAATAAACAATTATTTCTTAAAAGTACTGATACTGATCAAAGAAACAAGATGAGATTTGGAAGCCGTCTTCGACAACATGAACGAGATGCAGCAGGAGAAAAGGCCCGCACATCTGGCAGAGGAGTTCGACGAGTTCTTGTTCCAAGAAGCCTTCAAGACTTTGTCGAGAGAAGATTTGCGAGGAGACCGGTGCTGCCAGTGCCAATTTCAAAGAAGACTAAAACGAAGGACAAAGTGCTACATTTACCGGTACAACTTGCAGTGGTGTCAGACGAACGAGGCCAAAGGAGCATTTCAAGAGGCTGCTCAAGAAGAAGCATTGCCAGTACAAGGGAAGAACGGAAAAGCAAGTTTCGATTGGACGAAGACAAGTGCAAAAGATTGCGTCGTCGTAGAAAGTACCGATAGATAGTAGGTACTGTATTCAATGGCTCTCTGGTCTCCTCTGCAAGCAAGCGGAGGAAAGCCCAGGTGCGGTTCTACTATTGCTTGCTTGTCTCATCTAGCCTACTTTTGCTTATTTGCTACCGGTAGCCATCAGCGAAGCGACAAGCATCAATTTGGGTTCAAAGGGAAAGGGATCCTTCGATACATGTTCCGAACTCCCAATAAGACCAGGAACTGAAGCTACATGTAGCTAGAGCTACCGTACTACCGTAGGAAGGGTTGACTGGGCCAACGAGCTACGAGCTACATGTCCCTGCGGAACATGGGGCAGACCTGGGAAAATGAGACGCGTGTGACTGCGGACTGCAATGTCTCTTGGCTACGGCACTGCTCACCGGTGTGTGAGTCGAGTCAGGCAGTCGGTGTGCATTTTAGTGGCTACCAGTTGACTATTAATAGCTAGCTCCAGTCATTTTACCCTGAAGGCGAAGCTGCCTGTGACCGGTCGAAGCTTCCACCCTTCAAGTCCTTGGAAATAACTGGCTAGCTAGCTAGAGTAGCTAGCTATACGGCAGGGTAGCCTTGCTTCCTCTCCTCCTTAGCTCATCCATTACTGTTGGTTAGCCAGCCCTATGATACACTTTTAAAAAGCGGTAGGAAAAATCAAAAAGTTTGTCCCTTATAAATTATATGTGCAAGATGACACTGTAGCCCCCCGTGTACAAGTGTGTCAATTTAGATCTACTCACTCCTCCTGGTGGAATTCGTAGAAAAAAGTGTTTTGGTCGACACAAGCGGAGAGTTGTGGATTCTCTTGCACTTGTAAGTTCGTGTTGGTCCTGACTGTGGCCATGGTAGCTTCTAGGTCTCTTTGGTTTTTGGCATTGACACGAAGCATCAGTTGCCGCCGTGACGATGAGTTGCAGCAAGGACAGTGATCGCAGTAGAAATCTATTTCTCCGCGTTGGCACAGCGTACGTTCCCAGCAGCCGAAGTTCAGCCGCCTTTCATCTTGGTCTTGATTTTCATCTTGGTCTTCAGGGACTTCTTGTGGAGCTTCAGCTTCAGCAGCAGCAACAGCAGCCAGTAGCTTGCGTCTGAAGTCATCTGGGTTTCTGTTGCCGCCACTAAGGCTCGAGTCTTCGGGGGCTTCAGTGGGTGGACTTGTAGGAGGGTCTGTGGGAGCTTCAGTAGGAGGGTCAGTGGGGGCTTCAGTGGGTTGACTTATTGGGGCTTCAGTAGGAGGATCTGTAGGAGGATCTGTAGGAGGATCTGTACTTGGTGGCCGCCTTAGTCCAGTCCATCCGGCTGCTTGCTCAAGTCCAGGAAGATTATTGGCCAAAGCAATTTCTCTTCTGGTTATTCTGGCCAATTCATTCAGATCTTGCGGACTGCACTCATGCCCTTCAATCCATCTCCACCCATAAGCCACGCTATACAGACCAGCATTCACCATCGCTATTGGAGTCCCCAGAATGAGTTGAATCAGAAGCAGTTGTAGCTGTAGCCTTGTCATGGTGCTTCTTTTGTTGCTCTGCTTGGTTGTTGTTGTTACTAAAAGTTGCTTTCTGCCAGGAAATTGTGACCATGCTTCCTCCATCTTTGTGGGTCTGCAATTAACACCGTCAACCAAGATCCGTTAACTGCTTCAACGCAGTTCCTTTAATGCTTTTGACGCACAAAGACCATGACCCAGTCCTGAGGGGACATTCGGGAAGGCAGAGATTTAACGCAAGAACCATAGCGTTCCCGTTCAAGATTACATTTCAAGCCAGTGTAGCGGGAAGCTCGGAATCTTGGACTTCTACTGTACCGTAACCCTAAGATTGACAACCAAGAATCTAGATATCTGGCGCCGTCGCATGCTACCGCAGGTCAATCTCGTCTCCCACCCCCCTTCTCCACAAGGTGCCTCCTTGCTTTACATGTACCCAATCACCAGGCACCTGGACATAGTCGAAGCAGCTGTTGAAGCTAGTCTACATGGAGATAGTTAAATTTAAACCGAAGCATCACCACCAAACAGAGTTTGTACCAGTACTGTAGCCCTCGCCAACAAGGAGCCACTACATGTACTACCGGTAGCTAGTATTATGATACTACATGTATGGCCATGCAGCCAGCCATAAGTGGACGATTGAATCGAATCGAATCAGCTCAACGCCCCATCGCCTCTCTGGATCTGAGTTTGTTATCTACTGTATGTACTACCGTAGTCTATCTGCAGCTCTGCAGCCACTAACACCTGACTAGAATAACCAAGCAACAGACCCCCTTGCTTGTACAATGATACTGTACCGGTACAGTAGTCTACCTTGCTTCTGGAGCGATCAACCACTCCAACACAACCGTCCTCTCGTCCTCTCTGTTTTGGCTAGCTCATACTGCCTCTACCTGTTTTGGTGGTGTTTTGGTGGTACATGTAGTACTGTAGTAGCTCACGTGCCCAACGCACCGAAAACAGTTACACACTTCAGGCTGCAATCCCCAGTTCGCTCTTTCAACTCCACAGTCCACAGCATGCTATCTAGAGCTAACATTGGCTACTAGCTAGTACTAGCTAGCTGCAGACTTGAAACCACAGCTAAGTACTAGCTAGCTACCAGTACCTACTTGGTAGAAAGGGCAAGGCAAGGTTTTGTGTCACTCTTTCTCTTTTAGTAGTAATGGTAATGGATTAGTAGAGCTATGATATGCTAATAGTATGAAGTTTATGATGAAATCAGTGTTTCTTAATAATGGATGCAAAGGACTTGGACCAGCGAATAACCAAGAGTGTTCCTTTCCTTCCTGTGCTGCTGCTGCTGCTGCTGTGTTCGCCCCCTCAGTTGTTGGTGTTGCCGCACCGGTACTACTACTAGTAGACTAGTCTACTAGTCTACTAGTAGCTTGAGGTAGCTTAAGGCTGCCGTTCAAACTCGTACTCAAAGCTGCTTGGGTCAAAGCAATCCTTGGTGTCTTTGTCCCATTTGGCAGCAGCCGACGCCACGGCACCCATGACATTGGAAAGCTCCCGCTCGTTGTTAGCACGAACCCTGAGGCGTCTGTTCCGACGACGACCGCCACAGTTGCCACCACAGTAGATGGGATTGCCAGGGAAATACGCGCAGCATTCACATCCACTGCATGGCTGCAGTCTTCGGGTAAATTCATCAAGCTCTGGATCGCTAGCGGTAACTTGTACTACAGGCTCCTCGATCAAGTCTCCCAACCTCAGCTCACGCCAAGTCCCTGAACTCGCGAAAGCCTTCTCATCGCCATCACTATTTTCGATAATGGATTTGCGGGTCAAGTCCTCAAGGGTTTTCAGATCCTCATCGTCGCATTCGCGGCCCGTCTTGGCAGCCCACTTGTACCAGATGTAGTAGTCAGCACTGACCATCTGAGCGCTGATGCATGCTATCGCTAGCATCAGAAGCATTTGGAGTTTGTTCATGGTGGCTGTGTTGCTGTGTTGCTGTGTTGCTGTGTGCTTCTACTTAGTATATACTAAGAGCTAGCTAGCTAGCTAGATCAGTTTCCCGGATGGTTTTGGTTGTTTGAACTGAGAATGCGAAAGTTGTGAGCTTCTCGAGCCTCGAAGCTTCGAAGCTGGACCAGCATTGCTCTTCACCACTGACTGCATGACATGTACTACTATTACTAGTAGAGTACTACTCCATTAGTCTACTATCTCTATGTAGCTAGCTAGCTAGAGTGCTACATACGTGAATTTGGCTGTGTCTGGTCTATTGTAGAAACAAAGAGTAACAGGTACAAACATGTATGTGTAGCGACTGCAACACTTACTTGTCTTACTCACTCCTGCTCACTCACTGTCCAAGTCACCTCCGCGGAAGACTCAAGAACAGAGTTGCCAAGAGTACCGCGGATGCCTCTTAATTCCCTGGTCACACTAGGAGTGACTCAATCCGAGACAAAAGAAGTTCACCATGACCGAAACAAAAAGGGATGCCATCTAAAACGGAGAGCAGTTATGATTTAAAGGATACATCACTCTAAACAATGAAACGTAGTCCAAAACAGAAGAACGCTCACTTGCCTCTCAAGTTTAATGCAATAGAGCTAGAGTTTATCCAATCTGGATCAAAAACCTACAATACGACCCTTAGACTTAGAATCTCGAGCTAGCTCTAGCTAGACTACCAGTACCCAATTGGTACCCTTGGGCTTCAGTTCAAGATACTACTAGTATCAGTATGGTATTGTGATTGTATGGTATTGCGATTGCTTATCATATTAGTGTTATGCAGTGTGTATGATTTCTGTTGTGCTTAAACATCTGTGTTGCTGCTCTGAGCTCCGAGCTGCTGTTGGCCCCTCATCATCATCCTCATCCTCCTTCCTCATCAGCGCCTTTTCTTCATCGTGCTGTTCTTAACTAATCTCAGCCCAACTTAGTTAATTAAGCTTCTTCAAACACGTACTGAAAGCTGCTGGGATTAAAGCAATTCTGTAGATCCGAAAGCCAGTTGCTTGCCTCAGATGGCATTTTGTCCATGATGGAGGAAAGCTCACGCTCGTTGGCAGCACGAAGCATTAAGTGCCTCTCCTTCTTGTTGCGTCTTCCTCCGCATTTCGCGGATTCACCACAGTAAATCTCATTCTCAATATATCTGCACAGATCCGAACAACCCAATCTTCTTTCATCTTGGTCTTCGGGGACTTGGTGGCCACCAGTAGCAAGCTTGCGCCTCCACCCATCATCTGAAGGGTTGCCTCCTTCAGGGGCTTCAGTGGGGGCCCCAGTGGGAGCTTCAGTGGGAGGAGCTGTAACCCTCGTAATAGTCCAACCAGGTCTAGAGGCAACACTTCTCTCATCACTGTTGCCAAGGAACTTGATGGCCGTCTTGGTCAACAACGCAAGACCATAAAGCTGTTGATCACTGCAACTATGGCCTTCACTGGCTTCCCAACTGTACCAGATGTTGTAGTCAGTAGCACTCGTCATTGAGACCAAGGACAGCAAGGCCAACATCAAAAACTTTGAAACTTCTAGCTTGCTCATGGTATACTGTACTGTAGTGCTTGCTTACTTGTAGCAATAGGTAATAGTAGTCTGTGTATTACTCTGAAAGCACTGAGCGTTCACTTTGTTGTTCAGCTTTTGAGAAATGTGGGAAGCAATCGAAATTATGAGACTGAGCTTGGATGCTTGGATGTATCTTAGAGCTGTAATAGTTCGCAGCGTCAGGTTTCGTAGAAACACTACCAACCACTACTTAGTCCACTTTGGTAATAAGATTAGAAGAACGATCATATTTACTGACACGTGAGGTTCACGCGAACGCGATGAACTGAACGCTTCTCATAGTTCAATAACAAAAGTCCTCATTCATAAATCCAAAATTCTACAGTGGAAAGATCTTGAATGGAATTACGATGCAATGCTCGAAGAAGAGACTTAGAGTAACTTTTATATAGACTCAAAGGAAATAGAGATTGGTCATTGGATTAGTTCCTGCTGTTTCTGTTTTACGTAGACTTTGTACAGTCGTACGAGATTCTACAAAATCACAAAAAGGAATGCTGGAACAAAAGCATCTCAAAAGCTCAATCGTTTGTGACCAGAGAGTTATGACTGTAGCCACCCAATGAATTAAGTGCACTTGGCTCCCAAGTGGTTCTGGAGGCATCTCATAGTCATCCAATCCTGGTCAATGCCGCGGCTTGTGGCTTTGAGATACAAGCATCTGATTCTTGGATCGCTTGTGCTCTGGTGAGATGAGTCAGTGGGGCCAAGATAAGAAGGATCACAGGATCAGTTGCCAAAAGAGGCCTTGTCTAAGATCTGCTCGTGGCTCCTCTTGTTGGTGGTCGAGGTTGCTGGTATCATGTGGCCATTTCGAGATGCATGTTCCTTGTTGGTGGTTTTGAAGGTGACTTTGCGCTAGAGGTGACAATCCGGGGGGATATGGATCAACATGGATAGGTTGGCTTGGGTTGGTTCGGGAAGGGGAGGATCGGTTTAGGCGCTGGAGATTGATGGGTGGCAAGGGTTCCTGTTAGTACGGTAACTACAGGGCACTGCAGATTGGCTACCGTAGATAGCTAGCATTAGTCTCGTACCGTAGAAAAGAAGCAAACCTTGGAACCTTGTCAAGGAGAATACTCGCAATTGTCAAGAAATTGGCAGAGATAGTGCTAGGGCATTGCAACCAGGTTCGCATGAGCTTGGGCGTCTACTAAGAGTAGCTACAGTCGTACTCTAGTAACTAGCTACAGTAGAGAGCTCTCTTCTGGATCCATCTAATCTGGTACCTTGTGATGGAGCCGAACCCATCCATCACCAAATTTGTGGAGCCAGGTTTAGCGTGGTCATGACTTTTGTCGAATAACCAAGCGGTACCAAGATGGGTCATTCTTCGAATCACGGATTTGTGATGTGTTGAAGTGAGAACAAGACGGAAGGGAGAACCTAATTCCCGGGGCAGGACACTGGCAGGATTGAGAATGACCTATCCTAATTCTGGCTACAAAGACTGTTTTTTGGAAGTGTACAGAGTGTTTCATAAGTGTACTTGAAGTGACAGTACTGAACTTGTATAGTATTTTTCTCGGTGCCGCTTCTCGAGATAATGCACCAACGAATGAGGCTGACTGTACAGAAAAAGGAAAACTAAATGCCCCACAATTTTACGATTGCTGAAGTGGATGTGAAGACCAGTTCGGAGTTTGGAGTTTGCAACTTTGCAACGCGAGCCACAGGCAACACATACAAACATACAAACAACGCATCGCCGCCACACTACAAGGATCACCTCTGTCTACTTACTTGTGCGAGAGAAAGAAGAAGAAGTTGATCAGACGAGAGCGACAGCAAGATGACGGTGGCCCAGTACGGTAAGCACAGGCAGAAGCACTGGGTAGCGCAGCGGCGGGAGCGTGGGGTCAGGCCGGGACTGATGGCCCTGAGCTGATGGATCTGACTTAGCTTAAGTCGATGTCATGTTCCTGATTCAGCCTATGCCTGATGTCGAAGTTGGAGGTTGGAGGTTGGAGGTTGACTTAAGCGGCTTGACTTAAGTTCCTTGTTGTTACTGTTGGCCTGGACTGAAGCTACTCGGCTTAAGCCTTACTCTGAGCTCCTGATCTTCCTGATCTTCTTAAGCTTGATCTTCCTGATCAACTGAAGTCAGTCCAGCAGCCTTCAGTCAGCTCGACTTAACTTAACTTGGCTTGAGACAGCTGCTGCATCTTGACCATGAGCATGAGCCCATCCATCTTGCGTTTCGTAACGACGAAAACAAGACCACCGTTTTCTCACACTTTGACTCCCCCATTCTTAATCTTAACCTTATTCTTAAACCCTAACCCTACTGCAGGCCACACTGCTGGGAGCACAGCAATGCCCGCTCCCAAGAAAGCGGTCCATCGAGACTACGCCCGAAGGCCGGGACGTCTCAAGTGGGATGATCAGGGCGGAGGCGAGTCTCAGTCGCTCTACCCGCAGCTGCTCAAGTCGCCTCCTGGAGGTCCAGGCTCTGTAGATGAAGAACTCCCGCTGACTAGTCTCATGAAGGATCGATCCGACGTCACTGCCATGACCTGCAACGAGTCGAAGTCGTGGGCCGACAGCGCGACGTCTTTTGGCGTCACCATGCTCGTGGATGGCCCCAATTTCGAGTCTGTAAGGAAAATGCTGAATGATACCGTGTTGTGTTCGTGTCGTCTTGTCGTTGCTTCGAGTTTGTCTTGTCTCGTTTCGTTTTCAGTTCTCCTTCCTCCTTGGCACAGGCTGCAGGAACTCATCCATCTGCGGTCCTGCCAAGGGACTCGCAGCAACCACTCACATTTCATTCTCTTCCTTTCTCGTGGCCAGGTAAGGTCTAGCGCAAATTCGACGATATCTCAACTGTATTGTATCGTTCCTCCTCACCCTTGAGTTATTCTTTCACTACTATTACTACCAGGGCGGGAGCTCTCGGTCCACATTTTCCAATTCGGCATCGGACAGTCGCTTTGCCACGGATATGTCGGTTGCGTCCATGAACAGTTCCGGGAACTGTTCAAGATCCAGAGATCGACCACTACAGCCACCCAAACGGACGTACTACAGGAATAACGGGTCTCCGGTTAGGTCCGGTGCTGATCTTGGTCGCGTTCCTCAAGATGATGACAGTGCACAGAAAACTGTGCGCCGTGGATCCGCGGGACATCATGGTGGCGGTGGTCGCGGACGACAACAAGACTATCAAGACCAGCGGATGAGGCGTCAAGAGGTGGATCGCAGTGATTTCGGATACGAGGAACCCAACAGGCTTCAACAACCTGTTCGTCAATACGAACGGACGAGGTACCCTGAAGAGGACTGGGACTACTACCAAGATCGCAGTAGTGCTGGAGGATATCATCACCAACGCCGTCACCATCATCAGCCACCCCCCATGCGTCCTTTCGAAGAAGAACCGAGGCAATACTATGAGCGGGAACAGGAACCACCAAGACGATACTACGAGGAAGAAGAACAAGATCCTAGACGGGGGTACTCGTACAACAACGAGGAACCACCACGTTCCCGGGATGCGCATAGACATTACCGGGACGAACAAGCACCACCAACGCGGGGCTATCATCACCACCACTACGATGAGTACCAGCACCAGGGTCGAGGCTACAACCGCCATGACCACGGGCCGCCACCACAACGAGGTTACGATGCCTATGACGAAAGGTATCATGGGTACTATGAACGCCCAAGGTATGATCTCCGCTACGAGCCTGACCTTCACTATCATCATCATCATCAGCGCGAAGAACATCACCATGGTCGCAGGTACGAAGAAGATCATGACTATCGGTGGGATCCTCGCGACCCGCGCTATGAGCAACCGCTTCGAAGACGCGATGATGGCGACAGGTACTACGAACGAGGACCTCGAGAAGACAGGTACTACGAACAAGGACCTCGAGAAGACCCATACTATCACGACAGGTTGGAAGGCGAATACGAGCATCATCAGCCCAGAGAGCACGAGCTTTACGACCAGCCGTCCCAAGTTCATCATGAGCGTGCATACGATGAGCCGTCAGTTCCAAGGCGAGCAGCCAACTCCGGAGACGACCTTCCCCAACCGACCGAGCGTGATCACCACGATAGTCGTGGCGTAAAGGACCAAGAAGATCCAATTGCCCAACCAGGAGCCTACCAACAACAGGGCGGCTCCAGGAGAGGCAAGTTGAAGGACGACGCACTTTACTCGAGCACCCGTCGTCTCCCTGGTGCATTTCATGAGCAAAGTCCTCCTTTATCGAAACAAACGAAGGACGGAAAGAACGACCCCCCAAGAAAGCCTGAGCGCGGTCCAGAAGATCCAGCGAAGCCGCATGATACCATCTTGATTGAAGTATTTCCTGGTGTTTCCGAAAAGTTGCGACGCGCCAAGGAAACGGAGGAAGCAGTGGCGGCTGATTTCTACACTCCAGCGACTTGCTTCAGCTGTAATCTTGATCTCTTTTGCATCTCGGACGTGAAGTACTTCATTTGCCCTGAATGCAGGTGTGTAAGTCCTCTAGATGAAACCAGCAATGGTATCAGAGATCGCCAGGGGGTCGGCATCGCGTTTGGCTACAAGACGCTGTCTCGGATGCAGGAGCTCTCACGACGTTCCAATTAATTGATGAACGTTCCTCTCTGCCTGCTCTGCTCACACGAGCACCTACGTTAGCATTTCATCATAACTCTCTAATAATACATGATAGCAAACCCGCACATAATTATTAATTTACTGACTCCAAGTGTACGGGAAGAGCTTGTCTAGATCCGAATGATTCAATCGAATCTGCCCTTTGTCCTGCCTTCAAGGAGCCAATCTACTTGTTGACGCCACCAACAGCACTATCGGGTTGTTGGAAGAAGAAAACCGGGAAATGAAAAAGACAGCATCATGAAGGGATTCCTTTCAGCCTTTCAGGAAGGAGGTCCGCTTATCAACTTCAACGAACCAATTCATGGCTGTCTGTTTGAAATTGTTGACATTGCAGGCCCTCCCAAAAACACGCACCCCTGCGGCATTGGTGGCAATTGAGCACAGCAGGTCCTGTCCAGCCACCGCACGAACTTGAAGCCTATTTCTTGGCACGTTCTTGGCTGCCTCTCCCATGTTGCTCGAACCCGTCTATTGGTCCAGGATTTCCAATGTGCCTCTCACGCGCAAGGACGATGTCATCCGCTTTATCGTGGAAACGTTGGAAGTGGCGATCGTGAAATCAGTCGACTCTCGAAGAAAGAAGGGAATGCAAACACCATCATCGTTCTGGCCCGTATCCGTGTTCGTCACTCCTTTGGAACGGCGGAAGCTCTTCGTTCTGCTGGCGGGGACGCTGTCAAGCTGAGTGATGCTTTCCACCACGATTGGCAGCTAGTGCCTGGCAATCCATTTGACGAGATCAGTGTGTGCTACCAAGAAACCAGCCACATCCGACGTGAACAATGCATGGGAGAGACCATTCCGGATCCAAGCCGCTATCTTAATGAACAGTCGTACTTGCATGAGCCACAGCTACAAAACTGCACCAGCATGATCTGAGCATAGTGTTGTCTCGCGATGGGATACCTCTAGCTAGCTAGACTTTCAATTGAATGGCACTGCACATACTATTTTCAGGTTGGGGGGGGCATTACACCATAGTTTGACGATCCACCGCCCCAGATATTGCATGCCTGCTGGCTGAGTTTTGGGTTATGGTTGAAGTAATCTGCCGTGTTTTGCTTCCCCGCAAAAAAGCATTGGCCTCGCATTCTTGAGCTTGAGACTTACTCGGATGATGCGAGCACAGCAATGGCTGAAGATCAATCTCTAGATGCAGCGGGCACTGGGTGTTGGGTTTCTCATCGTCGCGGTGATTTGGGCGGCATAGATGAAATCACATTGCAGTTTCAGAGGGTATGTGAATCCCCCGAATTTCTCGAGAGACTTCGTGTCAAGGGATTTGTAGAACCAACGTTCCATCGAAACGAAGAGCTCGTGTGGGGCAATCCTTGCTTTGACAAGTTTCGTTGTGCTGCTTCGTACAAAAAACCCTCGACTCGCTTAGGTTTGGTCTTTCATGGGACAGACCAGCACAACCTTTCCAGCATTTTGAAAACGGGATTAAGTCCTGGAACGCGCTCTAAGCAAGCTTATGGGCGCGGAGAGTATTTTGCCAAGGACCCCATTCTGGCAAACAAGTATGCTCGTGGGGCTTTGCAGTTGCTAGTGTTTGTCGTAGTTCTGCCGCCGCAAAAAGAACACTGTCCAAATGTGATTGTGGTGGTCTCTCAAAATGATCATCAGCTACCTATTGGAAAAGTCACCTTTCAATGCTTCAATTCGATGAAATCGAAGCAAACTACGCCAGTACACCTTACAGCTTTCCTCTTGTTGTCAGCAGTCATGATCATGGCGCTCGTGGCGCCAGATTTTGAGCTTGGGAAGGCGCTTCTTCTATTGTCTCCGTGACCCTCAAGAACGGTAAACTACTACGGATCGATGGACAACGGCAAAAATTAGTGCTAAGCGCCATGCAGAGAAATAGCTAGCTAGTTGGAGAGATTTGGATTCTACAAGCAAAAATTGAAACCCAAGTTTTGCACCAGTTCCACCATCGCCCAAATGGAAGCTCTGTGTTGATTACCGTATGAACCGAAGCAATCAAGTCAAAGCCATATTGGACGGTCGAAGATTTCTTCTTTCTCAATACGTAGCGACTTTATATGGAGCTTGTGTGGATTGATTGATTGATTGGTTTATTGATTGATTGATTGAGTCTACAAGATGAATCTCGTGAGATCCGTCTTCATGGTAACATCCTTCAACCGTTCCTGCACGAGCTGTTTATCCACGACAAACTTCGTGCCCGCGTCCACCTCGGCTGCTTCAAAGCTAATTTCCTCCATGATCCGTTCCATCACCGTATGCAGTCTCCTAGCACCAATATTTTCCACCGATTTGTTGAGCTCTGCGGCCATGCTTGCAATCTCCAAAATGGCTTCGTCCTCAAAGACCAACTCGACCCCCTCCGTTTTGAGCAGTTCGACCTGTTGGCGAATCATCTACAATTTCAAAATTTGAAAGGAATGATGTTGAATGGGACAAGAAAACAAAAAACAAATCAGCACAAACATTCGTGTTGTTGTTGAGACGCATGCATTTGTAGATTGATGATGGCTGTTGTTTTGTCATACGCAACCCAACGCAACAAAGGTAACTCACGTTGGCGACCGGTTCCGTGAGGATTCGGTATAGATCCCGTTCCGTAAGTCCCTTTAATTCTACCCGAACGGGAAGCCGTCCTTGGAGCTCCGGCAGTAGATCACTTGGCTTGACCGCATGAAAGGCGCCACTGGCCACAAATAAAATGTAATCGGTCTTTACATTTCCGTGTTTGGTGCTGATTGTTGTTCCTTCGACGAGGGGTAACAAATCTCTCTGTACTCCCTCGGCACTGGCATCGGCACTCTTACCAAAGGAGTCATTGGAGGTGCAAATCTTGTCAATTTCGTCTGTCACACAATAGAATAAAATACTGTCAGCAAGGAACATTCATCCATTTTCCAGTTTGAATTGAATCAATTTCTCTTACCAATAAAGACAATCCCAGTTTCTTCCACAGCAGCAATGGCTTCCTTTTTGAGGTCAACATTGGCGAGTAGTTTGTCAATTTCACTGTCCAATAATAATTCTCTCGCTTCTGCGACGGTAGTTTTCTTTTTGTCAGTTGGAATTTTTTTGCCTCCTCCTGCCGCAGCGCCTTGTGACATGATCATGGCCATGATTTGTGGTGGAATGGGCATGGTGACATCTCCTCCTGTGGACGTGGTTCCGATATTCATTTCGGATGGTGTTTTTTGTGGTACGTCAATTTCGATGGGTTGATCGTCTAGCATTCCATCCTTCATCATTTCCCGAAAGGAATCCGTGGTTCGATCCGCAGTGGTAGTGTCATTGGTACCGGTGGGAGTGGATGTGGTAGACGTTCCAGTGAGGATGGCCAAGATGCGTTCTTCTACGTTTGCTCTGGCTTGTTCCCTCATGATTTCTGTGTGTCGTTTGCGAGTCAATTGTAAGGAAATGTCCATCAGATCACTAATGATCTAAAATACATGAAAAGAGATGGATAAGTTAGTTGGGTGGATAGAGTTGGGTGGGATTGGGTAAGAACAGGTCAAGACAAGATGAAAGATGAAGCAAAGGAAGCAACCTTAAACTTGTCTTAGGCTCAAGATATCTCTCCAGTTCAGGTCCAGACAACTTAAGCATGCAGGTAGGTATATCATATACTAGCTAGCTAGCTAGCTAGTACTGAGCTTGTCTTACCTTATCGACATCCCTGCCATGATACCCCACTTCGGTGAACTTGGTAGCTTCAACCTTGATGAAAGGAGCATCGTTCAACATGGCCATTCGCCTGGCTACTTCGGTCTTTCCACAGCCAGTGGGTCCCACGAGGAGAACGTTTTTGGGCATGATTTCCCGCTTGATGTCTTCTGGTAGCAAGCGACGCCTCCAGCGATTTCGCAGCGCAATGGCCACGGCGCGTTTCGCGTCTTGCTGGCCCACCACGTAGTCATCTAGCTTGGTCACGATCTCTGAGGGCCTCAGGTACTTGCTTAGGTCTTCTGCATTGCCACTGGCACTATTAGTAGTACTTGTATTAGTATTACTAGAACCAACGGTAGAAACACCAAGTTCCGAATCTCCTGAAGATGGAGGATCCAACGGGACTGCCGAAAAGAAACGGCCAAACGAGGGCTTCAGCAGTCTAGTACATGTACTGGTACTACTAGTAGCATTGCTTCTGCAGGCATACCGGTACGCATTTGTATATGTATACACAGACCGCAACATGATGGATGGCTATATATTTGCTAAGGATGCCTGTGTTATGATCGTGGGTTGACTTTCGACTTTTTGTTCTGTTTTTGGAGCTTTGCTGCGCTGATCACCGAAGAATGACGATCTTTGGCGTGATGCGAATGGCGTCACTCGGCGATAATCGATGCGAGCGATACCCTATGCCTACAAGTAATTAGATTTTTAAGAATGGGGTTATTAATAACCAGGTCAGGATCAAAGCAGAAATTGTTGGCTCTCTGATCGTACGGTACTGGTACCAGGTACGACAGGAAGGACCATTGTATGTACCTCGGCAAACCCTTTCGCTATTTTAAAATAGCTGTCTTCATCCTTCCTATCGCTGAGATAGCTTGGAAAACTCAGCCAGAGAGGGTTGATTGTATCTTATGCAATTCCGAAGACAAGCAAAGCTTTGGTTTTGGTTTGCATGGTTAGGGGCAATCTATCTGGGGACAGTGCGATACTGGCTAGTAACATGTACATGTATGCCAACGATCGAGAAAGCTCATCAAACAAACTGATTGAGAAATAGGTTTTACTGCCTTGGTAATTCGCACATTTAATTTGCGGAAGTGACAAGTGAGAAAAATAGAATGCGAAGACAAATAAGAACATGGAACAGTGACATCCAGGTCTAAGTAGAATAGTTTTCTGCAAAAAGATGACCTGAATGCTTTAAATCTTTGAAAACTTTTCGCCAAAGATACTTAGTGTACTGAATGATTCAATCGGAGACGTGCCACTAAAAATTTCAAGGGGCAGCATCGATGACTGTGACACTTTTTGCTTGGTTGATGATTGGCATCTTTCTCATTCATCCTCTTTCGTTTCTCACTTCACTCATTCTCATCTCATCATAATCATCTTGTCTATCTCTGTGAAAACAAATAAATTGGATTGATTGACTACTACTGTACAACTATTAATAGTTGCAGCTGAAAGCACGAAAGTAAAAATGAGAAAATCAACTTTTCTTGTTGTTTTTCTGATCTTGCTGCGGACTGGAGCAGCAGCAGCAGTAGCTACAGGAGGATCCCCACTATCAGTACCGATAGTAAGAGTAAGAAATCTAGCGAGCTGCACAGATTCGCTTGCTGCTGCGGATGCTGACGACAGTGGCGGACTGTCGCTGGAAGAATTCACTTCCTTTCTCAAACAAAAAAACGCCAAACACGCCAAAGCCCACGCCGTGGACACCAAATCCACGATTGGCACTACCGTGGAAAATTCCATCCAGCACGTATTTTCCACCTTTCCCACTCTACAGGGCACCGCAGAGGTGGATATCACGGGAGCTGCTGCTACTGATCTTGCCCAAGTGTCTCCTAGTCAACAGGCAGTGCTGGAGCTCATTTGTGAAAGAAGTCAGGCACTCCTCTTAAGTACTACTAGTAGCCATGCTGCCAAAACGACCAAAAATAATCCGTTTCAAGGAGAACAAGTCGCAGGCAGCCGGCAAGGGCTTCCGGAGGTTCTGGAGCACTTGTTCTATCAAGTTGGAGGTGTAGATATTTCATGGGAGGATGCACAAACAAAATGCCCCACGCAGTTCACATCTCTATTTCAATGCGTGCTAGCGAGATGTCCCAACTTATTGGAGGTGTGTTATGGTTTCCAGGAATCTGCCACGGGACGAGTCGCAGTCGCAGTTGCAATCCTTGGAAAACAGGCTGCTGGGGATACCGGTGCCCCTATATGCTCAGCCGATGGAGATACATTCACATGCAACCAATCGTCGCAATTCAATACAGGGGGCACCCAAACCGACGTAGAAAGTACCATCACATGTGACATCAACGCTGCCCTCGGCTTTGACGTGCAACAATCCGATAACTGTGCTTGCAGCGCTCTGTTGACGACGGATGGGGTTCAGAGGGCATGTTCCTGCGGTGTTTGTTCACAGGGTTCTCCACAAAGCCTCAGTGTCGACTGCAGTGCAAACGAACAAGATCCTTTCGTATTTGAACCATGCATTGCACTCGACTGTGACGGTCGCTGCATTCAAGGCGATACCGGTACGGCAGGCAGCGATACTGGTACTGCTGCCACCGGTGGTGACACTGCTAGTAATGGTGCGGTTGGAACATGTAGCGATATCCAGAACGATTTCTGTGGAACGGTCCTGGCAGGGGATGACTGCTGTATGACCGATTGCGCCGAGGAGCTAGCTGATGTCACAACTTGCGCCATTCTACAGAATACGGGAGAGGATTGTCAGCTCAGTGAGTGTGATGATGTGGACACAGCTGGAAGTGGAGGTGATTCGTCGTCATCGGGTGGTCCAATGTTCCTTGACGGTTTCGTTCTCAACGTTGCTGGACTTACCGTTGATGCCTCAACAGCAGAGACTGACTGTCCCAGCGAATGGGCTGCTATGGTCCAATGCATCATCACAGATTGCCCTTACTTCCTAGAAGTCTGCTCAGATCCTACTCAAGGCTTCGCCAACGCTACAGTTCCATCCTGCCAAGAGCTCGATGAAGCACTTTGTTCAGCCTTTGCAGGAACAGAATGCTGCATGGCTGGATGTGCGCCGGCAGTGCAACTATTGCTGGCCTGCTTATTTCAAACATTCACCGGAGAGGATCTTTCAGTCTGCGAAGTTACAGAATGCGACAGCGTATCGGTAGCACCGTCTTGCACCAATGAAGAATGCGAGGCACTTGGTCAGTTCTGCTCCGGATTGGGGCAATGCGAGGACTTGACCTGCGAAAACTGGGCCGCACTCCATCCGTTCGAAGAACTAGCCTTCAGCAGCAAGCCCTGTGCAGCCCAATTTGGGGCCGATGGGGAAACTAGCTTTTGCTCGCCGGATGGCTCCTGCTTCGAATACTCCTGTGAGAATTGGTACCAGTACGGCCCCTTTGAGTATACAGGCTACGACGGTTCCGTGGATTTGACATGCACTGAGTACACCCAGGGCGACCAGGAAAATATGAACTCGGTCGTTTTTGGTTGCCGAACATACAAACCTGGCTTCAATTCACTGGATGGCAGGACTTGGACACATTTCTTCAACAGAGAGTGTACAGCCAATGGATTCACTTGCTATGATAATGATGACAACGCGGACTTTCGTGACTTTCAGGGAGAAGCCGCACGTGTGAATCCCGGCTCCTGCGATCCAGAAATGAATGTTGAGCAGCAACCTGTGTATTGGTACAACGTTCTACTCGGACGAGAAATCGATGGCGAGATCTACGAGGCAGAACTACCTAGGGACTCCACCGGTTCGTTTTCTGAAAGCAGAGCCAAAAGGACAATGTATGCGGTGTTCTCAGGTGATGAGGAATACGATTCACCATCAGGCTCTGATGGCACTGGAGGTGGGGGGCTGCAAGACCTTGATGAATTCACCTTCAATGTTGCTGGAATCAGCATTGATGCTGAAACAGTACAAGAGGCTTGCCCAGATGAATTTGACATGACTTTTCAGTGCATCATTCGAGACTGTCCATTTTTCCTCGATGTCTGCCCAAATTTCACAGAAGACCTGGGTTCGGGCATGGCTGATACAGTCCCCTCCTGCGAAGAACTTGATCAAGGACTCTGTGATTTGTATGGTGGAGAGCCAGAGTGCTGCATCACTGATTGTTTCACGGAACTTCAAGGGTTGTTGGTGTGCGCAATATCTGAGCTGACAGGAGAGGATCGTTCTGATTGCGCAGCACCAACCTGTGCCACCTCCACCAGTGACAGTGGAGGTGGAGGTGGGGGGCCAAATGACATGGATGAAGGGGGCGGATTGTTGGATACCTTTGATGTTTGGTTTGCCGGAGTGCAGATTGATGCGTCGGTCGCCGAAAATGCTTGCCCCGTTGAATGGCTTGTGCTTGTCACCACTGTTATCACTCAGTGCCCCAACTTTTTAGACGTCTGCCCTTCAGCACTCGAAGGGAGTCCCGGGAATAGCGACAACAATGGTGCAGTGCCCGCTTGCCCCGCATTCAACCAACAAATCTGTCGGGAATTGGATTTCCAGAAGCAAGATCCAGGCTGTTGCTTGGATGTGGCCACGTACCAACTCTACGATTTGACTCTCTGCATAATCCGAGAAACCACAGGAGAAGACCTCTCCACGTGCGGACTCCCGGACTGTGTAACAGCTGCAACAGCATTACCGGAGGGAGGCCACGATGGTGCCGATATAGGTGATGCCTTCGTAGGAGCCTTGACTTCAGCCATTAATATCACAGGATTTGACGTGGACATCTTTGGCACCAAGCTTTCCCCAGCTCTGAATATTGATATTCCCGAATGCAATTATGATTGGTTCTGGACGCTCGGATGCATCAAGGAACAGTGCTCCAATTTCTTGGAAGTCTGCAGAGATCCAAACGCAGCTCCAAACACCAACGTCTCCTTTGTGATGGGAGGGGCTTCTCCCCAAACTTGTACAGAGCTCGAAACAGGAATTTGCGACCCATTGTCAAGATTCCCCGTGGGCTGCTGCTTCTCTGATTGTATACTCCCTCTTTACACACTGGCATCGTGTGTTGTTGACAATGCCATCCCAGACAAGGAAATCAGAGAATGTAGGCCGCCTTGTCTCGTTGACTGGTTGGTCGGTCCTGGATTGCAACTGGCTGGGGCTGTGCCACCAACGGCTGAGGATCTTGCACTTTTCGAGTTTGATTTCTTTGGAAAAAATCTAACTGGCCGTGATGCGGAGGCACAGTGCAACGATGAAACGAGCAAAACGATTGATTGTGTCAAGAAGGATTGCCCAAACTTCTTCTGGTCTTGCGCTCGGGATCTGGCAGGGTTTCCGTATGCTGTTAACACCGACCCTGATGCTCTATTTTCCAGCAGTGCAGCCCCACTAGACTTGACGCCTGCAAACTTTGGTTGCACGAATTTTACCGATACCTTTTGCGAGTTGTTCAAAGTGTCAGAGGCTTGTTGCCTCTCGAAGTGCATGGCACCAATGTATGATTTGGCAGCCTGCATGATTGACTTTGCTATTGGCGACAACTCAAATCTTGCCGGAGGTTGCTCTGCCCCACAATGTGTTGCGGACTATGGAGATGCCTACAATCCTTCCGTTGGTATCATCCCTGTGGCTGTCAACTCGTCCTTCTTGATCTCGACGTTGGAAACAATTACTGCTGCAGCCCTGCTGGCGCAGCTCAATGACGGAGACAACGTAGCACTGCAGGTACTGCTTGACGCCTACCGTGCCTGCGTCCAGGCTGCGGTGGATTCGCTCAATACTGATTCTGGTGGTAGGCAACTGGGCCATCTTCCAACTGTTGATGGCATTCCTCACCGACAGCTACAAACGTTGCCTCCAGAGTTTGATCCCAACAGTGCTGAAATATACAACTTTATGGACACACCTTGCGATGACACTTCGGCAACAGTTTCAAAGCAAGGTGGCGGCACTGCGCAGCAACAACAACAAACCTGCATTACTGTATTTGGCAAGTACAAGCTGAGCGTGGACCCACAAGACAATCCCCAAGCAGTCTATGAACGGTTTGAAGAAGCCACGACAACTGCAATCAGCACTGGTGTCCTCCAAGACAAGCTGCAAGAGGCGGCGGCAGTACAAGCGAACAATAATGTTGGGAATGCTACAAACAACACTGCCGCTTCGTTTGTATCTCCGTTTGTGGTCCAAGGTGTGTCGACAGTCGTTGACGAAAGCTTTGTGGCGATTAGTCCACTGGAAATCCCGGCGACACCGGATGCGAGTAGACCCGAGTTGGGAGCAACGGACAATGCTACCGGTAATACGGGGACCAATAATGCCACGGCAGCACCCACGGAAGCACCAGATTCTGGGGCATCCTCTCTTTGGAGGTCTGCAGCCACGGCGCTGTTGGCTATTCCGTTCTGCATAGCTTTGCTGTCGTAATCAGTACGGGTACTTCATCATGGCTAGCTACCTAGCTCCCGACCTTTGAGTTTTGCTGCGTCGGAAGCCTGGACTATCTAGCTAGAGTAATTAATTTAATAACGTGCATATTCAAGTATGTTGTTGCTCCAAATTGAATGATTCCTGGAAGTTCAGTGACAACGGAGAAGGAACAAGAAACCAACTTCGACTCTGTTCTCTCCAGCCTGTTGTTGCCTACTACGGAAGGCAAGCAAACCGTGGGCCACGACAACGAAACGAATGCCACACCTTCGCAGTGTACGATGGAGAACGCAGGAAGTCGTGGAAACGCTTTAGCGCAACACTCGGATGGGACAGATGGAGGCAAACAACAATCCAACTGACAAGGGAATGACCGGAGAGGATCCTACATGTAGCTTCACGCTGAGCCCGCAAAGTGATGACAAGATTATGAAACGACCATTTTAGCAAGGTTTTGTCAGATTCGATTGATCATTCCGTACATCCAAGACCGCGTGCGATCGCCAGAAGCGTCAATGGGTCAGATGTGTTCCACCTTGTTGTTAAGCACTTGAAAACGCAGGGATTGATTCTGTGCTACCAGATGGTTTGCTTTTTGGCAAAGTAGCCAACTAATTTGGATTATCTCTCTGTTTCGTGAGGCTCCTTTTATTGTAAAGCTCCGGCACCAGATTGTTCGGACGACTGGATCCAATCCAGTACAACCCATTTCGTGGAGTATCCCACGGACTATCACTGATTCATCACAATAGATCGTTGGTCAAATGAAGGAGTTTTGGTGGGTCGTTGCTCTTGCTGGTTCGTTTATGGTTCTCCTTGGAGGAACTCGTTTTCTTCTTGACAACAACGAGGACTTTTCCTTTGACTTGTTCCGACCCCGGCGAAAAGATTGGCGGCGGAGGTGGGGGTGGCAAGACGCGTCCTTTCAAAGTAGTGCGTCTGCCGTCCTTGAGATCTCCAACACTACGGTTGTGTTCTTGGTCTGCGCGAGCACGACACGGCGACCGCTCTCGATTCGTCACAGGTGTCACCGTTCCATCATGAGTGTTGGTACGACGGAACGGCGCCACCACGGGGGTGGGCTTGGTATCCGTATCGTCTTGGAAGAAGCTCTTCTCGACGGCCGAGATATCTTGTGGGGTAGCCTTTCGAATTCTGAAATCCTTGACAAAGCCCTTCTCTACCGCCGATACGTCTTCCTGTGTAGCTTTTCGAATTCGGAAGCGGCGACTGGTGCGTTCGTTAGAGGAGCTTTGCTTGTTGGTTTCTTCCTCCTGCTTTTGGTTGTTGTCGTCGTTGTCGTTGTCGTTGTCGTTGTCTTCGCTGTGATCGGTGAGATTCGGGAGACTGTTGCCCTTGGCATGTCGCAAGTCTTTCCTTCGACTGGTGCTGTCCGGAGTCTCAGTCTTTGTGTTGTTGGATTCGTCCTTTTGCTTGTTCTGTCCAGAGAGCGCGGTTGTCCCATCATGTGTCTTGGTTCTACGAAACGGCGCGGGCGTGTTGTTGTTGTTGTTGGGGTTGTTGTTGGTCACTGGCAGATCCTTGTTCTTGCGTCGGGAAGAAGGGGGTCGAATGGGTGCAGCTGTGGTCCCATCATGAGAGTTGGCTCTACGAACTCCTGTTGTCGAGGCATCTTGTGCATCTTGTGGCTTGTTTCGACTGCGTCGACTGGTCCTCTTTCCGGTCCCCGTAGCAGACCCCGACATGTGTGTTTCGTAGGAGAGCATGGCCTCGTCGGCACTGGTGGCTCTACGTCGTCTGCTTTTCCGTTTGTCATTGTTGGCATTGGCATTGACATTGACATTGGCAGCGGAACGCGGTAGTAGGTTGTTTTGTGAAGATCCGTCCTCCAATGCCATGTTTCGACTGCTGGAAAGAGCCGCTGTGGCAGATGTGACATCAGAAGCGTCCTTCATGGATTCATCCCTGAGCTGGCTAGCTCTTTGCTGTAGATGGTACCGCCTTCGACTGCTTCCAGTCATTTTGCTAGCATCCATGATTTTGGATTGAGATTCTTCAGTCAAATCTGACTTTGAGTTGTTGTTGTTTGTGTTGTTGTTTGTGTTGGGTGGTTGTTGTTGTGTTGGTGGTGGAGGTGGGGGAATGGGTTTCTTCTTCTTTTTGTTGGTAATGGGTGGTAACAGATAGTCATTCTCTTCAGTGTCCTCTGGATAATCAGTTTGTGCAGATTGTTCTAAGAGTAAAAGTGAACTCTTGGCATAAGATGAAGCCACCATGGTTGCCCCTGAAGCACTAGCACTGACACTAGCACTGGTGCTGATGAGGTTGGAATTGCTTCTGTTCCAACTGACAATGGACTCATTGTCATTGTCATTTTGATTGTCATTTTGAGATTCAGGTAGAGATTGTTTGTGTTTTCCCTTTTTCAACTTTCGCAACTGCAATTGAAGTTTTTTCTTTTCCTTTTTCTTTCTCTTTTCTCTCTTTTCTTTTTTGGCTTTTTTCTTGGCTTGGTCAATGGCATCCAATCTGTACAGGTCTTTGACATGCAGAGATTGTTCCACCATATTGTCATGCTGATTGTCATGCTTGTTCAAGTGATTGCCACTCTTGCTCAAATTTTTCAAGTCCTGAGTGCAGGAGGACACCTTGAGGTCCAGCAGCTTTTGGTGGGTCATGACTTGACTGACTGAAGTCAATGATCTGATCAGCTTAATGAGTGGATGGGTATCAAGGGGTATCCAGCTTAATGGATGGGTATCTGGAGGGTATCAGAGGGGTATCCAGTACCGGTATGCAGCTTAATGGGTGGGTATCTCCAGCTTAATGGATGGGTATACAGCTTAATGGATGGGTATCAGCTTAATGGAAGGGTATACAGCTTAATAGCTCAAGCTCAGAATAATGAGGGTATAGCTACTACTGGTAGCGTAGATAGTAGTACCGTATGCATGCAGCAGATGAGACCTCAACTCAACTCCCACGCCTCAATTGACACGACTTGACTTGACTAGCTACTAGCTACTAGCTAGTATCTGGTAGAATGGGAAGATAGAGTGACCTTGCCTAGCTAGTGAAGCAATGAAGCTATTCAGCAACTGAGTGAATGACAACCCAATGAATTCCTTGGATCAGAGCAACACTCCACTTCTCCACTCCTCTGTCGTCTTTCGTCGAACTGTTGTGATGGTGTTATTGTGTCGCTCGTTTCAGTTGCCTGGTGCTTGTTGCTTGTTGGATGCATCTTTCCAGAGCCGTCTTGTTCAGACAGTGGCAGCCAAACAGTACTATTCAACGACTACACTCAAGTGACTCCACGAGACTCTCTCGCCAGTGGTACAAGCCTTCCATAAATCAATCAATAACCATTTGGCACTAGCTAGAAGGGCAATGATTGGTTATTGATCATGGGTAAGCCTTGTGACAAAGAGTCATTACGAATCGATTATTAAATCTCATTACTCTAGAATAGTTAGTAACCAAGATGGACTGGCATGTTCGCAAGTGTCATACAGCAGCGTCATGTCACATGTCACCTGGAGCCAGCAGCCAGCACGGCTACCTAAAACCCAAAGAAATTGGAGTTTGCTTATTAGGTTGGAGGTAAAACCCTTGCTGGCTAGCTAGCTTGGATCCCAAGCGCAGCCCTTGTGCAGGTACCTGGCTGGTACTGTAGTTAGTTGCAAGGAGACATCTCCAACCAGACTAGTACTGTAGGTCTAGACTATGCATACTAGTGCTGTACATGTAGTAGAGCTCTCGTTGCTATCGGTACCAGTCAGCATTAATAGACGATACTAATGGTTCCTTTGCTTGCATCCAGTTAAACTCGATTTGCTTGCTAGCCTCCCAAATACGTACTCTATGCCATACTAGAAAGCCTCGTTCTTGATTCATGTTGGCTGCCTGAGATGGCCTCAATCTTCACATCAACGAATTGGCTTCACGGACGAAGCCACATCTAGACTACTGTGCCTGGTGGCAGGTGGCTGGCTCGTACCGTGCCGTAGCTGCAAATGAGGTACCACCGCTACGTACGATACATGTTAGACTCCCAGTACCAGGACGCAAGATCCAATCCCACAGCCTTTCGGAACACCAACTTGAATGGGAGACAGCAATCACAAGCAGATGGAGCGCTGATTTGAGAGGTCCTTCCGTACTAGACTAGCCACCGGACGGGATGCATAGCCAGCCACTTCATCTATGATACATCGTACTACCGGTCGTACCACTACCCGAGCCATTTAGTAGAGCAGCAAAGTACGCATAGCATGGCTTCAAATATGCAGAAGCAAGAGCAGCGAGCGATCTACTCAGTACGTACCCAGGTATCTATCTACCTAGAGTAGTGTGTAGGTACTGTACTGTAAAGTACGTTGTACTATGTTGTCTGTCGTTGGTCGTTGTTTGTCATCGTCATCTCACAATATGCTATCATAGCTATCCAAGCGATTTCGCCAAGTGTCCGTCTGTGACGGTCCGCAGCATCATTCGAAGTTTCCGTTGACGGAAAGACAGTGGTCCAATGAGAAGCGTGAGATTGAAGGCAAGCAGCTGGGTTTGTTGACCTGCATGGCAGATTTGTACTAGGGTGCGCACTTTTGTTCCTCAGTTTCAGTTCGCTCACGAAGGGCGTACTTAAGTATTTAAGGGGTTGTTCTTCAACGGACACAGCTGTCGGCAGATGGAGTGACAAGTCAAGAAAGTTCGAGAAGAACATCAGAAAGTCAATGAGAACGACCCGATCCATTGGCTTTGGTTGGTTTTGGATTCAAAAATTTGCAGGAAGCACGGATGAGCCATCACTTCCACAGAACAAGGGCTCGACTTCGCTCATTCTTGATGCGATTGTAGGTAATCGATAGCTAGAGCTAGCAAATAAATACAACTCACAAAACACAACCTCAGTCTCATAAAACCAAGAAATCATCAATCTAAAACACAACGAAACAAATCAAATCAAATCACAACGAATTACTTGCAAGAATAAATAAAAATACTGATTGACCATGATGTTCCAATACCCTCTTTTTGCGTTGAGTTTGAGTTTGAGTTTGAGTTTGGTTGGCAATGCTGCTGGGTTTGCTCCTCTTCCATTGACCTTGAAGACTACAAGCAGTGCTGCTGGTACTGTTGTTGATCACATGAGTGTGAGCTCTGCTTTGTTTGCCAAGAAGAAAAACAAGAAAAACAAAAAGAACAACGAAGATGACGATGGCGAAGATCACGATCCCAACCTTGAAATGCTGCGCCAACAGTTGGAAATGCAGTGGCAGGTGCAGAAGAGCCATGAGCAAGGACCTGGACATGGACCTGGACCTGGACATGGACCTGGGCAGCACAAGATGAATGGAGTTGGAGAACCTGGCTTTAGCAGTCTCTTGGGTCCTCCTCCGATGCAACCCATGCAGCAGCAGCCATACCCTATGCAGCAGCAACCTTACCCCATGCAGCAGCAACCATACCCCATGCAACATGGACCTCAGCCTTATCCTTACCCTGGACCCCCTCATGGCCATCCTCATGGACCCCCTCATGGCCATCCCCACGCTCAGCCACCCATGGGAGGCATGGCAATGGGCATGGGAATGTCAGCCAGAGATCAGGCGGAAGCCGATTGGATTGAGCAGCGCATGGCTCAGGATGATCAACATTGGAGAAACGTTGGACAGCCAGCCACTGAGGAATGGTTTGCCAGAAATGGCTATGTTCCTCCCTACATGGTTCAAAATCAGCAGCAACTTCAACGTCAGAATCCACAGCAACAGCAACCCCAAAATCAACGTCAACAGCAACAGCAGCAGCAACAAGGACACCAGACGGCTCATGAGCAAATCCAGAATATGCCCAAGGGACGGAATCGATCTGCAAGAGACCAAATGTTCCGTATTCACAACCAGCTCAAGAATCACCCAAACTTTGCCGACGACGTGCTCTATAACGATCAGCAACAGCAGCAGCAGTCTTCAGCTCCTTTCCCTTATCCACAAGAATTCATTGAAGACGACTTTGTCGGCGGAGGCGATGATGACTCGTGGGTCAAGCAAGGTTTTGAACAAAGCGGCCCTCCCATCTTTGGAACTCCACAGCAGCAGCAGCAGCAACGCCATCCCACAAGTGAAACTGCCAGGGGACACGAACCCATCCTGCCCATGCCAAAGGCAAAGGATGGTTCCGCCAGAGACCAAATGTTCCGCATTCACAACCAACTCAAGAATCACCCAAACTTTGCCGACGACAAACTCTTTGGACCTGAAGACTTTGTTGACCAGAACCAGAACAATCAGTTCCAACAACAACAACAAGATCCAAACATGTTTCGTGGCGAACCACCCATGAATCGTCCGCCACAAGGCCCAGGTCCATTCGACCAAGGATTCTTTGGAGGTCCTCCACCACCACCACATGGCGGTGACGATGAACCATACTGGGGCATCTAACTCCTTTCTGTTTCAAAAAGTCCTGCGCTACCTAGCTAGAGGAAACCGACTCGCTTTAGGCACCCGCAAGACCAGTACATGTATATGCATTGATTCAAGCCTTTTCGCGACTTCAAGACAACAAGATGAGACACGAAAGAAGACGAGATACAAACAACAACAAACGACGGTGGGCACAGCTATCACTACGACACAATATTTACTGACAAAAAACCATACACTGCATTTTTGCTTGCCGCCACACACTGGATCCAACGACGCGTCCAATTGAAGAATGACGATGACGGAGGATTACAGTATCACATTTGCATACATAACAAAAAAAGAACACATACATGCATTCCACTTTCCTAGCTAGTAGGCCTAGCTAGCTCATACGGTACTTCCTTGGCTTCCTTCTTCCCTTCTTCCCGCATAAATACTACTAAAAACTCCTCTTTCAAAACGAAGATTGGCTTTGTTTCGGCCTCGTTTCGGTGGACTTCCTTGCTTTCAGGTGGGCGATGCTGCTACAGTACATCAACGTGGGCACCAAAACTCGTACTAGCATGCTAAATCAGACAGCCTCCCTGTTCGCCGGACAAGTTGGTTGGATCAATCATTTCGGCGTTCGCGCAGAGCTCTTTGCTGGTTAGAACATCCCTGATCCTCATCACCAAGAATGATGAATCGAATCCAGCTTTTGCTTTACCGTCTCGTACTGGTACCTGGTACCAAGAAGCCTTGCGCCGACATGGCTGGGGTATTCTTTGGAATGAGACGATGCCAGTGCGTACCTAGCTAGCTAGCTAGCTAGCATAGTCCTTGTTCGGTTGGGCCTAACCCAAACTAGTTGGCTGTCAGTAAACCAAATTCGCTAGGATCTGGCACCAAATTCGCTAGGATCTGGCCCCCGAGTAGCACCCACCTGCCTCAGCCCATGCTAGCTAGCTACCTGGTAGAGGTGTGGGCTTTGGTGGAACGAACCCACAGGTTTGTATTTGTGACCTGGTTCTGTGGTACTGGTCTACAGAGGTCTACACAGACCGGCGGTTACAAATACAAACCAGCCGTTATCGTTCCCATCAAAACGAACCGGTACTTAGGGCCGGCTGTGCCCCATCGGTCTCCGGCCTGACCATCGGGCTGTCGGGCTTGCGCCCTCTCTTAAGCCCTCGGTCAGACCTCCGACCTCGGGTCCCTGCCTCAACCCCTAAGTAAGCCGGTCCGTTTTTAATAAGTTTGAACCCGCCATAAAAGCTAGCTAAGAAACGGAAAGACGTACTTAAGTACCCTGATTCCCGAAGCGGAGCCGAAAGACCCGAGCTTGTTTCCCTGAAACCGTGACGGCTATTCCCTTTTTAGAGGGATCAAAAGCACGCCATGACAAGAAAAAAAAGCTAGTCACCAACGCAACAATGGCGTACATGTACTAGTACTTTTTACACAAAGTTTACCGCTGTTCCCGAAGCAGAGACTGGAAGCCCGTCACTTTTCCGTGAAATCGTGAAGGCATTCCCGTGTGTCGGAGGGATCAAAAGCACAGAATCCTGCTTTCCCAATAAGCCGCTTGGCTGGCTAAAAGCTGCCGCAAAGTTGGTTTTAGGCTTCCAAGAAAGTACCGGTACTAGTATAGCTTTGGCAATAGCTTGCTAGTATTCGCAGCATGTGCAGCAGTAGCAACCTGACACTTCCATCATATCAACTCGTAGATTACCAATTCTGGACATGTTGCCAGCTTCAATTGCATCGCACAGGAATCCAATATCGCCAGTCAGGAGCGTGTTTTGCAACTCTAGCCGACTGATCACTTCAAAATTCGTGAAGGACTTCGGCACAGCTCCTGTGAGTGGATTGACCGAGAGCGCAAGTCGCGTCATGGCTGTCAGCAAACCAAGTTCGCTTGGCAGTCGGCCATGGATTTGACTCGAAGACAATTGCAGTCGCTTCAACTGAGTAGCTAAACCTATCTCGGAGGGTAGGGTCCCAGCCAGTTGTGCCCCATGCATAATGAAGGATTTTATATTGGTCCACAGACCTATTTCAGTGGGGAGGGTGTCATTGACAAATCCGTAAGCCATATTGGACATCTCAAGGAATTCCAATCCAGTCAATCGTTGATAGAGTTCTATCCATGAGGATGCAGATCGAGAGAACGGAGGTAAGAAAGCAATCATTGTATCAGGATGCTTCAGGCTTGTGTCAGCTTTTACCTATGGGCACTGTCCCTTGCCAAGACAGCCGCTCTGCCCCCAAAGCCTTCAAATGGATCAGGTTGCCAATCTCCGAAGGCAACGTCCCTGTGATGCCACCGTTGTCTCCAATCTTTAACGACTCCAGGTTTGTCCAGCCGTTGAAATAGGCTTCCGGAACGGTTCCTTCCAGTTTATTGTTTGCGACTTCAAACTCTCGTAGATTGGTCAAAGAAGAGAGTGAGGCCGGTAAACTGCCCGTAATGTCGTTTCCTTCGAGATGAAGGAACTGTAGATCTGCCAGGGCCGCCAATTCTGGTATGAGAGGCCCGGAGAGTCCATTGGCGCGGAGATCAATTGTAGTGACGACGTGTCCTGTCCTGTTGGTTTCTTCAGTACCCGTACAGGAAAGTGCCCCCGACCAGTCGCATTCATGGTCTTGGGAGAGAAATTCGTTTGATTCTTTCCAACCCGTTGGACCATCCGTAGTGAAATACAGTAAGGCTAGAACATATCGTTGCACGAGACGTTGAGAACGCAGATCATCACGCATTGTTGCATTGTCATCTAGAAAGTCTAGACTGATAGTTGTTTCCACTGGGGTATCATTGAGAGCGATCCATTCCAAAGCCGCGTAGTGTGGCGACTCGGAATCCTGGAATAGCATCTCGACATGTTCACGGCCAGGCGTTGGGCCCTCGTCATCGTACAGCGGGGCAAATGTATCGATATAGAAGGCTCGCATCAAGACAAGCCGGTCCATTGGAGCAAAGGTAGGACTGGGTGTCACGACTGTCGATTCCGGGGGGGAAGCTGTAGTTTGCTTTCTGGTAGAGAAACCTACGACAAAGCCCACGATAACAACGGCGCATAGAATTATGACACCGGCCAGAAGGAGGAGCTTTTGGCTGAAAGGGGGTGGTTGCTTGTCCTGAAGTGGTTCGGCTGGCACTATGGGAATGTCATCCACACGCACAGCTTCCAAAGCATTCTCTTCATCGTCAACGACGGGAGGCCTGGGACCGACGGATTCGTTGTCCTGGTCACGGCTGCGAGTGACGGTTGATGCCTCCTCCTGGTCTTGGTCGTGCTGAACGTGGCTAGACACTACGTTATGGGCACCTGGTGCACTGGGTTGACTTCTGGTGACAGAATCTCTATAGAAGGAAGGCGGACCCGGGATGCCGGATTCGTAATCTTGGTTGGGATGAGACAGAGATGGGGCACCATTGGCCGAGGATTCTCCGGCTGTGCCGCCTTCACTTTGGTGCGTGCAATCGAAGGCCGTTGCCGTATAGCGGGGTTCCTTGCGGTCTGGTGGTGCTTTAAGCTGGTGCTGATCATGATCGTCGTCTGGTAAGGCGGGCATTGCGGCAACTGTCGGGTCCTCATGGTCTTCGGGTGGATGTATCGTGGTATGGTTAAGGCTAGGGTGATGTGGGGAGCCCGTCACTGTGCACCCGCCTTGAATATGGTGCACATCAGCTGTTTCTGTTGCCCAATGTACCGGTACATGTAGCTGATCATGACAGTCTCTCTGTAAGTTGAAGAGTTGTTGAGCGAAACCATGAAGGCCTCGACGCTTCAAATCATCAATCACTTCTTGGTAGTGATCTTGCACTGAAAAGCTCAAAAGGCCACCTGAAGCTGATCTGGAAGCCGAAGCCACGACTGGCAAAAATTCAAGCGCTTGCTGACTACCAGCAGTAAGCTTGGAGCCGTGCACCTCCATGGTGCTACCGGTACTGGCAGTACTACTGACACCAACAGGTTGGCTGCTGCTTCCATCATCATCGCTTGCCTCTGTCACCATCACCTCGATTGCCTTTATCAGTTTCGGTACCTACCTGCTATTGTTCTGGGATGACAGTATACAAGAGATTGATTATGCGGAAAGTTTATTCATGGTTATTTACTCAGCTTGAGGATGGATGCGGAAAGTTTATTCATGGTTATTTATTTTACTCAGGAAAGCCTTCTCACTTCTTCTCAAGCTCTGACAAAATTTCTCATTCTCATTCATTGATTGGTGATCTGATTGGAGTATTCAGGCACAAGAATGCATGCAAGGAGTACTACTACTCCAGAGTACATGTAGTAATGACAGCATTAATGACGCTTGCCCCTCCGAGTGCCCCTCTGACATCTCCCAGGCTTTTCAATTCCAAACAAGATGCCTTTCTTTTAAAATGTCATCGTGAGACCAATCTTGAATTATGCTATCGTTGTTGCGCGTTGTGGAAGCTTCAGCTGTTACAGGTGGACCCACAGACGAGCTCCAAGAGGGAAATCACTGGCAGTTCCACAGTTTCTTTGCAATAACACTAACATCTTCATCTTTATCGTTATCAATTTCATTATTTACAACAACCATCCACCATACGTCTAAACTCTATCATTTTTTCGTTGGAGACGACTCAGCCTCATCAATCTTAGAAAGGGGGGTGAAACAAGAAGGGCGCAAGATTGACCACTCCCTGGCTCGTCACAGCCTCCATGATTGCAAACAAAGTGATAGCCACCATGGCCAGTCGTCCGTTCTTGAGCTCGGATAGTTGCATTCGTTCCTGCTCTTCCGCATCCTTGGGATAAAGTCGCAATGGATCAAAGATGCCGTTGGTTACATTCTCACCCTGCTTCATCAAGTCCAGAGCCTCCGCAAAGCCCGCAAGTCCCAACACAGCCAACCAGTAGAAGGGATTCACATGCTGCAAACCACCGTTCAGCAACGATGGAACGCGGTCGCCCTCCAGCAAGAGTGGTTTCAGGTGTAGTAGAGCCGCCAGCTTCTTGTCCAGCAACTCCAACAACGGCCATCCGGCAGCGGCCTGCGAAGAAAAAGTTGATAGTTCAGGAGATCAGCGATACAAATTGCATGTGAGTAAAATGAACTTCAGTGGAATAGAAGCCATTAGTAAAGGGCAAGTGACTCAATCGTTCGCCAGGATTGGTGTTGAACTGGACGGCAATGTACGCACCAACATTGCAATACGGGCATGTTTCAACTCGGCTTTTCGAAGAGAAAGCAGACCTTCTTTGGATTTGGCAAAGCCCAATGGATCAAAACCGGCATCACCAACGAGCTCGCCATTCAACAGGGATGGCTTCTCCAGAAAGGGCAACGCTTCCGACATGACCACGTCGCGGTCAACTTGTTCTGGAGCTTGAGATGCATACAAGTTCAGTGGATCTACAACCGGCTTGTTCACCTGACCAGCTGACTCTAACGTCTTGATCTTTCCTTCTTGGTACTCGGTTGAACTTTCAGGGTACAAGCCAAGGGGATCATAGAGCTCGCGGTTCTGAACCACGAGACTCTCCTTCTCGAGCTCCACAGATTCCATGAAGTCCTTAGAGTCGCTGGGATACAAGCCCATCGGATCTTGAACTGTCTTAATGATCTCTTCAGGGGGTTCCATTCGCTGGATCAGTCCCTGCTGACGTTCTTCCGAAGTCGCAGGATAGAGACCCATGGGGTCGTAGATGGTTCGCTCGGCCATGCTGGCCGTACGTTCTTCCAACCAACCTTGAAAGAATTCGGGACTGTCCTTGGGGTAGAGCCCCATGGGGTCTGTCACTGACTTTCTTCCATCCAGTTTAGGTTCCAAAGGATGAATTCGTCCTTGCTGCTTCTCCTCGGAAGTCTCTGGATAGAGACCAAGAGGGTCGTAGATTGGTTTCGAGGACGAGTCCTTGGCCTCGGTGTCTGGGGATGCAACCACTTTTGGTGATGCGTTCTGCCGGATCTTGCTGGTACGTGCCGTAAAGGCCACACTTCCTGGAAATGAAGCGATAAAAAGTGATGTTGCGACGAGGAGCTTCATTGTTTTTCTGTTTCTCAAGACGGAGAATTGTTTTTTATGATATGAGATTTCGTTGTTTCGTTGATTCTCAGGTTATGACAGCATGATAGTGGTGTCAACCTTTATCGCCGCATTCATTGCAGATGATGCAATCACAATTTCGATGAGCGCAAGGACGCATCTGGGTGCCTGACTAAGGTCAATCGCGCACCCACCTTCTTCGATGGAACGGTTCACAGCACAGTCGTACCGGTGTGCACATGGCTGACTCCGACACACCACGAAGGCTACCGAAATGATTCAGTCCCAGATGAAGCGTTTTACAAATATTCATTTATATCTTCGGATACCAGTACGACCAAAAGATTAAACACCCCTGCGAGCATCGATCCCAAGCACAGAGCGGTCACACTGAGGTTGAGCCCATCCGCTGCATGATCAACCCAACCAAATCGGAGCCCCCACAAACAGAAGTCTTCCATTTCTGAGTGTAGACATAATGCCTTTGTCGGCGGTTTCAACAAGAAATTCAATCTGCTGTCCTTCAATTGGGAGAACTCATGAATGATACCCCCCTTGGAAAGGAGCCGCAATGAAATGAGTTTCCCCTGGGGGATGCATTCAATAACGTGGTCATTGTACTTGTATGTTCTCAACTGGGCACATGCGAAGAGTGGATGTCCTTGGAACATTGGAACGGGCACATGCCTTGAGGCTGCGAAAAATTGCAAAGGAAATGCTGGGACATGCTGCATCAGAATGTTTGTCCACGGCAGCTGCTCAACAGTGCCATTGTTTGTTCTAGCAGAATCGCTTCGCGGTTCCCTTCGGGCGACGGACTCCTACCTTCTTCGGTCGGAAGTGTGAAAGCATGTGTCTGGGCAAAGCTGGTTGGTTGTTGGCTGTCTCTCAGTCTCGCGGGACTGAGGGGAGAGCCACCAACGCTTGAGCTGAGCAGAACAGAGCCCCAGGAGAGACATGACACAGACTCGTGATTGAGTCTGGGAATGGACTCTCCTGACCACCTCGGAGCGGGCGGGCGGGGCAACCAAAGAGCAGTCTTGTTACACCGATAGAAGAGAGGTGGATCAAGACAAACAAAACAATGGGCTCTGCGATTCAAGGTTGGTGATCCTCGTGGAAGAGCACTGGCTGGATGAATCAGATTGGGGACTCTCGTCTGTCCGTCATCCGTCTTGGCCAGACTAGCTAGCTAGGTTTGGTCCCTTTGAAAGCCCAAAGTGGGCACATTAGAATGGTTGTCCATGGGATGAAGGGGCATGGGCATGTGCTGCTACTTTGACATTATGACATGGGCACACACGACTGCTGGATGCCTTCGGGGCAAAATAACTTGTGCTCATGCTGCTCGCTATGGTAATTACGTGATCAGATCTCCTCATAATTATTGCGTTGCTGATATCAATGATGCGAAATGGAGATGAATAGGCATACTGGGCGTAGCTGAGTAATCGTAATTTAACCAGCGAAACGAGTACTGTCGACATGATTGCGCCGAAGCAGTGCTCGACGTACAGGGCTCTGTAGCACTCGATGTGATCACAGACGCCCTTACAACTCCAATCACGAGGCACCTTGCTTTGGATTCGATGCTCGAATCCCAAGCCAAGCCACGCTAGACTTGGAAACGGAAGAGCCAGCACTCGCGATTTGATGTCGTCGTCAGTGAACCTATATGTTCTCTTGCTTTCGAGTCGGTTTTGACTGAAGGGCCGCTCATGCTTCCATGTGCTCCATGTTGAATGAGACTGCCACTTGTGCTTCACTGTCGTTACCGAGCTGAGCCGATTTGTCGTCTTCGTTGCAATCGGGGTCTCTACCGTTGACGCCGTATTCTATCCACAATTGCTCCAGGCTGGACATCTTGAATGGCTTGGGCAGTACCGCGTTGGCCCCACAATGCTTGAAATGCTGCACATCCTCTGGCAACAGATTTCCAGTCACCCCGGCCACAAAACTGGAACATCCCATCTCCCGCATAGCCCTGCATGCAGATGGGCCACTCATTACTGATCAAGCCATCTGGTGGTTAGTTATATCACGAACAATCATAACTGGATGGAGGCGCAGCAACTTACCTGGCATTTCATGATCGAGCAATACCGTGTCGTAGGGACAATTCCGCGCATTCCTCACCAATTTTACAGCTTGCTGTCCATCTTCAGCGTCATCACATGTATGGCCTCTTTTTTGAAGTAATCGGACCAGGAGCTTGCGATTGGGCGCGGCATCGTCAACCACAAGAATTCGTTGTGGAAAGAACTCCTGAGGTGCAGGTTGTTGGGCTCCAACGTAGATTGGAGGTGGAATCGAGTCTTCACTGTTGTCAGCCTGCGGCTGCTGCGATGGAGGATCGTAGAAGAGAGGCAGCTTTGCGATGAAGGTCGTGCCATGTCCTAACCCCTCCGAAGTTACGTCCAGCGCCCCTTCGTGTTGTTCCACAATGGATTTCGCGATAAACATGCCCAACCCCGAGCCGCCACCTCCCTGAAGTTTGTTGGCCCCGAACTGCACGCCATCATGGAATACTGTCTTGAGTTGAGCCTCCGTCATCCCCACACCCGTATCGATGACCCTGATATCAATGTATCCACGTGGAGGAAGAGCGATTTGATCGCCGTCGGCTAGATCAAAATGCTTCAACGAGTCGGCATTGCTCTGTTTTCGGTTGTTCATGCTTCCCGAACGAGACTGTCCACGTCCGAAACTCATGCTCGTGGATCGGGGCTGGTGGATGTCTAACTTATCCGTTGCATCGACTTGCACCGTCAAATTCCCCTTTTGTGGAGTAAACTTGAGTGCTGCGTTTTCGAATGGCGGCGAAGATAGTGTGAGGTCGCCAACAAAACAAGAGGACGGGCAAGAAACCAAATAGAAGAACCACTTTACCATTAGAAATGAGATTCCGAAGCAGCATCGATATGCGACCAACATCACCCACGACTACCTGTGAAAGAATGTCTTTGCGCAGGCATGAAGCAGTAGTCGGTGCTTCTTCCTTCTCGGGTGGTGCGCCGACCAGGGCGTTGGCAAAGAGTAGCTTCAAGGTGATTTCCTTTTCAGCTGCCATCAGTTTGAACTCTTTGACGGTCTTCTCTACCAACACCCAAATGGGTATTACCGTAAATTCCAAACTGAGCTTTCCCCGTTGGATCTTATCATAGTTGAGTAGATCATTCAACACATTCACAGCAGCCTGCGTGTTTCCCAGCACTTCCTCCGATAAGTTGATCCATTCAGTGGCGTCCTCCTGTTTCACCTCGATGGACTTTGGTAGATTGGCTTCTTCCTGTTGCTTGGCTATCAACCGCTGAGTTTCTGTCAAATGCGGCGACAACAAGGTTCTTCCCGAATGCCCTCGAATGTCCTCTTGCAACAGTGTCAGGCCCATGCACACAGTATTCAACGGAGTCCGCACCTAAACAAGCAGGGATTGAATGATGAGAGAAGTATTCCAAAGACAGAATGTTGAGTAGTGACACCACCATTGGGGCTTACCTCGTGACTGACAAATCTCACAAATCGACGCTGGATTGAATGATGAGAGCAGTATTCCAAAGAAAGAATGTTGAGTAGTGACACCACCATTGGGGCTTACCTTGGCTTCTAGAAGTTCCTTATTATGGTCGAACTCTTGGCGTACGAAGCAGTCATACATATAGAAGAGCCCGCTGATAACGAGTATAATCGCGAGGGCTCCTACCAACCCGATGATGGCATTGTTTGTGTAGTGGGAGTCAAAGAAATCGCTGGTTGGATATATTTCGAAGGTGTAGACTGCCGATGTGTTGGAAAAGTCTCCTTGCGTGACGATTTCAATGTCTGCCATGTAATTGTTGTAGAGAGGGTCGTGTAGATCACCTTGTCCCTTGACAAACGCTTCTCCTTCCTGGACACCAAACGTAAAGACTTCCTTGGGCGTTCGTAGGACACAATCAATTCCACTTACATCATCCGAAAAGACATTTTCCAAAGCTTCCCTCCAGACAATGGAGGATACAATGAATCCCACGAGTGTTCGAGGATCTTGCGCCGGGTATATTGGCTCCATCATGATGGCATCGGGTCCACTTCCCTCCTGTTGACTGGCTAGATTGAGCATATCGGTGAGAACTCCGCATCGCACTTGCGACGGGTCTGGCATGAGTGCTCGTTCTCGACTGCATTGAATCAAATCGTCGACCATGACTCCCCTCGTGGGTTCAAAGTTGACATTCAAGAGCAAGACTGGAGCCTTGTCCCCGGTTGAATGCTGCAGAATGGGAGCAAAAACTCGATTGGGGGATCCCCACGTGTTGTTTGCATCTGAAGGGACTGGGAGTCTTCCATCGGGTACGTCAGGTGACTTTTTAGTTTTCTTCCAAATGCCCTTTCCGAAACTGGACACCGCGGTGGTGTTGTCCCATGGATGTGGTTTTCGATTCACGTGCAAAAAGTCGTAGGCAAAGTCTTCGAAAATGAGTTTTTGCTTCGGGTATACAAAGGGACACAATCCCAGCGTTCGTGCCTTGCTGGTGGCAATAATGTTGTTCGCCATGGGTTCGTATCCATCTACGGTGACAAACGGCCAGTCGGTGGCATTGGATTGTATCCACGCCACGGTGTCGGCCATACTGATGGCCCCGAGTCGTTTGCGCTGAACGATTTCGCGGGAAGTCGTCAACGCGCGGTCCGAGATGGCTTCGAGTCGCACTTGCGCCTGGCTCTGTTCGGCTTGTCGTAGGATAAAGTAGGCAGCCACACTGATTCCAGCTCCCAAGACAAGCAGACCCAATATAAAGACGGAACGGGAGATGCAGACATTCTTCTCGCCCTTCTTTTGCGCTGCGTCAAGACCTCGGTGCTCCGTGCCTTGGCTGTAGTGACTGTGGCTGGCGACACTCCCATTGCGGGTGCTAGAGGTCGTCATGGCGGTCACAGAGCTGTCTTTGCTTTTCTTGCTGCTCTTATGATTACTACTACCGGTACCGGTATCACTTAGTCTTCTGGTACTTGATGTTCGTAAATGTGTCATTGCAGTTCCAGTCGACTCAATCGACTCAACTTCCACGACGCGGGACTGTCCGTAACAAACAACTATTAATAACTAACTGGCAACAACGAGCCGCGGAAGCGCCAATAGCAACACAGCAAGACAGCTAGGCGATCAGCAAAGGAAGAGGAAGAAGAAAGAGGACCAGGCGTTGCACACAGGCAGAAGGATGGGTGAGAGACGTCTCTACAAAGAGAGATACTTGGGAGCTGTTTGCTATGACAAGTGTTGGCAGTGGCGATGGATAGTTTGTTACTGTCGTTACTGCAGCTGTCGGTGGATGTGGTTGATGGTTTGGGAAAAGTGAGGGTGGCATTCTTGTGTGTCCGTGGGTCTGTGCTCTTCTTTTTAGTTGCGCATGGACGCTCCAGGAAAGAGAATTGCGAGAGCAAGCCCGCTTATTGTCAATCTATGCCCGCGGAAGCTTCGGTGACCCCGATACCCCGATCCTCAGAAAGAAGTCTTTTGGGTTCGTGGAGTAACAAAATTCCTACTGTTTCAGCTGTTCTCTGAAAACAGATGGAACATTTGTTTTCTCAATGATTTAACAAGACCAAAATCATATTGCATTCATACTGGAGCCGAAATGTCTCATCTACGAAAGAATCCAGCTCAAAATAGCTAAAGTGGAGTAGTCCACAATAGATACAGTACCGGTATAATAATATAAAGTCCTCCATGACTGCTTCTGGGTGCGACTCGACTCAGTGACTCTATGTACCAGTACCGGTACTACCGGTAGCTCTTAGCTATCTAGTAGCTAGCTACCGGTAGCTAGCGATGGCCCTTGTAGCCTTGTAGTCAAGATCCCGAATTGCTCGAAACAGCGCCTGTGTAACGGTACTCTACTAGATACCAGCTGAGGTTGTGAGGCTACGAAAAGTATAGATAGTAGATAGTAGCCAAAAGAGCAAGAAACTTGCAAGATCTGTTGCTTGGTTCAGATCAATACATTGGAGGAAGGGTGGATCAGAGTTGGCTCTCTTTAGTTTGGGCTGATCGTACTGCTGTTGATTTTGCTTGCAGCAGCCAGAGTGGGGCCAAGCTGAGAAGCTGAGAGGGTCAAGCCAAGGATGAAGCTTGGGAATATGATAGGCTGCAGCATGGCTTCGAGAAAGATCTCAAGGGTCAGGGTTTCAGGTGATCGCAAACCTGTACATGTAGTCCATCACGTACGGTAGACTACTGTAATAGATAATCAAGAAGTGAGTGTCAAGCGACTACTACGGTAGCTAGACAATGAACAAACGTTCTCAGCACTAACCAAGTTCACGCCCAGCGGGATCCATTACAACTTAGCTTTCCGACAATCAATTGTGGTCTCCAAATGGCTAGCTAGCTCGCAAGGGAAGGTGAGGTGAGAAGAGCGCTTCAAAGCCATCAGACCACACGGGGGTGTCAGGAACCCAGCCCAACTCCCTTTTGCTCCGTCATAAAGTAGCACGTAAACGGATCCAAATTCTTCTCAGCAGCATCTTTCGATATTTCTGGAGGTGCAGAAGCGGCTACCACAATCATAGCGTGCTTGGTAACCCAGCCGGCTGCGGATACGGGACAATCGTCGACTACAGTGTAGACTCCACGCTTGCCCTTGCTGATGGCTTGGAAGGTACTAGTAGCTGTGGATGCATCCTCGACAGAGATGAAGGAATAGGTGCCCTTGCACTGACCAATGACAGGATACTATCCGTTCTTGATCATGGCTGTAATGAATCCGTCGGGCCCATAAAACGTACCGGGTCCATAGAAATGCCCGTAACGCAATACAATGCCACTGATATCGCCATCAGCATTGTCCAATTCCAGTACTTGTTTCTCCAAGTTGGCAAGAGCCTCTACGACGGTTGAAAGGCTGGAGGGGCCCCATTCACATAGGGCGGAGTCGAGTCCCTTCGTTGGTAAACGACTGACACTCGTCTTGTGCGTGATTGGGACAACAGAGAAATGCAACGCTTTGGGCAATGAATTGCTTTGCTTGGGCTTTTCGAGCGGCATGAATCAGATTGGCAGTGCCTTCGGTACGCAAACGCTTGGTTTCTCCGAAGGTGTCACCACTACTGGAAAAGGCTGTCATTTGATGCAAACATCGTCTACTCTTGCTAGTTCTACTAGCTTCGCGATGGATGCCTGTGAAGAATGACACAGCGCCAAGGTTCGCTGTGACCAGATCAGCCCTGCGGGAGATGCACAAGTAGGAACTTGACGTGTATAGCCCACGTTTCTCGTCAAGGCCAAGGACCCAAGAAGCGACGCAAGCGAAACAAATAAGAGCAGCAAGAAATCCAGCGAAGATCAAGGAGTTGCTCCGACAGTTCAAAACTTGGGCCAGCACCACTTTGGCACTCTTGGATATCGTTTGCCTTTACGCGTCGGTTCTTTGGATTGTTGAAGTATGGTGTACTGTACCAGGTACGCGCTAACTAGAGAAAGGAACCATGGTTAATCCCGCTGCCGGACGTTTTGTTTCCTGAAATAAACTAAATGTAGTCGGTTGGCGGCCAAGTGCGCAGTGGAAATGGACGAAGTCTTTCATCAGCAGAGAAAAGACGTCTTGAATGACACGGTCCTGTTTACACCCTCAGCCAACCAACAGCAGAAACCCCACTGTTGCAGCGAGACCTTGCACTGGAGTGATCTCCCCGCTGCGTTGTTGGAAGTATGTGCCGCCAAAGCCACCACCAAAGAACAACAGCTAGAACGTGATAGCCGGTATCTGATGGTCTGGGAAGCCAAATGGACACTCTCGCTTCCTCGTTTCTGCAGGTTTTGAGCGGGACATTACCAATAGTTGGTTGCTCCATCAGACTTGGAAATCCAATGAAAAGCCCGTAGTCAAGACGTTCTTGGCAAGACAGACTGACTTTGATAATGTACAAAGGCCATCAGCGTTCAGATTGCAAACTACTCGCATCCCAACAAGCGACCCAACAGGACAAGAGTCGCTGGAATGCAAATCAAAATGGAATCAACCGGGAAAATCAAACATGTTGACCTTCTCCACAGCTATGAACTCTTGTCTCTGGAGCATTCCTTCTATGTCAGTGAGTACGTTCCAGTCGCTCATGCTCCTAAAAAAGGATCCGGGCTATCGGTACCCACGCACGCATCTGCGACAACCAAGAAAGTACAATCGGCTCCATGGACAGACAGTGCTTCTTCGTGTGAGCAGCAAGTCGGTAAGCAAAGCACAGGCAAAAGAAAGGCAGCACTTGAGTCCAAAGGTGAGGACGAGTCCATTTAACTCTTCCAAAACTTGGATGACTTGCTGGCTGATCCAGAGCTAGAGAGTATTCTAGCCCTGATTGCCGATTGATTGCTTGGTTGGTTGATGAATCGGCATTCCTGATTTTCAGTGTTTGCTCAGTACACGCTATCAAGTCAACTCGTGAATGAATTCGATTAGGGTAACAACTTCGAATACAACTCGTCGAGAGAGCCACCCTATCAAATGATACGACACTTAGACTTGACTTGAATGCGGGGCAGGTGGATGTGACCGAAAAGCAGCCAGTCCATGATGGGTCAATACTCTGTCGTATCTCCTTGCAGGTCAATCCATCGTCGTCGCGTCAGACAAAGATGAACAAAATTGCTGCCTTGCGCCATCTCGTTTTCTACCGAGGTCGCCTCGTCATTATCGACAACCTGAGCTGTTGGCTCTGTTCACAAGAGGAAGGTCACGCGGGGGGCGAGTTGTGATGGCTGTTTGTTCCGCTCGTATCATAAGCAAGAGCGGCTTGGCATCACGACTTGATTACGGGACAGTTTGAAACCACTCCGGGAAGTGCAAGAAATAACAAAGCAGCATGCTTCGCCACGTTGCTCAGCATCAGAGCTCTTGGTCCCTTCAATCCTCTTCTCCTGAAGAAATCAACTCATCTTAAGAGACCGATGAAAGACTGGAAGTGCAAACAGCAACCACAAGGAGAATAAAGAGTGAGAGATGAATTAGAATATGCAGATGCCTTGTCAGGCATGTTGGAACGTGAGTGTCTGGTAGCCATGGGGATACACTGTGAGGAGTACCCCGACCACAAGAGAAAGCCGTCTCAAAGATTCATGTTGAGGGTGAAAAAAATTATTACGTGTAAAGGCAATCAACCACCAAGAGAGATGGTGATGCTCACGAAACAGAGTGTATCCCTCGAAACAAGCAAAAAGGAAAACAAGTACAACGCCAATAACCACAATACTGCTCACCTTTTGGACCAGAATGAAATAGAACTTATACACCCACCTCCTGTAAAAGTGGTTCGAGACAGACCCGATGAAAGACTGGAAGTGCAAACAGCAACCGCAAGGAGAATTAAAGAGTGAGAGATAAATTAGTACATGGAGATGCCTTGTCAGGCATGTTGGAACGTGAGTGTCTGGTAGCCATAGGGATACACTGTGAGGAGTACCCCGACCACAAGAGAAAGCCGTCTCAAAGATTCATGTTGAGGGTGAAAAAAATTATTACGTGTAAAGGCAATCAACCACCTAGAGAGATGGCGATGCTCACGAAACAGAGTGTATCCCTCGAAACAAGCAATAGAAAACAAGTACGATGCCAAAAACCACAATACTGCTCACCTTTCGGACAGAATGGGATAGGTTCAACCATTCGACGGACAACACCAACTGCGCATATGACCTGCAGAAAGCAATAGAAAGAATGTTTGCATGAGACCCACTAGGATGTCAAGTAAGATAGCAAAGCTAAGAGACTGGACATCCACTCTCAGGGCACGCCTTAACGAGATAATGCAGTCGAATAGTCGAGCTCCAGAACGGAGCCTCGACGGTGAATGCGCTCGCAACACTCTTCCACAAATGTAACGGATGATGAACCACTGAAAAGGTGCGCATCCTGACTAGTTGTGGTTGATGAAGACACGAAACGGAACTCACCTGTCCTCGTTTCTTGAAGGAGAAAATATCAAAGGATATCCATCCCGGCAACTTTGGGGGCTGGCCCAGATCATGCTTTGAACAACATAACAAGAAGTTAGAGATGCCACTTCTGCGATGGAGTACAACGACGAGGAACACGAACAAAATCAAAGCAAATGTCAGCCCAAACTGTGAATTTTCCCCCAATCGGCAGGCAGGTATGCTCCACCCGTGGGAAAACTGTCTGTAGACTAATAATTCTGGCGACAAGCCCAGAATGCTCCTGACAGTAAATATGCTGCAAGGAACATTTCGAAGACGGCGAGTCGCTTGTTTTGTGGAACCACGTATGTCACAGCCGCAGCATACACAGACACAAACCATACAAAGCAGGAACAAGTACAACGATGTTCACTCACACTGTATCCTTCCCAACCTGAACGGCAAGATAAAGCAGCTTGAACAGACGGCCTCGAACCATCACCGAACTGATCAAACCGGTAAACATCACTTGGACGGGCTACTGTATCTCAGCATTTGGGGCACGACATCTGTTCTACAGCCAAGCACTGCGCCCCCTTCGTGGCATGTCCTCGTGATGCTCGCCTAACAGCTCTGATTCGAAGATTGCTATGGCTGGCGATCGAAATCCTGACGGTTCGGCCTTTCAAAAAAGGTTTCGTGTAGCTTCCACTGAAGACGAACTCGTGACAATCGTTCCTGTAAAAATCGCCGCCGTGTCTGTCCAAGATCCTGCGTGGATCTCCCGACTGACTTTGCAAAAGTTGGACCTGTCGACTCTAGAAGCTTCGGTTTGAGACAGCCACTTCCGAACCTTCATTTCCAAAGACGGAAAGACTTGTGGTTTTAGCTGCCACACGGAAGTCGTGCGGTGTGGTCCTGACCGATGGACAATACCCCGGGAATCGAGGTACTCGTGGAATCAGATGGAATCAATTCAAGTACATCCGTTAATTGTTTGACATTGCAGAATCTAACACAAGACATCATCTGCCAGCGCGTCAATTGTCCCCATGGATGCAGCCAGAGTTGCTTGCGCTTTGCGTTCATCTCGTTCTGCAGTGAAAAATATCAACAAATTGAGTATGCCGCAGATGACCCAACCAAGGGTCCCTAGATTGAACGCCTTGGTTCTTCCCACCGATGTAATCAATGACGCCAAGAAGACGGGTCCAAGCCCTCTTCCGAAATCATCAAATGTGTTGTAGAGAGCAAATGCCTGACCTCTCATGTTGGGTAGTGTTACATTTTGGAGCGTGGCTTTGATGATGGGACCCGTGACCCCCGCAGAGGCTCCTGCAACTAGCGCCACGAGTCCGATGAAGATGGTTGAACTGTTGTTGTTGACCCCATTCAGCAGGACCCAAAAGGGAGCACAACCAAGGATGGCCATGGATCCCGCGAGCAATGCTGGATATCGCCTGTCAATCTGATACAGGTAGTGTCCACCAGCTCCACCAACGACCAATCCAAAGAAATTTCCGGCCCCGAACCAAAGAACTGTAAATGTTGCAAACTCAACACTCATTCCACGGTCTTCTGCTAGGAAATCGTTTAGATAGGTGTTGACAATGCCCCACGGGAGGCATCCCGGAGCACCTTGGAACATGGCCAAAACGACCGTGGGCGTCTGGCAGAGGAATTTCATTGCAGAAAGAGTTGGTTCCATATGCTTTCTGTATAGATCGGACAGAGTTCCTGACGATGTGATGACTCGAAGAGAGTTGTTCTTTTCGTCATCCGCTTGGTCGTCACGCATGGGATGATTTTTCCTCCGACGTCGTTCCAGACTGGGTGAACGGCGTCTCAATCCCAAATTCGTCCGTGGCGGCACTTGCGGAGTCTCTTTGTTGTCGTCTTCGTCTGCTTCTGCTGGCGATGATGAGACTGGTTTGAGTTGTTGCATTTCCAGTTCCTTTTGTGAAGCTCCATTGGCGTTGGTGCTGTCATTTGTTTCTTCGGTACCGGTACAAGCTAATGCTGACTGCCCGTGCTGTCGTTCCAATACAGCTTGCTCCATCCCGCCCCGTTTGGGATCCTTGACCGTGAGAAACACGAGGGCACCACACATCAATGCCGGAACGGACACGATCAAGAATGGCAACCTCCATCCAAAGGTTGGCCCAAAGAAGCCAGCAACGCTTTGTCCGACGGATATGCCTGCTCCAGTTCCAAAGCTGACAAAGGCATTTACCTTGTGTCGTTCATGGGAGGGAAATAGATCTCCCAGAATGGAATAAATGAGAGGCAAAGCACCTCCAACCGAGAATCCTGTAAGGGCCCGGCATATGTAGAGTTCCCAATATGTTTTTGTAAAGTAGGTAAGGAAACAGGCTCCTTCTCCAACGGTCACGACCAAGGCAAATAGAGTGCTCCGATTGCGGTGATCTGCCAGAATTCCCACTCCAAGGGCAGCTGGAGCTCCCAGAATCCAAAAGGCCAAGGCAATGTGCCCCCCCAACTTGGTGTCTCTCTCGTCATCGTCAAACCCAAATTCCTACCGTAAGTACATGTAGGGTGGATGTTGTTTTAATAAGTAAGCAGACAACAAGAGGTTAGCTAAAGTAGCTAGCATACTATACATATTCAGGCAATGCCATGGCCTGGCCAGCTAGCTAAAGAGGGGCACACTATACCACTGATTCAACAGTTTCTTGAGCTTTGCAATGAACTTACCACGGCAATGGCGGTCAAGTTTGGGGCCATCAAGTTTTGATCTGCGTACAAGAGAACGGTCGTCAAGGAGAAGAGAATAATGGCCCAACGTCGTTCGCTACTAGCAATACCGTTGCTAGTAGGACTACTACTACTAGTAGCATCAGTGGCGGAGCCCTGGATACCGTTGGAATAGTGGAAGTCCTCTGCGTCATGGTCGGCTGATTTCAGCACCGAGAAATCGAAAGGAGCTGATAAGAGATCTTGACTGACTGTATGTATAGCTGTGCCTTGGCCATTGCCATTGCTGCTGCTGTTGCTCATTCTACATATATGGATACAAGTACTAATACATGTACATGTAGACTATCATCCCTGCACTGCTAAGGATCCAGTGGTTGTGGTTGGACTTGGATTTTTGAAAGGATCGGCGCTGTGGCGTTTTTGATACGATAAGGAAAAGGATAAAATTTAGGAAGGAGAAAGGGTTAGGGGAGTGTTTTGCGCCAAATTAATTTCCGTTAGTTTCTGCGCGCGGCCTTGTTCCTTCGACACAACCTTCGCACAACTTCTTCGACAATTGCATGACGATGACATCTTTTTCAGTGATGTATTACCGTAGTAGTTCGGAGTTCGTTTGAACCTTGAGAAGCTGGTGGGGTCAGTCTTCCGAGGCTGATCCTCACGAGCTTCGCTGAACGTTGGTCCGCTGGGAAAGGTGTCGTCTTGCGGTGGTTCCAGTGGAGATGGTTGATGGTTCGTCCTCGTGCAAGGTAACGGTCGGTTCTTCTGTTTGGTTGGGTCCTTTTCGGCGGCTTCTTTCTTCGAGTGACAGTCCAAGAGCAACAAACACGCGGAAAACTGGGCAATCTTTCGAGAGACCCTGGTGGAACGTTGTGGCAGTGGTTCCTTTTTGCGGTGGCTCTTCCTTTGCCTCGGTTGGTCGGTTGGTCAGGCTACGAGGCGTTGTCTTGGCCGTGGTCAGGTTCGTCCTCGTGAAGGCTTCTGTTTGGCGAGTGACCGTTGTTCTACCACCTTCTTCCAGTTCAAGTCTTCTTCCTTCCTCCCTTCAAGTCAAGTCCAAGTCCAAGAGCAAGAGCAAGAGCAACCGACGATTGGTCGAGCCAGCCGTTGCTTCTTCAATCTGTTTCAAGTCGCCCGTTGCTTGAACTGCTTTACGCCCAAGTCTTCTGCTTTGTTCCTTCAAGTCGAGCTCAAGAGCAACCCTACCAATCCTCTTCTTTGTTGCCCGGCTCTGCCTCTCCTGTGCGCCCTCAAGTCATTGACGCGAAGAAGTAATTTCGCACTCGGAGCAAATTTGTACTGGGGAAGCAATCGGATCAGCCCGTAGCTAGAGTGACAGTCAAGCACGCTGGTCGGTGATTCCTCTTCTTGCTCGGTCTGACCCTGAGCACTTTTCGTTGGTTCAAACCTGGACTCCGAGCGACTCGTCGCTCCTCTCCGTTAGCTAGTTAAAAAACTACTTCCCACTTTGTTGCGTTCGCAGTCGGGTCCTCACCGCACACACTTACGGGCTTTGGCTGAGCCCAACCTTGGCTTTGTCATTTTCTCAACCCCCTGCTTGCCTAGCAAGCTCTGGTACCTTCGATTATTGGAGAACACTTCAACATCCACAGCACTTCCAACAAGCCGGTTCCTCAAAAGCACCGTACCTCTTACCCAGCAGTTGACTAAGCCCCGGTTCCCTTCCCGCAGAAGTTCAGCTGAGATTCAGTCCTGGTTACTTTCGTCTGAGACAAACGACGCGCTGTTTTGTCTTTCTTCTGCATGCCTTCGCTGCTCAACTCCTTCGGAAAACCTAGACTACACTAGATGTGCTGTGTTGGAGTCTGGATTTCTCCGAGTGTTACACTGTTGGATGTTGGTCTTGGTCTTGGACTTGGACTTGGAAGCACCTCCTCGCTGGCTAGGGACGTGTCCTGAAGAGTTTGAGTTGGTTGTGTTGCTTTTAAAAAGCACGTCGACACGAGTTTTGCCCTGCTACACTATTAATGTCCCTTTGGCAGTTCCATCTTTCGCCGTTTATTCGTCCTGTGGCATGGAGGTTCCTCCTGAATCTCGGCCTCTGCTCGCTCTCGGACACTCGGTTGCTTCGTTGGTTCGTCGTCGAAGAAGGGATTGTAATGCTGTTGCTGGATAACTGCCGTACCGGTACGGAACGATAGATCCCTAATGTACTTCTGTTGCTTTACCCTCCAGTATTTTTCCTTCGCTTACGTCGGCACATTCGAGCTTCTCAATCGATAGTTGCCTCGTTTCATCGTGACGTCTCGTTCTTTCACTTGCTGATACAGGTCGTTCAAAATGTCAGCTCTGTCTTTGTCCTAGCTAAAAATGGTCACCTTTTGTGTGAGGATTTTTCTGGAAAGTTTATGTTATGTGTTTCTACTACATGTACTTGTTGTCAGTGTTGTTGTTTGTTATTTCCATGACTGGACCTGTTGTGTAATGTAGTCTCCAATGGCGATGCTACTGGTCAGACCCGGGCTTTCCATTCCAAATAGATGAATCAGTCCTGGCACTCCATGTTGTTCTGGTCCTGCAATGTAAAAGTCATGAAAGGGCGCTGCGGCTCCATGGTCTATATCGAGTGAGGGATGATGTAGTTTGGGTCGAATTCCGGCATAATCTGGAATGAGCGAATTGTCTGGGAGATCCGGCCAGTATTTGCGGATTTGTTCATAGAACCCTTGGGCTCGTTGTGGATGTGGCATCAAGTCAATGCCGTCCGGTTCTGTGGTGGTTGTGACATCGATCCATTCAACATCGGGTCCAAACTTGACAGATTGCCCACTCCAATCCATGGTTGCATGCACTCCCAACCCCCCTGGTTCTGGAATAGGATATACCAAGTGTGTAAAGGGATTCTTGCTACTGTTACAGCCTTCCAACTGAAAGTAATTGCCCTTGGCAAAGTATTGTCTTGGAATGGACCAGCAGTTGTGATTGTTGTAGTGGTGGATGGATTGAGCCACCTGGTGGGCCCATAATCCCGCCGAATTCACGACGGTCCTACAAAGCAAACATGTATCGTCATCACCCATGGGCAACAGGATTCCATCGGTACTATTAATACCAGTACCAGTACCAGTACCAGTACCAGTACCAGTACCAGTACTACATGCAGTAGTGGTGAAGTCCGTGTTGAGTTTTGAATGCAACGCCAATGTAGCTCCATGATCCTCTGCATCGGCCAGGAGACTGAGCATGAACGAGTGTGAATTGATGACCCCCGTACTGGGAGACCAGAGAGCCCCCACAGCTTGAATATTTGGCTCTAAGACTTGTACATCTTCCTTGGTGGTCAATATCCGAGTGTCCAGGACGCCATTCTGGACCGCCTTTTGTTGCAGGTCGAGTATTTTTGTTTCCAGTTGCTCCTTTTGGGTTGCCACAATCAATTTGCCACACTTCTGATAGGGAATACTTCTTGATTGACAGTATTCATAGAGCGCTAGTTTCCCCTCCACACAAAAGCGAGCCTTGAGAGATGCTTGTGGATAGTAGAGTCCAGCATGAATCACTTCCGAGTTTCGAGATGATGTCTCTGATCTTGACCATATAACATGACATGACAATAAGTAAGAGGTGATGTGAATGATTACATAAAATGAGAACAATCACAATCATAACAAGGTACAGTGGTATAAATAGAACCCACCAGAGCCAATAGTCCCCGCTCGATCCAGAATAATCACTTCCTTGCCTGCCATGGCCAAGCTTCTGGCAATGGCCAATCCAATGACACCTGCCCCAATCACTGCTGCCTCCACTTGGAATGCCGCACTCGGGACAGCCGCCATGGTCGACCAATTATTGTTACATATATATTATTATGGCCTTGGAACTTGGGAGGGTTCCTCGGTCTGTTGGAGAAGCGATACTATCCCTGTCCTTAAAAGCTTTTGCTTCTCCACGCCCTGCCATGCGCGCAGTGAGGATTTATTTGTGCCAGCGCCAGCCCATTCCCCGTTGTTCGACTTTATGGGGGGGTTAGGCAGCAGCGCGGGGGAGGGAAAAAGAAGAAGAAAGGGAGAGGTTATACGTTGGATTCCCAATTCCTGATTCGCGAGCCTGGAACTCCAACCAATCGTGCCAACGGACACCAAGGAATCAAAAGTACTTATGGCAATGAGGGGAAACCGCAATGACTGGTCATCTCCCCTCTCTTTATAACGATGGATCATGTCGGAAGAACAACGAATATGTCAGTAAATACGTCAGAGGAACCACTTTTGAATTGTTCAACGGATACCAACTGGCGGTTTCCCTGATCCTTCGCTCGCACCAGACCTTCCCATTTTTTCCAGTTCATTCAAATCGTTGTGTACACTGTATTTGCTCCGATCCATCTGGTGTTGTTGTTGTCGTTGTCGTTGTCGTTGTCGTTGTCGATAAGGTAAGAGAATGGTCCACAATGAGGAATCAATTGGTGTTGCCTGCTACTGCTATTACTGTTATCTAACATTGTTTCTCCGCTCCTCCAATATCGATCGATCGATCCACTCCTACAACTTCGCTCGCTCCTACCATTTCGCTCGAAGCTTTGTTTGACAATGAGGATTGCCAGTACTTCTTCCTTCTCTAACTGGCTGCTACGTGTTTGTCATGCATACCCATTCAATGAGTTGAGGGTCACAAGGAACGGATTCACCTGCAAGTATATGATTTTGGAAGAGCATGATGGCAGTATTACCAAGTACACCTGTCTGCCCACAACAACATTGGATTTGCCGATTCTTGAGGAGATGTTAATGCAAGGAGCATGCAAGCCTCTTCCTCCTGACATGACAAGCATCATGGATTAAATGTTTGATGGGGCTTCAAAGAGCCAAAATGGACACTGTTTCTCACCCTTTATGAAATGTTGGAGGGGCCATCTCCCTGTGAAAGGAAGGACATCTTCATTGAGTGCATCTATTGGTTAGTGAGGGAAACGATTATGGATAGCAGCTATGACTTTACTCGAATGAAGGACGGATTGTGATGGATGCTTGGCATGGTATTGTTGCCACTGGTATGACTACAACAACAAATTTTCCTTCCAGATATTGACTTCCATGAGTCAGAGTTTTTTGATGATTGCATTGAAGACCTTGAGAATCTTGGATTCTTGCAACCACACAATTCTGTACATTGTGGAACTGTAATGTAAGTAACTGGCTAAATTAGAAATGAATTTGGCGTATCTAAATATTGACTGTTTGTTGCTACCCATACCCACTCAATTTAGATTGGCAAATAGGATCATGAGGTGGTCTTCCTCTCCTATGAGTCAACCACTTGCAGATATTTCTGACAGCAGCCATTCGGTGGAGTGGCTGGAAAGGAGATGGCAGTATGGTTGGAATTGCCGGATCTGCATGGCCAGTTGCATCATATGAATCTGTTGTTGTTGAAATTGAAGCATGTTACTCATGTAATTGTTTGTTGTTTGTGCCACAGCTGCTTGGGTTTGTGGTGGAGGTGTGGAGTGTGGCGATTGGTGGTGAGTCGGGTGGATCTGATTGGTGGTGGAGTCGTGGGAGTGATTGGTGGTGAGGAGGCTGTGTGGACCGATTGCTGGTGGTTCTGGTGGAGGTGGTGGACCGATTGCTGTGGACTCGGTGGTGCTCCAGTGCAAGCGCACAAAGACAACAATCATTGTGTGAATACTTTTGTCTCTGTGGTTTGAATCCAACAATAAACTCTGAAAAGAATCTCTCTCCACTATCTTGTGGCAATGGTTCTGCATTAGGAAATGGTTCATCCACACCCACAGCCACTGCTAAGTCATTGAGATAAGCCAACTCTGAATGGTTCCAGTATGGACAAACTTTTCCCATCCAGCTGGAATTGACCTCCTTTCTTCTAGACTGATTCTTGACAGGAAGGCTCTCTTTTGTCTAATCTTGAGGTTGTATCTTGCAGTTCCAGCCAGGTTGAGTGCATCAGCAAGAGACCTCCTCATACCACCATTACCAAAGTGGGCAAACTTGTCGTGAATGCCTTCTAACTTGGATTCTCCTCTCTTTGACAGATACTCTGGAGGCCGTGCTTGGAATTGGGTGATGGAAGGATTGTGTCATACATGTCTTCCAAAGGCAGTGATCAGCCAAGTGAATGGCTTTGTCGACACAGTTCTCTACTGCTGGCTTTGTGTCTTGAGTAAACAAGGTATAGTTCTTTGACTGGATCGAGTCGGCCCTGTCCTGGCTGGCTACCATCACTGGCAGTCACCTTGTATCTGCAGAACACTGTTGCAACTTCTGTCTAATGGTCTCTGGTTCTCTCATCTTCTTCCTCAGATACTTGGAGTATCGATGTCTGAAGACCTTGGAGGCTTGCATGTCGAGATCTCAGCCATAGAGTAACACTTGCCATTGGTGGATAGTAGACCATGTTTCAAGCATGCAGCACCTTCTCATAGTCATGAGGTGAGTATTCATACAAGCAATCCAAAAGGTCCGACATTGCTTGAAAGTGATCGATGTGGCCCTTTCTCAAAGTTGACAGAATCCTTTTCTCATAATGGAACAGACCTAGCCTTCCCTCGATTCCTGAAAGAGTATCTCCCAGTAGTCATCCTTGTTGGCCATGTGTCGCTGTACATGGCAGCGGATTGAAGTGCTCCTCCTTGCTAGCTGCATGGCTGCATGGGAGAAGTGGATGTCTTGGTGGTGGGAACCAGAACTGCAGAAGCAATCTCTCCAGTTAGTCGCTCCCCATCAGATGCAACACACAGCGCGGTGACCACCTGCAAGGTGTGATGTGATTTGCAAGATTCCATTGTTGCACTTGACACTTTGAATCTCTCTGTGTGCCTTTGGTTGTCACTGATTCTCCACGGATTCCTGTTTGAAGCACAACAGCATCATAGAAGTCACGGATGGTGTCACCAAGGGAGAAACTGTCTTATGTAAGTGCCATCCTTTTGAAGAAAGGGATGTGGTTCTGTTTCACTTCCTTCCCAATAGGAGAAGTAGGACATCATGGCCCTAATGAAGTCTCTGTTGATTGCATTGAACAGGAGCCGGCTGCAGAGTTCTCCATTCCCATAGGTCAACATGATGGATTCGAAAGTCTCAGTAGCAGTTCTCTCCAAATGACATGCTTGTTGGAAGGGCATACTTGACTCAACTGGATAGAGAAGAGCAGCATGCTGTGGAAGTCACAAGACTTCAGCACTGTTGGCATCAACCTCCTCTGGCAGCACTCACATTTCATTGACATGACTATGCACCAAGATGGAGCTCCAGTAATGCCAAAGATAGGGAACAAGTTTGTTCTTTGACCAGTTATGCCTTTCATTCTTGAGTTTGCCAGAGCATCTTCCATCGGGACAAGGACTGTAATTCCACATCGATTCCAGTCCACAAGGAGTAGTTTCTGGCCAACAATAGAGTGATAGTGTGGAGACTTGAAATGCTCCTCTGTGGATGGAACTGTCATGGTGAGTCCTTCAAAATGTTGGTGGAATTGTGGATTCCTTGGCCGGATAATGGATTCTGACACAGCTTCTGCCAGTGCTAGCATAGCCAGTGGTGCTCCTTTGGTCTTGTGCTTTTCGACAAAGCATTATCCTTCACAAGAGTGGTGACCTTTTGACAGAGAGCTAGTGGAGTTGTGCTGTTGTGTTCCTTGTGGATGTCTTCTGTTGCCGGCTCGGATTGGCTGTGTTCGTTCTAGCAGTGAAGAAGGCATCTCCATTCTCTCTTGTGGAATGCTTCCAGCTTCCTCTCTCATTCAGTGGAAGAGGAGCACTGAAGTGCCTTGTGAGTCTTCTGCTCTCTCTTGATGGTTTCCATTGTCAGCTCATTCAAATCTCCTCTTCCTCTTGTTACTGTATTCTTAATACAGAGAACGTGGTGTGATCTTTTGGGATCTGAGACCAAGATGTCTGGCTTACAGATGACACACTTCTTCAACGGATCAAAGATTCTGCTACCTCTCCTCAGTGTGTTTGGGTCCTTCTTCTCTGGCTCTCTTGGATCTGTTGTTGTTGTTGTTGGAGGAGGCGAGTTGGAAAGCCCTCTTCTGTTGTGAATTCCTATTCTGACTTTGGCAGCCCATCCCTTCATTGTGAGTGGTAGCTGCTGTTGGTGGCTCCATGGTCCTCTTTTGCTGCTGCTGCTACTGGCTTTTGGCCGAGTTAATGACTTGCAATGGCTTTGAGCGGCAGCCCATAGCGGCAGCATGTCATTGCCATTGCCGATTGACGTTGCCGATCCACGGAATCCCAAAATTTCGTTTCGAACGAAAGGAAAATCGCAACTAGGTAGCACATTAACTCCTTAGGTATGTGTCATATTTACGTCACGATTCTTTATTTGTTCCTTAATCGCTGCTGACATATACATTGTTCTTCGGTACTCATTAGCCAATCAGATTTCTGCCTTCCACCCCTTTCTCACCTTGTTGGTTGTGTATTTGTGCCAGTTTTTGGGTCATCTTTGGTTTCGATCTTGATGATTGATTGATTGACTTGATTGATTGATTGTGGATTCATTCGATCGATGGATCCTATCCTCTGCTTCCTTCTCACACTCACAACCAAAAGATACGCAGTAACAACAACGGCAACAGCAACAACAGCAGCAGCAGTTGGACGAGTGGTTGACTTAAGCGTGGTTAAGGTGACTTAAGTTAGACTTAAGCGTGGTTAAGACTAGCTAGACGTAAGGATGAGCATCGAAACAATCGAACACACGGGAACGGGCGCCGAGTTTGAGATTCACTCTCACGGCGCCAACATCATTTCGTTCAAGCCAGTGGTGTCTAGTAAAGATGACTTGAAGGAGAACCGCGAAGTCTTGTTCGTGAGTCGAGAGAGCAAAGTGCTGCCAATTCGCGGCGGGATTCCCATAATGTTTCCCATTGTGGTCCCGTTTGGAGAAAAGCAAGAAATGCCAGAAGGCGGATTTCTCCAACACAACAATTTTAATTGCGACGAGGAGTTTCGGTACGATGCTCGCAGTGACGCTGCGGCTCAGTTCAGTCTCGACAGTCTGAGTACCACCAATTGCCGTGGACATGGACTTTGGGCTGCTGCCGAACCTGGAGCTGTCAGCTACTCTGCTGACTTGGTCTACAACATTAAGGTTAGGGGACCTCAGCTCACGGCCGCCCTCACTATTAAGAATCCTTCAGGATCCCGGGCCAACACGTTCCCCTTTCAGCTCTTGTTCCACAACTACTTCAAGGTCGCGAACGAAGGCGCCATGGACCCCGATGAATGCTACGTCAAGGGACTCGAAGGATACATCCGACAAGACTGGACTGAAGGACCCGACTCCAAGGTTATTGACGAACAGGCGGCGGATCCCGTCGTACTCAAGACTGATGCGGAAACACACTACGTCTTTGACCCCAAGGGACACATGAAGAAGAGTCTCGACGTCATTATTGGAATTGGCGATGGACGCAACATCCAATTGACCGCGTCCTGCAAGATCGATGACAACGAATTGCCCGTCACCTGTGTCGTATGGAACCCACACAAAACCAAGGCCCGCAAGATGGCTGACTTTGGATCCGCCGAATGGCAGGAAGTCATTGGCGTCCAGCCGGGAGTACTCGAACGAAATATGCTGCAACCCCAGCAGCAACTCGTCTTTGAATACACCATCAAGCTACTGGCTGGAGAAGGAGAGGAAGAAGGAGCTTGGTCTCGTGATGCGCCTGCACCAGCAGAGGCAAAGTAAAAACTCAAATGGTGGAGGAGCGAGTGAACTTGGCTGGAATGGAAGGAAAGGAGCAGGAGGAGCAGTCAGGCAGGTATGGAGAGGAGAGCAGAGGAGGTTGGTGGTTTCGTTCGTACGGTACACCCGCATAGATTCGATATGATATGATGGAATGAAATGAAATGATTCGGTAGGTTGCCTTTTTTTGTTACTGTAATGTTTGGATGGATGGATGGATGGTGCGTTACCAAGTGCCAAATACATGTCATGTAGTACAGTAGGTGAAGCACGTTTAGTTCGGGTTGGATACAGTACGCACGCTATCATCCGATCATAATGCAGTACAGATACCGGTACGAGCAAGTAGTACTCTCGCTGCTACATTTATTCGTTGACCTGCCGGTGCCATACAGTACCTGTGGTTTCAAGACGGTACCTCGATTGTCGCCGTGTGCCAACCGCCGTCCTCGTGTGTGTGCAGCAGGTATTGTTCTCAGATCGAAGATGGGGAGGCAGAACACGAGCTGTTGTAGAATCGAGAGCTGATCTTCAATCGCTCTGCTTATACTGTATTGGTGGCTGGACAGGATGAGAAAACAAATCATACATGGTACAGCCTCAGATGAGATTGAAAAGGTGCGCCCTACCGGTACCGGTATCACGCCATGACAAGAGATGGTCAGTACTACCTGGTACCAGCAGTGACCAGGATCGGCCTGTCGGAGGGATGATCAATACCGGTACCGGTACCATGTACCATGTACCGGTACCTGGTTCTTTACGGATGGCAATTGAAAGTTATTATGAGCTGCATTACATGTATGTTGCTTGTCGGAGATCCTTTCCTGACGATGAGTTTTTTTTTCAATTTTTCAAGTTTAGTTGTTGACTAGTTTGTGGACATTCCACGGCTCTCCTCTCTTCCACGACGTGGAGGTGGATCCTTGGCGACGCGTTTTGTGGCCACGTCAGTACTTGCAGCTGTGACAGGGTTCTTCAACCCTTCAACTCGCCGTTTCTTTTTCGCACAGTTCTCACTTCCTTGCGAGCTTGCGAGAAGAAAAGCAAGCGACAACGAAACAACAAAGAGAAATCGAAGAGAAGAAAGATGAAGACGAGTTCGTTTGGCAGCTTGTTGGTGGTGTTGCTATTAGGCAGCGTGGATGTAGGATGTGGGTTTAGCTACAGTCCTGGTGTTGGTAACACTAACACAGGTGGAGGCAAAGTGGGTAGCAATGCTCCTCCGGCAGGGGTATCTGGTAGTTCTGGTACTGTTTCTACGCGTGTTTCTACGGGTGAGCCCAAGGTTCCGTTCAGTCAGAAGCAAAGTGTTTCCAAGGACGGCAAGAATGCGTTTATGGTTCCTGAGTATTACGAGACTTTTCCCCTGGGCTACCGGCCGGCCAACACGCGCCGTTCTCCCAATGTGGAGTTCACGGGATCTGGCTCCACCTTCAATAGCCGTGATAGACCCTTTTCTAGCTATACTTCAAGTAGTGCTAGTAATAGCTATGCTCAATCCCCCTTTGACTCGGGAAACAGAGGATATGGCTTTGGAGAAAACAGCTTCAGCTCACCCGATGTTACCTATGGATACCAAGGATACCCTTATCCCTACCGAGGCCAACCTAGCCGGGAATATCTAGGTGGAACTGCAGGTGCTGCCTATGGCTACTATGGATACCCAAACTACAACTACAACTATGGCAATAACTACAATTCCAACTATGGCTACAATCCATGGTACAGCCACCAGAATCAGTATGCTCCCTATGACAGTGCTAGATATGCCAGGCACCGTCCTCACTACTACCAAAACATCAACTCCTACAATGGAGCCAATGCCAAGTACTACGTCAACAGAAACAATGGACAGGTGCACAGCAACCCGACTTATTCCAGCAACAGCTACTACTACAATCGGAACAACAACAGCAACAACTACCTATACCGACAGAATCTCAATGGACAAACTGCCTACACCTTGGATCGAAGCAGGAACAACGGATTGATGTACTACTAGACACACAAAACATGAAAGGCGGCAACAAGCGTTGGAGATACATGTACATGAGGAGGAGAGAGCAAGGACCAGGCATGCAACTGTGTCTAGAAGTTTTAACGAGACAAGGGGGTGGTGAGAACGAAAAGGATCAGCGATTGTATGAAAGTCTACTGGGCATGCTGGTGGCTTGGCTGGCAACCCGTTCTGATGATGGGAACGAGAAAGAATGAAAGCAACAAGCGAGAAAGAACCAAAGGAATGTAGTCTACGTAGAATTAGCCTTCGACATCACACAACTGATAGTGCTTGTTTGTTTCGTATCTACCTAGCTCTATAGCTGTATCGTCATCGCAAACACAATCAAACACAAAAAAAGGCCACTAGTTGCCTAGAAGACGCTCATGAACTTGCGGAGGAAAAGGGCAGCCATCAAGAAAACGAGCATCCCTCCGTTCAATTCAGCCCCATGCACAGCAACCGACGAGGCATCATCTACTCCTTCCAACTCAGCGGGGCCCTCATCCATGAAGGGAGTTCCTTGAATGAAATCGGCAACATAAGCTGCCATTTCTTCGCCAACATCTTCCTGAATAAAGTGACCCGCATCAGGATAGCGCTTGTGCTCAAACTCGTGCACAGAAGCGCCAGGAATATGGCTTGTCAGCCTGTCTTGGGTTTCTTCGGACCCCAAGCCAGGGTCATCTTCGCCTGCCAAGGCCAAGTAGGGGCGGCTGAATTCTCCCAAGGATGCCCATGCCGCAGTATTGCCAGATTCAGGTTCATGCAAACCAGCAATCATGGAAGGAAACGTACGAATGGCGGCCTTGTACACAAAGTCCGGAAAGGGAGCATCATACTGAGCCAATGCACCATCATCAAGAGTCATGGTGGTAGCAATTTGAATGACATCAGATGGCAGCAAGGCAGGCGAAGTCAAGGCATAGTTGGCCCAAATACCAAAGCAAGATTGGTCAGCACCACAGGGATTTGATTGGAAGCGGTCCATGCCCACATCTAGCATGGAACGGGTATCACTGCAGTTGTAGTTGACTGGATTGACAATTGTAAATGGATTCTTGGGAATGACCGGAAGATTGCCATTGGCTGACACGACACGACGGAACCACTGAGGCTCATCACCCACAACACGAAATCCAATCAAGGATCCCCAATCTTGGATGAAGAGATTAATGGTGGGTTCGTCCATTGCCTCGGGAACCACCTGTTTGATGAATGCCTTGAGTCGTTCAACTTGCTTCAAGAAGGTGTGCTGAGAAAGATCTACGGGTTTGTCACTCTTGCCCATTCCGAGCCAATCCAATGCCAACACACGGAAACCTCTTTCCTCCAACACTGGGATCATTTTGCGGTATAGAAAGGACCATGAAGGTTGCCCGTGCAACAAGAGCACAATCTCCTCTGCATCAGGACTGCCAACATCCACATAATGCATCCGCATGCCTTCAATCATGGCATAGTTGGGTTTCCAAGGATAGCCGTTGGCGGAAAGGTTGGCAAAATGCTCTTCAGGAGTCCGGACGTACTCAATGCCATCATCTGTCACAAGGCGTGGAGTCGTTGTGTCCTCAGGAACACAAGGATCCGAAAAGTAGGCATTGGGACCTGCAATGGGATATTCAAAGGGTGTTGAAGACATGATGTTGTATTAATTAATTATTAGTACAAGTGGGCGATGTTGCTTCTGTGGCGAATAGATACCTGGTAGTAGGCAAATCGATTCAGCTATGTCTCGAGTTTGTTTTGTGAGCGACTCGAAGTGCAAAAAGTGCACAAGAGCCGATCGTGTGAAGAGATCCAAATGACGACCGGAGATTTCTCGCCGTACGAAGGATTTTTGGTGCCGGTGGGTTAGCTGACGACTGGAGCAATTCTGGAAAAGGCTTAAAGGAAAGCTCGACTGAACTTTTCTTTAAATAGAATGATCAATCGAATCGATCGAATCGAATCGAATCCTTGCAAAAACTGTGTACTAGTACGCTGTACTCGCTGCCATGTCCCTTGCGGCGGTGAAGGACCAGGACAAAAAACAACTAATGTATACAAACAGGTTGCTCTGTCTTTCATGGTTCATGACATTAGGTCTTGAAGGTGGTCAATAATGAATTGGAAGAGACAGTGGCTTGCTTTCGAAACCGCAGGGCTGACTGAATCAGCCAGCCATCGGTTTCTTGGGTGGCTGCTTGATTAGATGGTTGCAATGAAATCGGGATGAAATCGGGATGAAATCACACGAGGACCAACTCTTAAAGACGATGCAGGCATCTCTGCATGGGTCGAGAGGAAAAGTTGCTTCTACAGTAGTTTAAAACACCTGCAAACTCACTGCTGGTCTCAAGGCAAAGCAAAGCGAACAGCCAACGAACCCAACAACTCAGCCAGCAGCCAACCATAGCAAGAACCTAAAAGGCAGCACGTACTTGTGTTCATTGCGCTGGTACCCACAACCGTCGTACCCAAGAAGCGCTGCAGCATGCCACTGGAATAAATGTATGTAGAGTGCCGATCGGTGAAAACGATGCGATGGCGCAAGATTCATTCGAAGAGGAGGGAAGCCGAAGGCTTGGGATGGGACCAGCCTGCTGATGCTCTTCAGTATTGGTAGGCACCGGCCGGTAGGGTACGAGGTACGACTGAACATGTATTTGGTGCTGTGAAAGAGCAGCCAGCAACTATCATCAGCTGCCGCTTTCGGTAACTAGAGCAGTGGTGTTCCGGGCACTCCTCGAGCGAGCGCTCCATTTCTGCCTCCGAGTCCTTGGATGCATTCGGAGATGTGCTGCGTACCATACTATTAATAGCTGTTCCTTCTCGCTCTTTGTTGCGCCCTCACGGAAGGCGTTCCAACTACAGCGGGACTACTTCTCGCTATTACGGCACCGCATAGTACAGTATCCCGATTCAAGTTGATAACAGGAGGAGCACCGTTGCGGTTTTGCTGCTGCAGTACTATTCAGTTCGATTGTGAAATGAATCTACAGGCAGATGGAGCCACCCGCGGCATGTACGTACGGAACCTTCACGTGTGTTCCAGACACAACTAGCTAGAGCATGTCACAAAACGGGCGGAGCCAGATGAAACTAATGAAACTAGAGGAGGCACTGGCAACAAGCTGGGCCACTGCCGCCCTGTTCTCGCAAAGAGTAGCTGGTCCAGTTTCTCCCAAGAGGAGTGCTCTCCTTCTGGTTCTTTAACGGCACACTAGCTAGCTAGCTAGTATAGACTAGACTACTGGGTAGGCTGTGTCTGCTTCCAGATAGTCATATCCAGTGTCGATATCAAAGGAATGAATATTATTGTGCCCAGCATGGTGGCTGGTGTTCACCGCATGAGTTTGCCAGATCCAAGGCCATCTTACTGGATAGTTCTGGGCTTCGATTGGCTTCGAATAATGCAGCAAATACATGTGACTGGCTGCTGTTCATCAGAAAGGGGAAAAGCCTCTCGAGTACCAGTAATAGTACTGGAGTACTAACCTTCTGTCGTGTCACCCTACCAAGCAATGTACCAGTTTGCCTCGAGATGCTGGAATCCAGGAATTAGACGATTCTTGCAGCGGCCACGATGTTAGTTCTTCAAGCCACAGAGACCTGAAAGTTTCCTTCATCTCGAGAACTTCTTGATTCTTGAGCCGAAAGAGATAATCCAAGTCATTTATTATGTCCTATTTTCAGCAATGATAAGTCATTTGAAGTCAATATACGTAAGAGTGCATGACCTATTTAACTCGTTTTCATGCAGGGACATCTTCTTCAAAACTCAACGAATAGAATTCCCGCTTTGCTGAGTTGACAGAAAAGAACCGCACGCGTTAACTTACGCTAGCAATAGGCTTGATGCCAACTTCCTCAGCTCTTGCTCAACCTTGCTGAAACTGCATTGCTCTGCCGCTGCTTTATGCATAGTCTAGTTACCACTTGGCCACCAGTCTCCAGTCTCATTCCTACATGTACATGCTTGGCTGATACGACGAAGTTGGAACATCCATTGCAGCACCGCCAACATCACCAACATCGCTATTATCCAATCTGAAGCTCACTGATTATCTAGCCAGATACCCTCAGATACCCTCAGATACCCTCATTCTTCTATTAATACTACAGTACAGCCATGCCAGAGGATACCCCATCCCCACCTGATGCTGCTAGTAGTGGTACTAGTACTAGTACATGCAGTAGCACATGCTACTGCCGACAAGACCTTCAAGCGCTGAACCTCCTGGACCAACCAGTTTGGATTTTCGACATTGTGAAGCGCGGCATGTTCTGGGCCAATGCGGCTGCGGTGGAACTGTGGAGTGCCAACAGCCTGGAGTCCCTGGTGGCACGAAACTTTGGCAATGACATGAGTGAAGCTACCCAGAATCGGTTGGACGATTATCTGTTAAAGTTCATTTCAGGAGAAACTACGCAAGAGCAGTGGACTTTCTACCCCAAAGGAGGCGAAAGCGTGGTAGTGGATTGTCTTTGCAAGGGAGTTCCTATTGAAGAAGGCAGAGTGGCCATGCTAGTGCAGGCTACCAAGAGGACCAATGCTACTAGCAGTACTCTATTTGAACAAGAAGCACTCAGAGCCACGGAAATGCTCAGGCATCTTCCAGTGGCTGTTTGTATTGCGGATCTGCAAGGAAACATTCTGGAACAGAATCCTGAAGCTCTAGCTGTCTTTGGATCTCTAGAAACTGCAAAGCAACAACAGCAGCAGCAAGTTCTTTCAGACAGCAGTGACAGTTCCAATTCATTCGAGCAAGATGAAGAAGGTGACAATGACAATGATGATCCAATCCTGAAATCTGCCTTTGTCAAACGCTTTGCAGACCCACAATTGGGCAAGAGAATACTCCACCAAGCGGCTGAGACAGGACAAGATGTCACTCTAGAAGCACAGGTACACACAGTCCATGGAACACAATGGTCGGCCATCAAGGTGCGACAAACCAAAGATCCCGTCACATCCAAACCCATTCTGCTCATGTCTGCACGAGACATCACTGCCGTAGTGGAAGCAAAACGACAAGCCACTACTGCCGAACTCGATAAGCTTGACCTTCTGGCCGACATGGCACATGCCATTCGAACGCCTTTACAACACGTCGTTGGAGTTGTGGAGCTCATGGCCAAGCAGGATCACTTCAAAAACGACAACAATCATAATCAACAACAATCCAAGACACACAATAGACACTACTCCAATCTGCTTCAATCATCTGCGCAACTACTCATGACGGTCATTCATGATCTCATGGATACGGTCGGAGGTACTGGCGGAAGCAGCATCAGTGGCAACAACACCAACGGCCATGGAGGAGACCAACGCAATCCAACCAACAACCACCCAACCAACAACGGCAGTCATCATCTCAACAACAAACCAAGAATACTGCTAGAGCACACACAACTGGATGTCAAGGAAGTGCTCAAGAATGCCGTAGCCACGCTCCGTCCACATGCCAAGGCCAAGGACTTGACACTTAGGGCCACCATTCATTCACGATCACTCAACAATGGAACCGCAGCACTCATGGGAGATCCAGCTAGATTGGGACAAATTCTATTCAACATTCTACACAATGCCGTCAAGTACACGAGTAGAGGAGGCATCAACGTTTCGGTACGAAGATTGTCATTGCAGAGTTCACGACGGGTACGTCTACGATTTGAAGTCAAAGATAGTGGCGTTGGAATGAATCTAGAGCAGCAACGGCAATGCATGCGCACCAAGTCATGGAAACGATCACAACAACAACAGCAAGATCAACAACAGCAACAACAAGAAAAAGATGCTTCGGATCACGGTGGTGTCGGCCTGTCTCGATGCAAGACTCTCGTCGATGCCATGGGGGGAACCATGGGCGTACAAAGCAAACCAGGACAAGGAGCCACCTTCTGGGTAGAAATACCATTCCTTCGTGTCATGCCAGTCAAACCACCACCGTCGACTAACTGTTCCAATTTGAGCAATCATGGCAATAGCAATACTAACAACGGGAACAACACCAGCAGCAACAACAAAGACAATCGTCGTCTTCGACGTGTACAGCGCAAAGGCAGCAACTCGTCCACGTCATCCTTGCAGCAACAACTGGATCCCGTACCCGATGAAGGAGGATTACAGGTTCTATTGGTCGATAAGGACAATGCCGGGCGAAGTGTCATGACGGCTCTCATGGAGGAGTCGGGATATCAAGTCACGACCGTGGCCGACGGAGATGCCATGGTTCAAGCCGTCACGGAGAGTGAGGATGCATCCTTCGATGTCGTCCTCCTAGAGACCCAATTGTCTTCTTCCAATGACGACGGCAACAGCAAAAACAGCGCTCTGCAAGCTGTCAAGCAACTGCGAACCCTGGGGTACTCTACCGAACGATTGCCCATCATTGCCTTGACAGCTGCTGTGCCAAGAGCGGATTATCCAGAACTGGGCCTGAATGACTGGCTCACAAAACCAATGCTCATCAAAGATATTCAAAAAGCCATGACCAATGCCATTTGCAACATGGGGACGACGACCCATCACAGTCGCGGGTCTCTGAGCTGCGGAGGAAGCATCTGCACAGAGGGTTCGGAAAGCATACACCATGTTACATTGGGGGAGAGTTGCAGTGACAACCACGGGAGTTCTGGGCGATTGACTGGAACTACTGGAAGCAGCTCCCATGCGGATAGTCGTCCCGTGTTGCCTCGACGCGGATCCTTTGGGTCTGTGCACTCCGTCTTTTCCGATCATTTGCAAGCGGCCATGGCTCCCGTGACTGATGAGAAGACGACGGTCGCGTCGCGTGACAACAAACCACGACTCTCACAACCTACGGTTACAGCATCAATAGTGCGCCCATCAACGCACAGCATGAACACGTCTCCTTCACGTGGCGTCGATAGGCCACCAAGCAAGATCCATCGACGTAATTCGGATAATGAAGGCGAGGAGATCTCAATGGTTCACGGACGAAAGGGTCTATCTCAACGAGACCGCGTGTCGGAGGTACCAAAGGACAAGACCGGTGGGTTGTAAAAATGGCTGAGCATGATGGGACACATTCTCCATCGCCTGCCTATTGGGAAACAGCGGGAGAGTGCACATGAGTGTTGCTTTCCTTGTCTCTGGAGAGTCGAGTCATTCTAATTTCATACTAGCAAATGATCCCAAACTGTTCCTGGTAGGTCGAAATCGTTACATCCTACTATAATAGACGTCTACCACTACAGCACAGTGGTAAGCCACGGTGTGGGTGCTCCTCCTTTGAGTAATCATCGTTGTCAGCCGACTTGGCTTGTGGAAAGCAACACCAATGACAACTTGAAGGTTGCATCGAATTTCCATTTTTTGGTGTCTTCAAAAGTTTAAATAAGTCAAATTCACTTGTTCTGTAATTTTTAGTTTTATGAAATATCTTTTGGATCTTTACACAGCTGCACTGACACAGTATTCCGAATCTTTCCTTGAAAAATCGCCAGTGGGCACTTCTTTCGATCCTTTGACTCGACGTATACCAGTAGTGCTCTAGCTAGTAGCTAGAGACCACAACCAACACTCATATCATTTGATTGATTTGATCGACAGAATGAAGACGTCTGCCTCTGTTTTGTTGGTGGCGGCTCTGCCAGCAGCACTGATCCTCTCCTCGGCCAATGCCTTTGTTCCACGGCCAGTCCCTACTATTAATACAGTGTCCAGTCGTGCGGGTACTACTGCTAGATCCACATTCAGCCAGGTGGTGGTGACTGCCAAATCCAAGGCATCTGCTTCCTCCTCCAATGCCAATGACGACAAGGACAAGGACAAGGACAATAATGTGGACAAGAACAAATTGGCCGCATTGGACGGCGTCATAAATCAAATTGAACAATCGTACGGCCGTGGCTCAATCCTCAAATTGGGCGATGCCCACGGCATGGTGGTCGATTGTGTGTCCACAGGCGCCTTGACATTGGATGCCGCCTTGGGAGGTGGTGGATATCCAAAAGGTCGTATTGTGGAAATTTATGGTCCGGAAGCCTGTGGAAAAACCACCCTGGCATTGCACGCCATTGCCTCTGCGCAATTGAATGGAGGCATGGCCGCCTTTATCGATGCTGAACACGCATTGGATCCAGCGTATGCCGAACACTTGGGCGTCAATACCAACGATTTATTCGTCTGTCAACCCGACAGTGGCGAAATGGCACTCGATGTCGTAGACAAGCTCGTACGAAGTGCAGCCATGGATGTCATTGTCATTGATTCCGTGGCGGCACTAGTCCCTCGGGCCGAACTCGAAGGCGATATGAGTGATTCACAAATTGGGTTGCAGGCAAGACTCATGTCCAAGGCCATGCGCAAAATTACTGGATCTCTAGCTGCTTCCCAGACCGTCGTCGTTTTTCTCAATCAATTGCGATCCAAGGTATGTATATATCGTACATGCATGGACATCCTGTACACACACACACACACACACTCCTTTCATTCATTCATTCATTCATTCATTCATTCATTCGTTTCTCATTGATAGGTCGGAGTGATTTACGGATCCCCGGAAGTGACATCGGGAGGCAACGCCCTCAAATTTTATGCGTCAGTAAGACTCGACATTCGACGCAAAGAAATCCTTCCGGACAATGCCGGGATTCGAGTCAAAGTGAGGGTGGTCAAAAACAAGGTCGCCGCTCCCTTTCAGGTGGTACAATTGGATATTCTATTTGGACAAGGCATTGATGGTGTTGGATGTCTCGTCGATGCCGCTGAAGAATGGGGTGTTGTCGTACGAAAAGGATCCTGGTATGCTTATGAGGGCGAGAATATTGCCCAGGGACGGGCCAAGGTCGTCGAAGCGCTCAAGGAAGATCCTGTCTTTTTAGAAGACATGCAAACAAAAGTCAAACAAGCCATGGGTGTTGATGCCTCTGGTGCAAACAAAAATGAGGAGGATAGTAGTAGTGAGGAGGAAGAAGACACGAGAGAAACGGAGGATGTGGCCATTTCTAATGACGCCACGTTTGAATAGATGAACATATGTTAGACAATGGTATCTGCAGCTCGTAAGGACATTATAGGACTAGCTAGCTAGACTACTTTGACAGCTTCCACCACATCTTCTTTATGGTACGGGTATAGCTAATGAAGTACAGATGCATTCGATAGAGGAGAGAGTCCCTCTCTACTAGATATCTACTAGAAGAGATCTTCTCTGGAATTTATTAAAAGAATGGAGCACTGCAAAAGTTGTTTCGTGCATCCAGAGCGGTTCCCACCAAAATCTGAGTTCGATACCTCGCTGATGTCTCGTCGCTCGGTTGGATTGGGCAGGAACTGATGCCGCAGCAGCCATTTCCCAAGCGAGCGTTGGGTAAGTCAATAATGTTTCGCTGCACTCTTGCCATGTCGAACAGGAGCATACAGTGTCAGGGGATTGCAACATCCACGAAGAAGCGATGCTGCAAAGCAGCCAAGCCGGGATTCGCGTATTGCCACTTGCATCTGCCTCGTTGCGGTGAGTAGATCGTCGATGCCGTCAAGCATAAGAACGTGGGAACAGGAAATGCCACTTTTGCTGGTGGCATAGACGACGATTCTCATTCTCATTGTATCGTTGTCATGCCCAACAGACAACAAGGAAGCTCTGCAATGCAAGGGGATTGCCAAATCAACCAAAAAGCAATGCCGCAAAACAGCCAAGTCGGGATTTGAGTATTGCCACTTGCATTTGCCTTGTTGCCAACACAAGACCGATGGAACATCCATCAAGGCCAGTACACTCGAGAAATTTGACTATAGATTCCATGCTGTATCGGGCAGACTCAGCACTGATCCACAAGAGTTTCGCAAGCAAAGCCTTCGTTCGTCAAAGCAACACTGCGTTGCCGTTTGGGACTACCGCAAGCATCGAGATGCCTACACGTCTTTCAAACAAAAGGATTTGACCCAAGGCAGCACGGAACTGGACCACGTCTTGGAACTTCATGTGGTTCGTGATGCGTTCGACTTGGTAAAGCCTCAAGGTACTGGATTTCGAAGCAGGAAGGCGGCACTGAAAGAGAGACTCAAGACGGTCCTCAACGAAAAGGAGAATTTGAATTTCACTTTAGAAGTTGTGAATCAAACCAAGTTTCGCGGGGTCTATGCGTTCCAAAAAGCGTATCTGATGGGAACCGTTTGTCCGGGATTGGTCCCATACTTGAAGGAAGAGTGGCAGAAACGATGGGATGAATCCAACAAAAACACGCGACTGCGTCGAAGAGTGACTCGGCGGATTGGAGAGGAGATTGTCAAATCGTACGACCACGTGCGTGACTCTCTTCGGGATGAGGATTTGCTTCAGGGTCAGTTGATTGAGCTTTTGCATGACAATATGGTGGCCATGTGGCTTTGGTAGATTGCCGCAGCTTTCTCCGAGCGTTCGGATTCCAGTATTTCGTCGTCATTCATTCAGTGGCAGAACAAATAAGGACGTAAATTGTGGTGCTCATGAGAAGAAAAACTGCAAAAACACGAGCATATGTTCATCACGGATACCGGTACGGCACTGCGTCGCAGCCAAATTTGAATACTGTGTTGAGGTCGCTCTCAATGCATGGACGCAGCTGTGTTTATGAATCCAGCGGTGGTTGTCTGTTGCTTTCGCACTCTCGTCAATTCCATCCATCCCAACATACATAATTCCAACCAAATCAATCGATTGTCCAATTTCCTTTTAATTGCTGGTTGTCGTCGATTTTAAAATTTCAATTGTCTTTTTTTACAGCTGTGCACACCAAAGAGTTGGTGATTCCCGCAGCAGTCCGTAGAGTAGTTTGTATCGATTCTTTTTGAGCGTCGTACTACATGTAGTGTCGTTTTGGACGGTATCCAATAGTTGCATCAGCGTGTTTGCGTCGGCATCGTCTCGTCGCACCGTGGCTCTGCCATATTGGTTGAGCAATAGGTAGTATTCCAGTTTTTTGTGCGCGGCATATTTTCGGAGCGACTGGTCGACGGAGACTTCTTGTAATCCAAGAAGAGTGTTTCCATGTTCGAGTGTTTCTAGCAAGGATTTGAGTGTGGATAGTTCGGAAATGGGTGGTAGAAAATGTAGTCGTTGTAGGGTGTGATTGGCAGCGCCACCACGAGAGGCAAAGAGAGACTCTGCCACTTTCACGGACGCGGATGGAGCCATATTGGTTTCGAGACGCAAGGATTGGAGACGGTCGGCTTGTAGCAAGAAGGGTAGGACCGTGAGAAAGGATGGATCCGGTCTGCTGGAGTTACCGTTGGACCTGAATACCAGTTCTAGGTGTTGTATGGATGTGTTTTCCTGCAAAGAGTCTTGCAATAGTAGGAGAGTGTTGCTGGAATTGGTTTCCCATTTGAGTGTGTGTAGACAGGGTAGTAAATGGTGTTTGAGGTTGTGTACCTGATCCGTGGATAGAGCACTGGGAGCACGTATGTGAATGGCCCTGTGCTGGTGGGGTGTCTTATCTAGAATGCACTGCAGCACATTGAGTGGATAATCCGTGTGAAAAGCCAAATCTAGAATCTTGCCCCCCGAGAATTCGACAGTGACGAGATCCGGGTACTTGGTAAGTAGAATCTGCGTAGCCTTCAATGATAGCTTGTCTTGAGTGTTTGATTCTTGAAAGAGCCTGCGGAACATTGGCAAGCAGCGGGGATCGTAGTCCTGCTCCGTGAGATGGGAGGCTATAAACTGAATGATGGTGTCATTTCGAGTGGCGCAAGCTAGATAGAGCGGGTAGTACGAGTAGTCTAGTTCCTCTGCGTAGTATCGACCCATCTTGGCCATGGAACCGGGAAAGAGTGCGTGAATCTCGCGTACAATTGGTAGGGAAATCTGGGTACGCGACAGGAGCAATAGCTGAAGCGGCAAGAGATAGACATCCATACTCCTCGTCGTCACTCGGTACGCAAACTGCTCTCGCAACAAACACGGAAATCGAAACAGGACGTCCACCACACGACCAAAGTAAAACTCAGACTCTTTTTTCCATTCCCACTGCGCCAAAGGAAACGTTTCTGACAAAAAGGCGGCGCATTCATCCAGCGTTGTCATTGTCATTGCGCTCGTACTACATGTAGTGGCCCCCACTGCCTTGGGAGGGGCGGAAGTGCAGCTCCACAAGCTGCTGTTCACACTGCCGTTGCTCTTCGTCATCGTCGACGGTGTTTTGTCGATCTTTCAGAAAGTGAGAAAATCGATCGCTTCTTTTCGAAAAAGTGGTCGATGAGTAATTCGAATTATGTAAAACAGCAAGGCCATAAAGAAACTGATCACGGCCTGGTTGCCTCAGGAATTAAGATAGATGAAGCTCTGACCACTTGGAATAATAGGTATTTGACCATACGGTAGCTCCAAAGGATGAGACGAGCAGCAAAACAGAAAGAAGGGGGGTTATTGAAATCAGGAAGGAGAAAGATCTCGCCAAAGCAAGCAGCTAAAGAGGGCGAATGAAAAGCAGATTTGGGGACTGTACATGTCACATTAGCTACAGCAGCTAGGAAGGATCGAACCTGCGCCGCGAACGACCTGAAAAGTGCTACATGTAGGACAGTAGTCTACATTATTATTCATCGAGTTATTTTAATTAAAATTCTGCCACTACAGTGTATTTTGGACTCTTGTTGGTCCCCTCGGGCGTGTCAAAGTTGCACGTTACCTCAATGACATCTCCTCCCTGGATCCCCCCCACCGGGGTGGCGCCCATAACGGGCAGAACGGTTTGCCAATGACTCTTTTGGGGTCCACCCTCGGGATGTGTTCGAGAGTTGATGACATACTCACTCGAGTCCGAAGAGCCTGGCAAATAGATCCGCGGCCAAAAGGCAATGCCAGAACAAGACCGGGCCGCCTTCGTAGCTAAACTAGATGCCTTTTCTTTGTCGAGTCGTCCCTTGCGATATTCGTCAAAGAAAACGGACGTATTGTCCGTAATGCGATCGCCCGAGGCTTTGAAAGACAACGTTTTGCTACGAGTACCACCCTTGCTGCCACTACCAGTAGAGCTCTTGAGGATATCGATATCGGCAAAGGTAATATCTTCCACACACTGTGGTTCGTCCAGCAGCGCCAATCCTAAATCTCGACAATTGAACCTGACAGGCTCGTTGGCTATCTTGGTCCAGTCAAATTCTGGGGGAACAAAGAGATTGTGTAGCGTGTAACTGGCGGGTGCAGCCCAAGTTTGTATTCGGTTTGGAATCCAATTGGCTGCATTAGTGGGGTCCTTGATGAGACGTTTGTGGGCATCGAGAATGGTTCCATAGGCGCCCTCTTCGGAGGAGATGGATCCACAGATTTCTGCCACGACAATATCCGCCTTTTCGTTGTTGGGCAAGGTAACATCGGTAGAGTATCCATCCAGGACGGTAATGACATCGTCAAATCCCTGTTTCTGGATGAACTTTCGGGCATAGTTTGCAACTTCTGGATTGGCCTCAATGGCGTACACCTTTCCAGCGCCCATTTCTGCCGCCATAATGGCAAACAAGGCGAACGGCCCCGTGCCCAGATCCAGCACTGTTTGGCTTTCTGGGCCACGACCTGGACCTCGGCCCGCATTGAGGCGATCGAAGAGGGACTTTTTGAACAAGGGCGTTCGAGACGGGTCGTCCCGCATGGCAGTGTAGGCGGACATATCGAAGGCGACGAATTCCTTTTCGTTGGAATTGAGGCCGCTCGATGCATCCCACTGGGCGGTCAGCCGAGTCGTAGTGAAGGCCATTGCAGGCTGAACATGGTTCATGTCAATGATGGACCACGATGCCACGGCCGCCGATGCTGCGACTGCCGATGCTGCGATGGCGCTGGAAAACAAGTCTCTGCGACGGGAGTCTACTCGTACTGTTTCGTCCTCCTGATCATGTTCCTGATCCTGATCATGACTGCCGTTGTTCCATTTCAACGTTGGTGTTCTTGGTCTTGTTGTACTTGTACCGGTGCGAGTGCGAGTGCAAGTGCGAGAGGAGAGGAATGCCGTGACGCCTTCTCCACTGCAAAGCAGCCAACATCCCACGACGGCGGAGCTGAGCGTACGTGAAACGGTACACCTCATGCTTGATGACAGCCAGTTTTCAAAAGTCTACCTCTACTCCCACGAGAAATGCCAACGAAAGATTGCTAGTCCTACTAGCTAGATACTTAGACCTAGTCTATTGCTGCCTGAAAAGAGAATTGGTTGGTGTCCATAGATCTAGCTAGATGGCTGCATTCTTGAACAGAAATCTCTCGCGAGGGCGAGGGAACACACGTACCGAGGGTAGACGCCTGACGACAGATTGTGTCCTCTCACGTCCACTTGAGCTTTCCAGTCTTGATGTTGTTTGACCACTAGCCCCAGCACTCTACTAGCTACTAGAGCTAGACACCACCACAAAAGTTGGCCTGGGCCACGAAGAGATCATCTGATTGCCAACATGGCCTCCGCTTTGCTTGCTCTCGTACGGTAGACTATAAGCAAGAGATCAATTAGGTACCGGTAGCTAATTCAAGCCAGATAGAGCTAGGCTATGCGCAAGGTTGGATTGTGAAGTTGGCTAGTAGATTGCATGGCATGCACCGTTCAAGTTGCCTGGCACACCCGATCAAGCCAGATAGCTAGCTAGTAGGCTAACCCGCCGATCGTTGGATTGTGAAGTTGGCTAGTAGATTGCATGGCATGCACCGTTAGCCTACCTGGCACACCCGATCACGGCAGCAAACGATTGTTTTACCTATCCAGGTACCGGTAGGTGGCTACGGTACGAAGGAGCAACTCGTCATTGCTACCGGTGCTCTGGGTCTCGCTCGTCTCTTGCCAAGCAACCGAGCTGTCAAGTATGACGCAAGATCCGGCCACTGCCCGTCTCTTGCCATTGCAGGATGTGTACCAATGTTGAGCTAAGATGACGCGTCTACTGAGGTGCCAGTATGTAAGAATCCATTCTTCGGGGCCTGAGTCAGACTGCGACACAATGCTTCCAAGACTTGGACTGTCACTCGACTCCAACTTCAGCACCATGCAACCCTCCGCTCTCCCATCTGTTTCATGTAGTATGTATACTACGAACGCTGATAGTAGTAGTAGTAAAGATAGATGAGTGTTGAGCTCTTAGTTTAACATGGCGTACAATAGAGTACGTAGTAGGCTACACTAGTATTGTTTCTGTTGCGTATTGTTTTGTTTGTCGTAGGTGACACGAGGAGTGTGAAAGGTGCGATAATGAGAGTAGTACTCGTAGTACCACGAGCGCTGGTCTTGTCTGACATGTAAGTGTCGTCGTTGGCTTTGTTGTGTATTCGTGCGCTCTTAGTCTGCACCTTTCCACCTCTTTTCTGTACAAAGTATGTTGTATCTACATGTATGTGCATGCATCCGTCGATCGAATCGATTCGAATCGATTGTCGTGTCTGTTGAATAAGTTTGAGTCGAGTGTGATTGTTTGATTGATTGCTCACTCGAAGCATCCTTCCATGGCGTAGTAGTCTTGTTGCTCGAGATGCACATTGTCTTGTACTTCCAGTTCATCTTGCAGCAACTCTGTTTCTTCCCAACATCTTGCGAGATAGGCTCTGTCTTCTCGACAAGCGTCATCCGTGCTGGATTGGTGTTCCTGTTGCTGTTGTTCCTTGAGCAGTTGCAGGGTAAGCTCTGCAGAAGGTCTTCCAAAGAATACTTGATGTCCAATTCCCAACCAAGCAAAGGAAAAGTACTCTCCTACCAAGATGAGATGTCCGTCAATCCACTGCGCATTGCGATGTCCTTGAGCAGCCACTTGTCCTTGTCCAGCATATCGAGAGAGGAACTTGGATCCCCATTGCTTGGCGGCACTTTCTCCCAACTCAATGGGTTCCAAAGAATCCCCTCCAGTAGTACTAGTACTGGTTGGTTTGCTGTTGCTATTGCCATTGCTGGTGGATGACACTGGCGATAGATCGACTTGGAAAGTGACTTGTCCCATAGGCACATTGGCTTGTTGCTGCTGTGATGTGAGTTTGTGTGCCACTAGAGTATCTCCATGGTAAGTGACATTGATGAGTTCGAATCCTCCTTCGTCGGAATACTTTCCCACCCAGAGGCCTTCCAAGTGGAACTGAGGAAGAACAGCTCTTGCCATTTGAGATTCCTTTTCCCACATGGCTTTTTCTTCTTGTGTAAGTTTGTCATTTGCCAATAGCAATTGCTCTTGGGCCACTTGGTAGACATACTCGGCATCGACTTGCTGTGCCTGAAGAATGGCTCTCTCCAACTCTTTCACTCGTTCCGTGGCAAAGCTCATGCGCGCATTTTCCAGTCGTTCTTTCAAGTCCAGTACATCTTTTCGCAACTGATGGAGTTCTTCCCCGAGCACAAAGCGTTCCCTGGCTTCAGCCTCCACTTGCAGTCGAAGGCGTCGTGTCTCACTCAGAGGACAAACTCCATCAGCTGAAGGTTCTCCACCACTGCTTCTCTTGTTGCCGTCATTGGGCAAGTCTTCAGGAAGTTCAAACTCGGCCGCTGAGGTGGAAGTGCTCATATACAGACCAGACTTGCTGGTAGTACTTGTTGTGCTTGTACGTGATGAGCTGCCAAAGAGAGCAGGAGAGAAAGCTGCAGATTCAGGGACTCCCACAACCAAAAGGTTCAGGGCCAGCATGACATTGCATACAGAGAAACCTGTCATCTTGGTGGTACCGGTATTAATAGTGGTGGTAGAAGAGAGGGGTATCTGAGTGTGATAGGACTTGCTTGTCAACTTGAGACAATCCCAATTTATGGCAATGCTTCACTTGGATCTTCGCTAATCAATCAGGGAGGATACTAGTACAGTATGGCTGCCAACTAAGGATGAGTGGTGGCTATTGCTGCGCTGTTTGGCTTGATCTTATCTATCTTTTTCGTCGTATAGCGGTTGCAAGATGTTGGCTGATGTGTCGTCGGAACAATCTCAGTTGAGTTGAGTTAGTTGTGAGAAAGCAACAGCCCCATCTTTTTCGCTGACGCTGAGCTGGAGATGCTGCCACCTCTGGACGCAAGAAAACAGGATCCACAACACAGACACACGCACTACACAATCTTCTATACTCCGCGGAAATTCAATACCAACCCTCTAATTCTCTGTGTCCTCGTCAGACACCACGTGGGCCAAAACGACAGAAACCAACCCTCGAAAGAACACTGCCAAAGGACGCTGACTCACGTACCAACATTCTCTCCAATGATGGGACAGCTAAACGTCTCAAAAGCTACGATTTTTTTAATGGCCCACCCAATCAGCGACATCGACACGTAAGGCCTTCCTGCAACACGTCAGTCGAATCAGACACATTATTGGCACAAAACATCGCAAAGAAAGCGAACCTGCCTTCTGTCTTTTTCTCGAAATGCAAAATAAATAGCCCTGACCCTGAAGATGAATAGAAATACATGCCATGCATGTACCGGTACCAGTACATGTGCAAGCCATCCAAATCGAACGAACATCGATTGCATTGGGTACCCCAATCGAATAGAATACACATCATCCTCGCATCTGCTTGCTTCGTTGCAGAAAAAAACCTGGAGAGCTTGGGATTAATTAAGACGGTGCCATTGCCTGCCATTGCCCGCCATTGCCCACAAGTTTTAAGATTCTAGGTTAGCCGGCTGCTGCAACATGCAATAGCTCGATGCAGGAACGCACACTATTGGTGCGGGCTGCTGCTGCCGAGAACGTAGTACTGGCCCAAAGGATAAATCGAAGTAAGTATGCATACTAGAACATGCATAGGTGAAGACTAAACCATTCGTTGTATGGATGCAGTTGGATGCGCCCATGGCAGGTATTCAAGCCCTAGCCAGCAGAATATTTGTCCAGTTAGTTGTCTCGGTGTGCATTCATCGGTCTTTAGTTTGAGCAAGATCGCCAGAGCCTGGCTATGCGTAGATCATCTAGCTAGCTAGCTACCGGTAGCCCTTGCTAACCTGACCATAGCAGAGCAAATAGCAAGCTTGCGAGGAGAGATATCTAGCTAGATGGAGCTGTTCCGACATGGACAGCCAGCTACACGACTCCTGCCATCGTGGATGAATCTGCAATTGCCTCTCCACTCTCCCAAGCTGTCGTGGACAACCTACTCTGTACTCTCTTACTTGGATGATCAGGCCAATGGACCGCTTGAGATACTGTCGCCAGATTCGATTGGTTGCATTTGATACGTGCATGATCGTGCGTGTTGGCAGTGGTGCGTAGTACGAGAAGTCAACGTGTTCATTACAAAAGTTATTCTTCTGTAAATAACTTTAATGAATGAGAACCATCCAATCATTGGCAAGCAAAATAGATAATTTGAAGTGGAATATAGGTTATTCCTTCGCGAACTCTAACCTTTAAAGTAGTAGTGTCCAGTATCGTATGAGAACCACGTGGTGTTTTCTTCCTGAGAGCTACGAGAGCATTGCTGGTGATTGGTGATGAAACCGACCAATGGTGATGGCATTGATCAACAAGCAACTTGAACACCACAACATTTAACACCACCAGTGGTCCCAAAGCCAACACGCCACTCCTCTATTTTCTTTGGCTTTCATTCTTTCACAGTAGAATACTAGAGTAGAATTTCATAGAAATTCAGTTCTACTACTAACTTGACGGGTTTACTTTATCAAGCTATACCCTCATATTTTTTTGTGTGCTACCCCTTGCTACCCAAAAATTTCTAATTTTTCTTTCCACAAGAATAAGACAAGACAATGATGTTCCGATCGTTGATACTGTTTGCTCTGGTGAGCTCTACGAGTGCCTTTAGCGCAGTCGCACCCAGCAAGGTTGGCGCCAAGGTAGATTTGGACCCGGAATACGCGGCGACGTTGGAAGGCGCTACCGCCAAGATGGGAGAAGCCCTTGGTGACAAGAAAGAAAAGCTTTTGCCGATGCTGAAGCACTTTGTGGGAGAATACCTCGGAGCGGCGCAAGTGGGACGTGAAGCGGCACCTGAAGATCAGAAGGATTTCTACGCGCCTCAAGCAGCCGCTGGTCGTATTATGCAGGGCATTCTGTACGCGCAACAATTCGGCATGCCCGACAGTCCCGATCTCTATACTTTCGACGTGACTCATACGGCATTGCGAGGAGATGCGGAAACCGAAGATGGCAATACCGTGGATTACTACGGCTTTGGCTGCGATTTCTTCCGTCCTTGCATGGATTTGGAAAACAGTGTTGTGCTGGGCCAGGACAATCTGAAAAAGGCCATGGAACAATTGGCCAATGGCGACAATGTCATCTTCTTTGCCAATCATCAGTCGGAAGCCGATCCTCAAGTCGTCAGTTGTCTCATGGAAAAAGCGGGATATGCGGAACAAGCTGCCGATATGGTTTATGTGGCTGGACACAAGGTCACTACTGATCCTTTGGCCATTCCATTCTCCATGGGAAGAAACCTTATCTGCATTCATTCCAAGAAACACATCAACGCGGATCCAGACACCAAGTCCAAGAAACAACGGCAAAATCTACAGGCCATGAGTGCCATGTTGAAAAAGTTCAAAAAGGGAGGATGTCTGCTGTGGGTGGCTCCTTCTGGTGGACGGGATCGACGTGACTTGGAGACAGGCGAAGTACCACCGGCTCCCTTTGACAGCAAGACCATTGACATGTTCCGTCTCATGGGAAACAAGTCCAAGAAACCCATGCACTACTACCCCATGGCCATGGTCTCATACGATCTCTGCCCTCCTCCTGACTACGTCGAAGCCGGAGTCGGGGAACAACGAAATGTTCGATTTGTTCCCGTCGGTATCGAAGTAGGAGAGGAAACAGAATCCGTCGGTGGTTTGGAATCACGCAAGGAATTCTGCAAGCAAGCATTCCAAACCTGCCTGGAAGGATACGATGAACTCAACAAGGCCCTGGAGATGTAAATGTAATCTCACACAGCACAACACGCACATCAGCAAACATTAAATGATACAGAAACGATCGATTGACCGACAGTAAGAGAACACGAAACGAATCAAAACCACTACACTGGCCCGTCGATTGATTGATTGATTGGTTGTGAAACCCCATCATATATGCTACATACCCGAAACTAAAATAGGAAACTTGTACACATGATCACAATGCCATTCATACACTTCACTTTTAGACCTTTAGAGACACCAGGCATGCTGTCGTTGTCGGTGGTTTTCTCTCCTCGTTGGCGGAAATCTGGAACGTCTTCCAGTGCTGCTTTTAGCTGACCTTTGTGGACCTTTCGCATTGGTTTTTGCATGACCTGTTCACTTCTTTTCGTCTTTACTTTCTCACTGTTCGGCGACCATGGCATGTACCGTATTGGTATGGTAGTCCTTTGGTCTGGGCGTCACGCACGTAACGTTTACGGGCAAACGCTTTCCATTGTTCACCTGTTCACTGTTGCTTCACAGAGAACCTATATTCTGGCAATTTCAGGGTTTGGAAGTGCTCTAATGTCTTGGTCATACTGTACGGGTACGCTACATTATAGCTACATGTAGATCCCAAGGAATGATTCAGTCATAACCTCCCAGTCCACAATTGGATTATTTGCTACGATATCGATGACACCAGTATCCACATCTATTTTACAAGCAACAGGTACCGGTACCAGTAGCCGACTGCCCCGTTGTGGGTACATGTACCGTTAGCTACGGTAGGTGGGAGAAGAATGCTACTGGGAAGATAACCCCACCGTAACTCCATCGATGGTGCTTGGGATTGTGAGATGGAGCTTTCGTGGGGGGTTTTGATTAGAGCCAAGCTCGAAAAGAAATAAATATGCAGAGGCCACTGCCATCTGGTACGTGGACCTTGGTTGTCTGGTACAGTAGGCATATCGGCCCACCAATTCAACGATGGAGCCTTCGCTGCCGACGATACTACTAACTTTCGAAATCGCATCCCGTGCATTCGGAGTACCAATTGCGTTACCGTACAATACAACGTTTTTGTTGGATGAGCTATGGTCCGTTGCTGCCACTCCGCTGTGTACACGCCCGAAGAATGACGTGACGACAGTGATCTCTTCGCAGTCAAGCGCATGAGAATTGTATGCAAAGCTGCAGTTGCATCAGTCGTATCCTACCGTAGGTCCATACACCCCTTGTAGTTCTGACACATTTTCAACAATGGTGTTCAAAGGACCCACGCTCTGACAAGACCTGCAGCCAATTCGCTTGAGGCAGTTCTTCGTGTTCGAGCGGACGAATCCATCGGCATCGCCATCCAGATTGAATGAATCATTCCAAAACACAAAACGAGATGCCAGGGCCATTGGTCACATGAAACTCTGCATCCCGGAGGAACACTGTATGCGTGGAAGCTGTCTGTAGGGAGATAGAGCCTCAACTCTTGCGCCCAGAATCGAAAGAGTGACATGATCGGCTACAGAGTTGGTCAAGAGGAAGTTGCCATTAGCCCAGTTCGTATCAACGGTATTGTGTGTCGCCATAGCCACGTAGAGATGAGACCAGTCCAACTTCTGTTTCGCCGCAAACAGAGACACTAGTTGTATTGACTTCTCTGATTCTATCATCGTTTCAGTTCGATGACACGATATCCTCACCAACATCCATCGCATTGAGGGTTGGTTGCGTGGTCGGCAAAGAAGAAACCATGTCAGCAAACCTCCAGTCACACCTTCCCGCAGCTCGCTTTCGGTAGCTGCGGTTTTTCGACGAACGTTAAACCAGATGATCTTGGCAAACCGAAGAGCAGTCCATTCCGTAGCCTTGTAACAAACCATGGATCCGAAGGTACTAGCTAGGTACTAGAACGGTACATTAATAGAGAAGCTCAAGAAACCATCACTGACGTGAGATTCTGCGGCATTACAATCAGGAAACACCAGTATATACGGTATCCATCTTCGTTACCACGGAAGGTAAGAGGCTACTGAAGCACGTCCAGGCATGAGCTCCAAGTTGAAGGAACACAAACATGAAGTGATGACTCCCGATCAGCACGCCAGATACTGGTACACCAATGCGTCCCAAATGCCCAACTCTAACCTTAGAAAAAGTATGGATTGAATCTTTCGTAACTCGGATGACAGAGCTGATGGCAGGTACCGGTACATGTACCGGTACTGCACCGTCGGTATGGGTACGTTGTGCCCGCAACACTTCAAGTTATGTGCCTCCTTGTGGTTGTGGAGCCATGCATGGCTTTTTTCAACTTCTACTCTAGCTACTCCGTGAGACGTGGAAACAAAGTGATCCGTAGCTAACGTATCGGTAAGTATGGGCGGGATACAGCCATGCACCATGGTACCGGTATGTGTTGGGCTGCCTGCCCCCAAGAACAATGCTACAGGTCTCAAGGTGCGCGCCCCTTCACCGTCGAGGACTTGGTGTGCACCTCAAGTACCGGTACTTCGATCGTTCCAGCCAGTGAGTAGGCTTCGGCCCAGGACATGTACAGAATGAAGTGGATGGCCACATCCCTATCTACGGCACCTGTGCCAGCCGCTTTCTTACTGCTTGAGGAGGAAGGGCAATGCGGAAGCAAGAAGACAGGCGGATGATGCATAGCATGGTAAACGAGTGTACCACCTGATGAAGCATGTAGAACAAAATGAGATATGCATCTGAGTGCGTGCTCTGGACTACCGGTGTGGCAATTACCTTTGGCGATTGCATGGTCCAAGCCTCGGTCAATCGACGACCAGGCATGCGGGTACCAGCGCACCGGTACCGGGCACCTGGACGTTCTTCAGCACAAGGACGAAGGATCGAAGGATGCTGTTGCGGTGTAGGGCAGAACAAAAACCCTGCACCCTGCACGAGCACGATGGATACACATATTTTACAGCTTACAGACCCTTTTCGAACCTGATCTTGAATCGAATCTTGAAGTTGCGATGGAAAAGGAGATAAGTCAGCGGGAGCTGCGAAACCTCGGCAGAAAGACAGATAGAAGAAGGAGGATCATGTTTGGATTGCACCCATCTTTCAAGCTATATTTGTAGAACCTTCAATTTCCAGTTTTGTTGTCTTACGCCTATCTCTATCCCTATATTTTGGCTTTACCGGAATAGCATTTTTTTTAAAAGGGGTTGAGAACTCAGGCAGTTAACATGCCGAGGTAATAGGAAATAGGAAATAGCATTAAAGGGGTTGAGAACTCAGCCAGTTAACCTGTCGGGGTAATAGGAAATAGGAAATAGCATTAAAGGGGTTGAGAACTCAGGCAGTTTACCTGCCGAGGTAATAGGAAATAGGAAATAGGAAATAGCATTAAAGGGGTTGAGAACTCAGGCAGTGAACCTGCCGAGGTAATAGGAAATAGGAAATAGGAAATAGCATTAAAGGGGTTGAGAACTCAGGCAGTTTACCTGCCGAGGTAATGGGTATGCATAAATGTCGGTCGCTCCATCCCGAAGAAAAGAGCCAAATCTTTAAGCCCAAAAATGTACTATTAAGGGTTAATAGGGGACAAGATAATACTTTTAAAACAACTGACTACCATGCTGCTCAAGGCGAACATTGCCTAAGGCTGTAATCCTCAAAACACCTACTACCAGGTAGCTACTAGTAACTTGACTCGACTCGACTCGTGTACAAACGTACAAACGTACAAACCAAGACAGAGGAGGACTGTAGTGCCAGTCTCCTCTTTCTCCTCTTTCCTCCTCTCACACTTTTCAGTCACTTTTCTTAGTTCTATTTTCCCTGAACTGAGCCCGTTGCTCCCTCCGTAAACCCAACCAATAACACAACAGTAACAAGCAAACGATGGATGGCTCTTCTGATCACTCCCATGACTCTACTTGCAGTGCCAGGGCTCGTGATTTGGAGGGATTGGCAGAATCCTTTCAGAAGTATCTCAAGTCCAATGGAATGATCCAAGACAGAAAGACAGTCCTCCTGAAAACTGTCTCCAAGTGCTTTACAGGAAGTCAAGCTGTCTCAGCCCTCCAAACAGTCATGACTCAGCAGCTCCAGGATCGTTCTTCCAACTTGAAAATTACGAGAGAAGCTGCCTTGATGGCAGGCAATTCCATGGTCAAGTACTTTCACCTTTTCAAGCATGCCAACTGTTCCAGCAATTTCAGTTCCAACATTGAAACCACACTGGAAGACTCTGATGCGGAATTCTACCAGTTTGATCACAACTTGCCTTGCCAAGTGCGCAGCATGAAACGCCAGTATCCATCCTACTGGGACAAGGTCAGACTCCTAGAGCAACACGTAGAAGTCAAGGATCGACGATACATGCTTTGTGTCTTTCCCAACTGCTTTGTAGCCAGCGAAGCCGTTGATGTCATGATGGATCTCAAGCTTGTCAGAAGTCGCATTGATGCCGTTCATCTCATGGGAAAACTCAATCAAAAAGTGTTTTGTTGTGAACACGTCACCAATGACCATGAATTCAAAGACGAATACTTATTTTTTCACTTTATAGCTCCCGAAGAACGCATGCCAGAACCTGCCAGGAAAACAAAAAGTGGCAGATCAAAGTCTCCTAATAAGACTAAGCGAAGCATCAGAAGATGCAAAAGCAAGGAATGGGAAAGATTTAGAGCCAAAAGTCCTCTGGCTCAGAATCAAGTCCAAAAGGAGCCGAAGGAAGAGAAAGACGTGGACCCCCTGAGAGATTCGGTGACTAGCTTGCCTAAGCAAAAATGGATGTGAAGGACATAGTATGTACATACTGAAATACAAATATATGTATGTGAGAGTCTGAAAGTATGTGGGGGTATGGAAATACATGTAGCATTGGTCAATCTCTGGGACCATACTATGCTGCATCGGTCACTTGCATTGTACTACTAAGGTTTTCATCTAACTACTGCTGGTAGATTTCCTAAAACGTTCTCTCCTATTCTCAATCTTGTCAAGAAATGGAGCTGCATGTGTGTTTGGATTTTCTAGTAACTGGGTAAATGAGTGCGATTTGCCTTCACCTACACGGGTCGAGCCAAAAGCTCGACATCGAAGCTCGACCTCGACGAGCTACATCGGAACAATACATGTTTAAATACATGGGCGAAATATATGTATATCAGCCAAAACAGGTATGTACATTATGTATGTAGAGATGCTAGTGGTATGCCCATACATATGTGGGGGCTGAGGAGGTATGGCATAGTTGCTGCATACTAATGTTGAGACAGGTATAGTGTGACTAGTCAACAACCGCTGATGCTTCTCGCTAAAGCTATTACCGGTACT